AAAAAGGCTCCAAATTCGCCGCGCGCGATGCTCGACAGTGTCTCAGTTCAAAATGCCAGCTAATAATCTAATCCTCCCATTCACCTTTGTTGCCCAATCCAATGCATGTGAACGATTGTCCTGCTCCAGCCTAGCATGCCCATCATTTAACTTTCTTGATTCGAGGGGAGTTGGCTGAGCAACGCTCAAACAGAGAAGTATCATCCAAGTATCAGAAAAATCAAGTTAATTTGCAGCTCTTCCACCCCCAGCTTATTTGCCTCTTCCTCCCATTTCCAACTGTCATTGCATTCAAGTATAACTACCACCTGCAAATGATTGTCCTGCTTCGACCCATCAACTCAAGCCTACGATTGTCTTGATCCGATTGTCTTTGACTGAATGGGCAAGTCCATGGCGCGTGTACACCATTACAACACGTGCCTTTCTTGACACTTCCCCATCTCTTGTACAATCCTCTACCACAATCAAACACGACAACCTTTCATTCCAGCAGTTGCAATCAGCAAGGTATTTACTCCATTGTCTCAAACAGCGTTACTTGCAGCAACATGCTTTACAGCCTTTCTTATGTGTGAACAGTATACCAGCAACGATCACATGGCTCTTTTCAACCAACATATTGGATTTGCAATGGTTACGATGGGTGGGTAGAGTCAAGTGCAGCGATGATGGGAAACCCTGGAGCGTTGCTTTGGTTGCATGGTGCGTCGTCAGCAGGAAGGGTGGATAATGTCACGTGGATACAGTTGAGGATGAATGATGGATTGGATGGATGACACGAGGGCTTTTATCTTTGGTGATGGTGTTTTACAGCCATGGATGGTATTGGAGTACTCGAACCTATGCACACAGCAGCTAGTTTGCAATTGTGGATGGAGATGCTTATGACGGCAGCAACCAAGAATACAACAACACAATGATGCCCTGTTGACTCCATGTAATTCATGCGTACCTTCTTCATTTGGCGATGTTGTTTCTTTGTCATTTCTAGTTGATAAACATCTGTACTACATTAAATGAACATTGGGTTCGACATAACATTCAGAGTATCGTACTATTAGCTCATGCGTGCAAAATGTGGATCAAGTGGTTTGGGATTGGAAAGGGTTCACGATGATACATGTGATAGGCAAAGAAATGCCGTTGGCATCTCCCATGCTTATGTGTGGATCATACAAAAGAGGACGTTGTGATGGATTGCACTAATTAACCTGCCATCTGGAAAAGGAAGTTCTTTGTAGGTGACATAAATAAGATATCAATAATGAAAGTTGCTAAGGTGGTTTATTGTGGTATAAAAGTATTTTCTAATTGATGAGATAGCTTTCCAACGATTGCAAGGCGGTATCAATGTCTTGAGATGATCGGATGATCGAGCTGAATGCGATGTAAGAGTCGGGTCGAACCACAACAAGTGCAGCTGGTGGGTCGTTATCTTTCATGTAGGCGTTTAATCCAATGTGCGTTGAAAGGGATTCGGTCGATTCGGGGTTCGATTCAAGCCAAAAGTTGTTATCCACATCCTTGTCTTCAGCGGCATAGGGAGGTACTGCAAAATGATGAGCGTGCCAAACCGATTCGACCACCACGCGACGTGTCACATCTTGCCATTTACGTGTCTTGTTCCAGAAATCTTGCGACAATGAGGATGCATTATATCTTTGTAGTCGTGAAGCAACCCAAATAAGGACATGATTCGAGCTTGGGGTGGATGAAAGAATTTCATGCATTGATTTGCGAATCACTTGATTGTCCACAACACGTCGTTGCATGACGTCTGTATTCGGGATAAAGGTACCAGATTCACCAAGAGTCGATGGCAAGAAAATAGGGGATTGTGGGTTGATTTGAAGGTGTAACTATTTGCATAATAAAGAATGTTGTCAGTTGGTGTATGTGAAAGAGATAGCTTGAGATTGTATACTTACTCCCATCATTCGTTTTGCCAAAAATGTCTGAAGTTGTTCAAAGGATGTCACTGCGTAGAATGCACATGAAGCCATCCATTCTAAAGTAGAAATCGTTAGCGCAAAGATAAGAGTGAAGGAGTCAATAGGGATACTTACTATGGATAAAGCTGAGCTTCGATATTCCCGCCTTTGTCAAAGAACCGGTTGCAGACATGACACCTTCAGCAATGGGTTCACGCTATGAATCACGTATGAGCCACAAATCGCTTGATATTTAAATAACGTACATACCTCAATAGAATACGAGTTGAGCAGGGTTTCAGGATCATTGGCTTTGCCTTTGAGCACCAACGATAGTTTCCATGCAAGGTTGTGCGAATCTTGAAGTCCCAAGTTAAGTCCCTGCCCACCGACAGGAGAGTGGCAGTGTGCTGCATCTATATGTAACATGATTTGTCAATAACACATGATCGATGATGGATAAAGATAATAAACCTTACCTCCCATGACAAACAAACGACCACGACGATACCCATTTGCTTTTCGTTCATTGATACGGAATATGGTTAACCAGGTTGGGTTGGTTGGGATCAGCTCCATAGGGGCAACACGCTTGGCTATGATATCACGCATATCTTCAAGAGTCAGTGTTTCTTCTTCATTGCGAGAAATGCCGTGTGTTGGTTCCTTTTTGTCTGAAAGCTCGTAAAAACCAAGGTTGCACGCGACACGAAAGAGGTTGGAATTTGGACCATGAAGAGGGATGAAACCACAGATGCCTATTATTCAAAGTGTTAAGAGTCGTTACAAACAAGCATTAATATAGGACTTACCATCGGGATGGGTAAACACATTTCCACGGTTGTTATTCACCTTGTCAACATCACGGCCTGTCAAGGTTACATCTGCAAGAGCAAAACGTGTAGCTATCGATTGCCCATCATAACGCCATTCTTCAGCGCCCGAGTACTGCTTCCTTACTACGCTATGGGTTCCATCGGCGCCCACCATGTACTTTGACTTTACCGTATACGTGGTGCCATCATCTTTACATACAGTCGCTTCAACGTGATCCTCGTGTTCTTCATAATCCATAAGTCTTGTGCCCCAGCGAATGGTTCCTTGCTCAAGTTCCTCGACAAGTTGGATCAAAATTTCTTCTTGTGTGTCTTGCGAAACCATGGTACCATGTGGGTAAAGGCTCGCTCCACCAATAGCTGCATCAAGATTACCAAGAGCCTCGCCGTTGCTGTGAACTCGTGCACCTTGAAGGATAACAGCACGCTTGAGGAAATGGTGTGCAATACCATCCATTGTCAAATGTTCCATAGTACGTGCAGTGATGCCAATGGCTCGTGTTTGATCTGTAGGCCCGTACTTGTAATCGCAAATGTATACTGAATGGCCCATATTAAGCATCTACGTGTGGAATGCATGATTAAATTTCTTGATCCAGAGTCTCATGTATCATTGTATATTACCTGATATGCAAAATAAAGGCCGACAGGTCCAGCACCTGAAATAAAGACGTCGTAAAGTTGGTTTTCCATGATAAATGTTGTATGATTTGAATGATCAAGTCAAAAAGTTGTCATTGTCTTTTATATCGTTTGTGGCTAGGAATCGGGTTAATATTGGATCCGATTCCTGCAGTTGACTCATCGGGGATTCGGCGCTTTATCCGTTCCGCTTAGCGACCTTACTTCTTGGCTCTCAAGCCCAGATCTACATCCAGGGGCTGATATTCTACTTTTCTCCGCCCTAAGCTTTCTTTGATCCGATGCGAAAATGTTTCGTTACTTGTCAAAGCAAAGTTATGGTATCGGCGAAAGATACACCGGTGACCGATGTAATAGCTGTAGCACAGGTGATGATGCTTTATGTTGTGTGATCAGATTATACTACTACCACTCTCCTCCATGAAGTGCCGTATTGCCAATGGCTTGGCATCACTTTTCGTAATAATGGATTCAGGGTGCTGTATGATGGTGTATAGTAAATCAATGTTGAAAGACTATGAATACAAACATGCACGCTCATTCATTATAGCAGAGATCGAGGAAAAGCTATAGAACGTCAGCGACCATCTTCCTTTGTAATAGCTGTCCCTTCTCGGCGTCTTGCGATCCAAGACCCTGAGCCACAGCATAATGACGCATAGTTTTTTGTCTGAGTGTGTTTATCAGATGATGACTTTGCTATGTTTGGAGCATGCATTAAACTTGGTGTGACTAGCACGAAGGAATCAAGGTGCGGTCTTTCGGCCATTTCATGCAATATAGTGGCTCAGCATTGGTATGTGTGATGATCTCTAAATCCTTTCAACCGAAACACCCCACCGCCGGTGATGACGCTATGTGTTCGTTTTTCACCACGTGCATAGCAAGGAGCCAATGTACATTAGCAGTGATATGAAAAAAAGCTATGGAAAAGGAAGAACAATGATGATGCCATATGCATGGGCCATCCTGTTGCCAGGATTGTGGGATACACCAATTCCACAAATAAAGAAGGAATGTAGCCGTATATGTAAATGTTGAAAACGCTTCATGCACTTTTATTTGGACATCATTTCTCAAAGAGAGATGCACACCATACGTACCTGAGTATGACCGTTTAAGGTTGGCATCATAATCCTCTGGTACAAAATGGCTATTTTCCATGTACATTAATCTTCCTTGTCATTGAGCACCACCAAAAGTCCAATACGACAGAATCAAGGTATCCGTTATGCAGGCTATATACAATCATTAAAGCTGCGTTCAATTGTTCGGGGTTCCTGTTGCTCTTACGGCCGTCGACCCAGCACCCTTTTCTTTTCCTTTGCCATGTCAACATCTAGTCCGCATAATGACCATCTCTCGCCAACCACACACTCGCTCTGCTCTCGCTGTCATCAACTGCTAGGCAATCGACTCGTTCGCGCATTGGACGGCACTTTTCATCCTGAATGCTTTACTTGCATGGTACACAATTCGTTTCCTACTCTCTCTCCTATTCTCGTTCTCCTTTTCCCCTGTTGCAAAAAAGACATAGCTAATGGCTAGTGGAATACGATAGGATTGCAATGCGCCTGTTGCAGCAAAGTTCTTCCCTTACAAACTCGACAATGGACAGACATTACCACTATGTGAACGCGACTATTTCAAACGACTCGGCCTTGTATGCGACCGTTGTCACGAACCACTGAGAGGACCCTATATCATTGCACTCGACAAAAAGTTCCATACCGACCATTTCACATGCAGTGTTTGCTCTACGACTTTTGGCCCTGATGATTCCTATTATGAGCATGATGGCAAAGTTTATTGTCATTTTCATTATTCAACTCAATTCGCTGTGAGCTGCTCTGGATGTCAAATGGCTATTCTCAAGCAATACGTCGAGATTGATCGCAAGGATACTACTGAACATTGGCATCCAGAATGCTATATGATACACAAGGCAAGTAGTGAGGTGTATCAGGGTGGATACGAGGGTCATATCAGAACCACGTCGTCTGAAATATTATTCTATATGGAACATCGCCTACCCTGGATCTTTGAATAGTATTGGAACGTCAGAGTCGCCAATCCCACATTACGAGAAAAAGACGCCATTGTACATCATGGTATGTAGAACTTGGATATGTGACGCTTTAGTATATGCTCATTGACGCATGGTGATCTTATAGAGCGGAAGCCAAAGAATCATGCAGAGTTGGTGGAACGACAACGCGAAATGGAGGAAAAGGTGTATCGGATTTGGACGGTGCTTTCTGCTTTTGAAGGTAATCAATAGTGGGATACGTGGTTGATTACAACGGCTAATGCTTGTTTCATGAAAAAGAATCGTCTGCGGTGTGCATTTCCGAAATGTTATTGCATGTTTCCAACGGATCATATGTGGAAGGTGTATGCCTCTCTGAACGGTTCCTCGTACACGTCGAAGCCCTCTTTCTTGGAGTTGATGAATTAGACAAGATACACCATGAATATAGACAAACAGGTAGGATGGTTTGGATTGGAAATGGGATCATTTGCTTATGCGTTGATGGTAGAATTCAAGTATACACGAGAGGCCAAGATGCTTTGCAAAAAGATCATCAACTTTTTCACGTTACTCTCCAAGACACAAGAGATGAGGAGGTTGGGCATCACACAAGAGTTGTTATCGTTGGTCACTGGATTGGCACATTATCTCAAAATATTGATCCGATTGGCACTTACAACAGCCTTGAAACTGGTAATTATGATGTATACTTGGATAGTATCATTGTTTATTAACCCTTTTTGATATAGGAATTGGCGCTGGATCGACCAGTTGCAGTGTCTCGACTACTTGCAAAGTTGATGGAGGTTGCTGGAAAAGAAAGCTACAGCCGCGACAGCCAGCGTTTGATCAAGGCGAAGCCGACATCTGATCTTTGCCACGTTTGCAAGGTTGCGGTGGAGGATGAATGTATAAAGTACGGCGAGTATCGATGGCACAAGGGATGTTTCAGCTGCCGTCAATGCAAAAAGTCGTTGTCCTCGGATTTGTCCCATGCCACGTTTAGCTCAGCTGCCCAATCCGTGCTTTGTACTCAATGTGCCGGTGTCAGGAACAATGATGCTCCATCGGATATGTTTGAATACGTTTCAAGGCTTACCCAATTTGCATATTTGCTACGCGTGGCATTGAGTCGTCTATGCAGCTATTTGCAAATCACAGGCAAGTGGATATGGTTGTTTAATGGCAAAATACTTATATATATGTATCGCCAATAGATGCCCAATTATCATCCGTGGACTTTTCGATCAAGATGCGACCTTATTATTCCAAAGATACAGGTGCCAGCACAAATCAAGTATCAAGGCTTGCAGTGGAAGATGGCAAAGAATATCCAACTCAGATTACCGATGCCAGGAATGTGCCAACCACCGATCTCAATCGCAAAGTATCGAGGTCCTTCAAAACAGCCAAACGCAACACAATTCTCGGCAACGTGGATACAACACAAAAAGTGTCAACAACAATACCCGAAGATACAGCCAGCCATACCCGACCTGTACCTACACGCCAGGATAGCCTCAATCGACCCATTGATCAACACAAAGTCCTTCCACCCTTACCGCAGGATGATGATAATCGACCACAACAACAGGATTACAGCAAAAACAAGGGCATTCGACTTGATGATGTACCTCAATTTGCAAAGACTGTGACAGAGCGGCCTTCAAGCACAGCACCACCACCATCATCGATGATGACAGCTCATATCAACATCAACAGTGCTACCGGCAAACCACGTGTATACCTTTCAGAGTTATCGGCATTGCAAGATATGATCATTCGCCACGTTGCTGTTGTACAAATCGAGTCCTATGTGCGCGATCATTTCACCCCAAGCGAGCTCCTCCATCTTATTGAGAACAAAAAAGCGTCCATTTGGGAAAAGCTGTTTTCATCGATTATGCATGGCAACAAAAAGGCCAACAAGGGCAAAGAGGTTGGCACATTTGGTGTATCATTGGACATCTTGACTGAAAGAACGGGTGTGGAATCCAATCTTGGAGCTTCAGCATCGCCTGTACGGGTAGCGGCCTTTATTGATGACTCTGTTACGGCTATGCGGCAAATGGGTAATTATACATAGGGGATGCAGGGTGATTATATACATGCTCATTGAAAATGGATCATTTTGTAGACATGTCGGTGGAAGGCATCTTCCGCAAGAATGGCAATATTCGACGATTGAAGGATGTCAGTGATCGACTCGATAGGAATCCTCAAGAAGTGGACTTGTTTTCTGAAAATGCGATCCAAATTGCTGCACTCCTCAAGAAATTCCTTCGCGAGTTACCAGAGCCCTTGTTGACCTATAAAATGCATGGTCTCTTTACCTGCGCACTCAAGTTGGATAATCCTTCCGTGTGTAAGCGAGTACTTCAGCTGGCGTATTGCATGTTGCCTCGCGTCAATCGGGATGCTTTGGAGGTGCTATTTTTGTTTTTCCGATGGGTGGCATCATTTTCACACGTGACAACTGAAGTCGGCAGCCGTATGGATATACCCAATCTCGCTCGTGTTATTGCACCCAATATCCTCACCACCAACCACAAGGATCCTCTCAAAGATGAATCATTCACTGCCATTCGTGTGGTGGAGATGATGCTTGAGTCGTTTGACGAGTTTTGTTTGGTGCCTGAAGACCTTGAAGCCTTTTTACAAGATCCCGTATTGGCCAAAGAAGGAACGGATTTTTCATCAAAGGACTTTTTAAAGAAAGTCGAGAGAATTATGAAACACAGCAACTCATCCTCTACCATGACAGCATCCTCCTCTTCTGCAGCGTCATCTACTCACGACGTGCGATATCACGAATCACATCACCATCACCACAACCACCATCATCACCTCCATCATCATCATTCACAGCCATCTCACACTAACCCCACTTCAATTTACGCTCAAGAAGGTTACTTGCCTTATCCCAATCAACATCCAACATCCGATTTTCGTCCTGCTCAGTTTGGTATGCGACAATCCAGCTTAGCTCACAATAGGACAGCCACAGCTGATCACTAGCAGCTAGAAGTAGTAGTACTAAATTAACTTATTTATGATGTAAAGTCGTTTTTCCTCTTTTATATCCTTAAAGTCTTATTCATACCATGTGATCAACGCATACTACCTTCTATCAAACCTTGAGTTTGTGCCTCTTGGGCCTACGTAGCTATCCTAACCCATAACGCTATACGATGATGCATGAGCTTGATGATCTACCTCAAATCCTCTTATAAAATACATCTCCTCAAACACATGATGCTTTTGATATGTAAGCTCGGGAAAATGTCAATTTTTTATTGATGTGATCATGATGATGTCGTCAAGGAAGATGTATTTCGATCCAATAATCGGTAAAAGCATGTATCACAAACGCGTGCCCATTCGCCCTTGTCTCTATTCAATGGCTCAAAGAGTGGAAGACGATTTTGACTATGTTGGTTGCAAAAGATATGTCCACAGCTGCATAAAAAAAGGTGAGTCGGGCTTTGTTTTGATAGTATTAACTGGTTCATTTACCTTCGACAATGATGGCGTCGGTTGAAAAGATTAAAGTGGGTATCGCAATGCGTCTCCTGGCAACCATCGGCATATTCATCTGGGACCCATTGATCTGGAGGACATAGGACAAACTTGACGCTGCGTTCATCATGGCCGATATGCAATAGATAGTGATGATAGATAGTGGATTGGTGGGCATTGTCATCATTGGTGAGCATGAGATGCTAATGGAAAGAAAAAAAGGGTTAATCTTCTTCGTCATACCATCAAAGACCAAAGAGATGTTACCTGTGGAGGATTATGGGCAACACAAGTTCCAGCGACAACAATGTCGGTTGTGTGTCCAAGGTTGTTCTTTTGCTGAGTGATAATTTTGCCTCCATTATGAGGAGCCAGAGTAGCCCACCAAGGCGAAGGCGGATGCCAACAAGATAAAGGTGCTGATGAAAGGCGGCCTTGTAATTGCTCCAATTCATTCAACATGCGTGTTTGGCTTGCAAGGAGTTGTTGATAGGTTTGAACATGCATCATGTAACGGTGTTCACGGGCATCCAACGACTGAATCAATGCTTGATGTTGTTGCAAGAGCTGGCTGACTCGGTATTCGGATCGACTCACTTCGTTGGCAAGTGCTTCGAGCTTATCAGCATGTGCCATACAACTAGCAATGAGTCGTACAAGCGATTGTTCAGCCGTAGACGGTACAAGCGCTGCACGAGATGCAATCGGCTGCATGATGGCAAGACTGCTGGATGACGATGTTGCCATGGAGACCGTGGGTTGCTGCTGCTGCTGAACATCTTGATGCGCCGTCGTAGGGTTATCTTCGGAAGCAATGGTTGAATCGGAATGAGTTGACGTGGGTGGTGAAGGCTCAATATCAACTTGATCATGGGATGTAGTAGTGGTGGAGGAGGTGGAGTTGTCTTGTTGCTCATCAGAAATAAAACGCAGAGCGGTGGATGTGGTCGTAGTGTTGGGATGTGAGATACTTAATTCTTCAACAACCAGGGCATCAATGCTATCATTGTTATTGAGTGATGGTGGTGATGGTGGATCGACAGGCGTAGTGGTGATTGTTGCAGTGTCTTGTTGTTGCATGGAAACAACGACTTGATGTTCCTTTGTGTTGGATACGTGCTCTTCTTGTGCATGACTTTCTGCAGGGCCAAGGTTCTTTTGCATATCCTCCACCGATAAATCATCATCATTCGAGCCAACATGCGCCACCATCACATCCTGCAGTTTATCTTGTTCCTCAACTAATGCATCACCACCTGCTGTCGTAGACTCCGTTTCCTGCTTACTGGACAGGGATGAAATAATCGTTTCGTTGTCGTCCTTGCTATTCTCAACAACCACCATCGCATCATCATCTTCTTCTTTTTGTTGTTGCTCCTCGTCCATTTCTTTGTTAGCATCTTCATGTGCATCCGTTTCTTGAATTGTCACTTCTTGTTGATGATGATGTTTGGTGCCTAGGTCATGTGATTGATCCATTTCCTTCTCATCACCATCATTCTTTGTTGTCTTGGTCGTAAGCTTGTTGATCTCCTTGTGCTCCTTGATTTCGCATGTAACCCCTTCCTCCTTGTTCTTTGATACTTCAGCAGTAGTATCACTCGATGAAGCCCTTCTTGCTTCTCGGCGTAAACATGCCTCACATTTGGGTTTATTGTTGTTGCTACCGCGTGCCAATGATACCGAGGCTGAAGGGATAACAGCAGCTGCTTGTTGAGCAAATGCAGTACCCGTGCTATGGCGTTTTCGATTCATGCTGCTTGAAGGAGTCACAAGTGCAGCTGATGGTGGCATGGATCGTCGACGGTTAGCCGTTGTTGTGCTGCTGCTACTGGCACTTTTATGGCTGCTTTTCGTGCTGTCAGACGTTTTTAAATCAAGCATGAATCCTTGTTGGTCTTGCTCAATGGGTGGCAATTGAGGAGGTCGTTCACCCATCAATAAGGTGCCATCATCGTTTTCCTCGCTATTGTGTAGCTGCGTGATAGTACTACTAGTACCTGCCATTGTTGATATGGATGGTGATGTTGGCATGGGTGGAGTATCTTGGCCTGATGTGCTGTTGCGTGGTGATCGAAATGGCGACCAGCGCCTCTTGTTGGCTGTAGCTGTTGGCAAGGGTGTAGTCGGTGGCGATGGTAACGAGGATACATGATTGTCCTTTTTCCCTTTGGTCGGTAATTGAGATGGAGGGCGTTCCTGAGAGGATCGTTTTTTCAAAAGCTTGTTGAATCGTGATGATTTGCTTTGTTGCTGTTGCTGTTGTTCATCGGTGGTCGTTGATGAAAAGTTAACCATCTTGGCAAGACTGGATGCTGTGGCCCGAGTCAATGATTGCCGCCGAGTCATATTGTGCTGGCTCGTGGATGTACTGGTACGAGTCGATACAATGCTTGCTTGATCAGGGTCCAATGATCTCAACGATGTGGATTTGATCATGGCTGATAACGATGGCACATTGCGAAGTGAGCGACGACGTGATACTTCAGGTTCAATAGTCATAGCTGACTGCGTTGATGAGATGGAATCACATCTCTTTCTTCGGCCGTAATTAATCATTGTTGCTATTGTTGTTTAATAAAAATGTGTGATGCAAGGCTTAAAAGAAGAGAAGAGAGAGAAAAAGCGAAAGAGAGAAAGGGGAAATGCTGCACAAAGGGGGAGAAAGATATGGAGAAAAGCTTTGGAGCAAACAAGGATGCTTAGTTTTCAAAGGAGAAAAATCGGTATATAAACACCCATGCTACTGCCACCACCACCATCACCATCACGTTTTCTCCTCATGTTGTGGCTCCTTGACCATCTTTCATTGCCATAACTTTTTGCTTCTTGTCACTCTACACTATCTCATTCTCCCTAAATCTTATCACAATGGCTCCCTCCTCGTGTTCATTTTCTTGAATGGTTTGCAAATGCCGTTTCTAAGAATACTACACTCAATCCTTGTAGCTGCAACGATCAATTAAAACAATACAACAACTGCAATCTACGTAGAAGAGTACCCGAGGCGCAGTTTAAAGGGCGTGTTACATGGTTGCACATGATGCAAGTGAGGAACCAGCTCACATCCCCTGATGGATCAAACAATAGGAATAATGATGATAATGATAGGAGTTGTTTTCTCTATTTCATCTTGATCGCAGGCCGGCCTGGTAACTGAAATTTCAAACACATGACGAGCGACTTACTCGGTTACCCTTCGGCATGAGCCACGATGTACGTTAGCAGCACACACCCACACACGCGCACATATATGTATACAATTGTGTCATTGTTTGAAACAAATAAATAGTGGCACTGCTGCTGTGGCACATTCTTGTGTACAAAAAGTAAGGATCAATCATGTTTGAAATTGCGTTGTATTACAAGATGAGTTGAAGAAACAAGGGGAAAGATGATGATGCTGATAATGATGATGCTAATTTGTAGAATGTCATAAAAGGCTATTGAGCAATCCATTATCTCCAGTAAGCAATGCATTCAGGGAATCCTGTTGATCGTTTCCTGCTTGTAACATTTCATCCAGCCATGTCGTATCCTCTTGTTCCAACTCTACTAGTTGTGGTTCAGAACGTGGTCTTTGTGCAAATCGCCATGGATCCAGTGACATTGACAAGGTCCTTGTATTCTCTCTTGTGGTCATTGTGGTATCAAAGCCAAGGACCTCTCCAGGGCTGCCATCCGAATACGGCGTTGCTGATCTTCCACCACTTGAACTATCATTTTCCACACTGCTGCTGTTGTTGTTGTTATTGATGAAGTCATACATTTCGATTGGGATTTGAATCGTTGACGTGAGAATGGCCAGCTCATTGTCATCAACAGGGTAATTATTGTCATCGATGATCCTTGTTGTCGTGTTGTCGACATGATGTTCTTCTCCCACAGGTGCAATTGGATACGTTTTGAAAAAGTCGTTGAGCATCTTTTCAATAGTCTGAATAGCTGTCCATCCAATCCATATTTGGTAAGTGGTGACCTTATGCATCGTTTTGAGATGGTTGTATGTCTTGATATCCCAGGGATCTCGACGATATTTGAGCATCAATATCCGTGCACTTGTCTCGAGGCATGACGCCATTAAGCCGTGTGGTAGCCATTCGGCATGACAACAATAATTGGCTGGGTTATCCAATAATACTTTCATCTTGTCCAAGATCTCGACAGCGATCGGCACTACCGAATGCAAGCGAATAATCACATCAATATCATCCAAATCGAGGGTATCTTCTGTATGTCGATCGGAGCGTGTTGCTATGGGAGCCAATCCCAATCGGTTGTCAGGTTGTAATCGTGCTGTGCTCACATAGAGTCTCAAGAATGAGAAATGGATCTTGTACAATAGGCATGTTGATTCAATGGAGAAGACTTGCAGAGGTGACCATTCATGCTTGTGATCGTGGATGAAGGATTCAAAGTTGATCAATACATTCTTGAGCGCTTGTTCAATGTCAATGATGGGAGCCGAAAGCGCTGTGCTGTGAGATGACAATGCATTGATGTATTGGGGGACGCGGAATAGGTTGTAATCGGATTCGGGAAAGTACATGAATAGCCGGCTGCTGTATTGTGTGATGACGGATTCGGTAAAGTATGTCTCGACAAGGTAATGATATGATTTGAACATGCGCAAGTTGCCATTGGCGCGATCAAACTTGTATGAAGCTGAATCATGGATGGAGGCTGGTGGAAATGAACGACTGAATTTGCCAATCACCTCACGTGGTACCTGATCCACTAGATAGGATCCCAAATAAGCATGACTATATCATCATTACTAATAATACCATAGTATAACTTACATTCGATACATCCACGAACGGTCATGTTGTAGGAAGCCCAATAAGTCATCAACAATAATTCCTCTTCCACGTCGGTCATTTGTCGCTTCTTGTAAGTGCCATCCAAGATACCCATTCGAGCTGCCATCATGTAACTCAATGCAAATAGCGTCATGCCGCGTTTGGTGTATCCAAATTGAGATTCAAATAGTGCAAGGACAACAACAGCTTGATATCGGCTAAGCGAGACTTCAGTGTTGGCCTTATCAATCAAGACATATGCATAATCAAGAAATGGATTACGTTGCGATGAGGATAAAGAGGTCTCCCATAGAGATAAAGGTTTGCCATCGAGTAGTTGAGAGATGTAAGCGGTTGTGCCATAAATGATAGTCATCAAGAAGGGATCAGCACTATCGGTCCAATAGCTTTGTAATAGCATGGTTTTGTTGAATAAGTTGGAGTATGGATGAATAGAAAAGAAGCATTCAATCAATCGTAATGCTTGTTGAGGTGGTAATGAATTGAGTGGGTTGATAGGAGGTGCCTGATGACCATCGAAGAAGTCCTGTGTTTTATCGAGTGCCAATCCACACATTGTAAATGCTGGTTCCACATAGCTCAATAGCGTTAGCCGACTGAATCGCCGAATGACAATATTGACGACGTCTGAAGTAGTCCAAGTGAAATGCTGCAACAAGTCATACATTTTGACAGCACCGGCAAGTTTGGATGGGTCCATGTCGTGTCTCGCTGTAATGGCATTGGTTGCTACATTGTCGCCGCCAAAGTATTGCTGATAAATGCTCTTGACCCAGATTCTGATACCGGGTTCGTTGTCTTTGCGATTGTTGTCATAGAGATAAGGTGCATAGTTGCCTTGAGTGCCTGGATGGCCATAAGAGATATGCTCAAAGATAAATTCTTTACAAAGAGTGGAAGAAAAGTAAGCAGCGGGGGCATCACTCCTTGCAAGAACAAGCTTGTTGACAACGGCATTTTTAGGTGGACGACCCACAGGTGCAGGTTTAGCGTAAGAGCATTCGATATGCTTTTGTTGACAACGATGACACGGCTTTTGACCATCACATTTGACTTTTTTTAACCTACAAGGAAGGCAGCTAACCTTGCGGGGAGTCGATGATGTCTTGGCCATCTCAGGTAGCACAACGAAAGGAGAGGGGGAAAAAGAAAGAGAGAGAGGGAGAGAGAAAGAGGTTTGTATGTGATCTTGAGAGCGTGTCCACTGGCTTGGTTTCACCTTTTTATTGCTGCGCATTGATGGGTCAGCTGGTCAAGTCCCTGTTTTCTTATCCATCTTCTTTTCAATGACTTTGCTGTTACTATTATTGGTTTCTTTATTCATTGTATAAAATAGGATGCTATTGTTGTTATAATAAAGGGAGTAAAAGTAATGCGAGGTTGATCTGCTGTGAGGCAAAATAAATGCCATGTGGGAGTGGGAAGAGGAGCTACAACAGGCCCCAGCGTTGCGAGCCGGACAATCTCAGGTCGGGATCTTGTAACTCATTCACTCACTCACTCCTCCTCTCTTTTTTTCTTGCTCATCTTGGCGCATCTCGTCTTCTCTTTCCAAGCAAGCAAGTTGACAATGACTTTGGACGGCAACTTCACCTTCTCCAGCACAGATGAATATACACAATTGTTGACCGAATTGCACACAGACTATTGCCGTGATCAGCCCGAAGATGTGCTGCAATATTGTGCCAACTTTTTCAACCGTAAACTAGAAGAGCAACGAGTCATGTTCCGTGAACAACGCAACCCCATGTTCCAAGGTAAGATATAGGATGCATACAGAGACTTGTGTATTGATCTTCTTCTTCTTGTATCAATAATAGTAGACGAGTTTCATCCACTCGCTGGCAACGGAGCTCCTGATACCCACCCTACTGCCCAAGAGCATCTTATGGACAGCGATGACCACCGAGACGATGATTTCGATGATGAAGAGGATGATGATTTTGATGATGAGGTGCGAGACAAGTTCACAACCGAGCCTTTGGGAGGACTTCCACCACCAGCATACAATCGTGATCGACGAACTTCTGTGAGTGCAGAATCCATGGCACCTACTCAAGGACGTGACTTTGTCAAGCAAGTGATTCCAAAGACACAAGAGCAATGTGAGCGTATTCGTGCTAGCGTCGGCAACAACTTTTTGTTCAAGAATTTGGACGAGGAGCAGTATCAGGATGTGGTGAATGCCATGGCTGAGAAACGCGTTGCTTTGGATGAAACGGTTATTGAACAAGGCGGTGTGGGCGACTTTTTCTATGTGGTGGAATCTGGCACTTTTGATTGTTACATTAGCAAGGCAGGTGCGCCTCCCAACAAGGTCACTAGCTATGAAGCAGGTGGTAGCTTTGGTGAATTGGCTCTCATGTACAATGCCCCTCGTGCTGCTACCATTGTCGCTACCTCGGATGCTGTTCTTTGGGCTCTTGATCGCGTCACTTTCCGTACCATCCTCATGGAGAACACTTCTCGTAAGCGTCGCATGTACGAATCATTCTTAGAAGAGGTGCCACTCTTAAAATCACTCGAACCTTATGAGCGTCACAAGATTGCCGATGCATTGGACACGGTTTATTTCGAGGCTGGTGCAACAGTGGTGGTTGAAGGAGATGTTGGTGATCGTTTCTATATTATCGAATCAGGCGACGCGAGCGTTTACAGATTGGGACCTGATGGCATGCAACAAGAAGTCAATGCACTTGGTAGAGGCAACTATTTTGGAGGTAAAGAAAGGATTCCCACGTGGCCAAGTGGACAACAAAACAGACTAAGCTCATGATACTTTCCTTTTCTAGAACTTGCGTTGCTCAACGACACTCCACGTGCAGCAACCGTTGTGGCACAAGGCAGATTGAAATGCGCAACGCTTGGCAAGAAGGCTTTCACTCGTCTCTTGGGTCCTGTCTTGGAAATCCTCAAGCGTAATTCGGAGAATTATCACGCCATCATCAGCCAACAACAACGATAGACTACATAACACACACACTCACTCACACTCACACACTCAATATACAACCACGCACACCTACACGCACTCACATACTTTCACGCACACACTACACACTCCACACACTCCACTCAACAACAACATCCTTTTCTCAATTCCCCATATCCATCGTCTTTGGTTAATTCCCAAGGTTGAATCAAAAAATGACATATCTAAATGTCCCTTCTCCTTTTCAATTAGTATTTGGACATTAAATGGTAACGAGCAAAAGTCTTTGTTTTTTTTTGTATCTGCGTATTACACATCTACACGTCCAATCTATACAAGAAGCACCGCCACTATGATAAGGAAGTGGATTACGTGCTTTATCTAATATCACCATTCATGCGATAAGCTCGGCTGTGGTCAAAATGAGGATAAAAGGTTATTCATAGACGATGAATAAAAGTGTGTACAAACAAAGGAGAAAAAAAAACATTGCGGATCTGTGCATTCCAATGCATGAAGACCAAATTTCAAGACCGGCAGCGGAGCCTAGACAGTGGCCCCTTTGGCAGGATCGCCTCTAACAACAACACGACGTGTCTCGACACAGCTCGATTCAATTGAAGCATGATACGCGATGAATTTGTATATGTTTCATATGCAGGGTCTTGAAATATGGTGTTGCATTAGTGCAATCAAGTGCTCATCTTGATACCTTTTCACGTACAGTATTATTATTTCAACACACCAGGCCCCTCTATTCTTTCATGGGATACAAGTGATATGCGACTTACAACAGCAAACGAGTAATGAGAAAAAGAATGAGAACAAGAGATAGAGCGGGAGTGGGAATTGTGGAGCACTTCAAATAAAGGGGATGATGATAGGATGTGGAACGAGAAAGAAAAAGAGAGGGGGTTTCAGAGGAGTAACTTTGTTAAGAGGATAGGGACATCCAAGCGCTTTGCGGACCTATTCTGCAAGACCCCTTCTGTGGTATGGATTAAGAAGTTGGGTGACCTAGGGCCATCCTTCGGAAGCCTCTCTTTCGCTTACTGTTTTCATGATGACTGCCTCTTCCCCCATTGATGTTGCACCACAGCCTCCACCAGTGCCTATCACATCCACTGGCACTGGTATCGCCAATCTTCCTAACCAACGACACAAGATCGTTGCAAAGAACGGTGCCAACTTTACGTTAATGGTCTGTGGTATGTATACTAAATCATCATTCCTTATACATGCTATCATGTACATTAAGACTCACCATGCCTTTCAGGTGAATCGGGTGTGGGTAAGACCACCTTTGTCAATACTCTGTTCACGTCCACTATCAAGGAACCAAAGAATTTGAGCAAACGTCGCCTGCGTCCTGCAAATAAAACGGTGCAAATCCAAATAACGAAAGCAGGTATGCTAATGGATGACGTGTGGATATGATGGAGACTCATGCGTTGTTTCTTTAGAACTCGAGGAAAAGATGTTCAAGGTCAAGCTCACTATCATTGATACACCAGGTTTTGGTGATTATGTGAATAACCGCCATAGCTGGATTCCAATTGTGGATTTCATTGATGATCAACATGAAAAGTACATGCGTCAAGAGCAGCAGCCATGTCGGGAAGGAGTGGTGGATATGCGTGTACACGCTTGTTTGTATTTCATCAAGCCAACTGGACACACGTAAGTAGTAGCATGGGTGTATACAAGAAAGCTATCATTGTGCATGGATGTTAAAAGAGGACCTATCTCTACACCCTTTATTTTTGTGCTTTCCCCTTTTAATCAGGTTGCGCCCCTTGGATATTGAAGTGATGAAGCGCCTCGGCTCACGTGTGAACTTGATCCCAGTGATTGCCAAGGCTGATACATTGACACCGGCAGATTTGGCCAAGTTTAAACAAAATGTAAGCAAAAAAAAGCATCCTTTCTTGCCCCGCATACACATGCTCCTTGTTCCTCCGCAACACTTTTTTTACCCCCTTTCGTTCTCCTAATGTTGCTACTACTACTACTACACTATTCACTACAATCATGCTTTGTCCCTTCCTAAACACCCCCTTTTCAATCCCCTTTTACGCAGATCCGTGCTGTCATTGCTGCCCAAGACATTCAAGTTTATTCCTGCCCAATCGAAAGTGAAGACGAGACAACCACCAAACGCAACGCCAACATCATGGCAGCTCTGCCATTTGCTGTCATTGGCTCCACCGAGGATGTTGTCACACCCGATGGCAGGCGCGTGAAGGGTCGTCAATATAGCTGGGGCTGTGCCGAGGTGGAAAACGACGACCACTGCGACTTTAGAAAGCTGCGTAGTCTCCTGATCCGAACGCACATGCTCGATCTTATCACCACCACTGAAGAATTGCATTATGAGAATTACCGCCAGGCACAGATGGAAACACGCAAATTTGGTGATCCTAGGTAATATCATCATGATTTGATTGGGTTGTCTACTCTCTCTTTGCAATAGCTCATGCCATCATCTCACTCTTGATTAGATCTCAACCTACTGAGAATGCCAAGTTCAAGGAAGAGGAAGAGCAATTACGCAAGCGCTTCACAGAACAAGTCAAGGCGGAGGAATCTAGGTTCCGTAAATGGGAACAACAGGTAAAGTATCAAGGAGATTTGGGCACAATGGGGATTGTTCATTCATTGTCTTTCGATCCATTTAGCTTTTGAGTGAAAGGGATCGCCTCCACAAGGAGCTCGAATCGCAAAGCGAGCGTATCAAGGAACTACAGAATGAGTTGGATGCCTACTATTACAGCCATCATAATTCCCCTAGATCCGTCAGAAAGTAGTTTTATTTTCCTGCCATCACCACAAGTATTCATTCATCCATCCACTTTTCCTTGCCACTTTTTCTTTTCCTGCTCAACTTATCTAATTGCTTCTCACACACACATTCAAATCGATCGCTTATTTCCATTTTTTGAATCCTATTTAATACAAACATCAAACGCGGTATACGATAATCAACAACAGAGGATCAGAGTGGATGGAGAGGGATATGAGGATAATGCGATTCATGCAAACCCAGAATCTATTTGTGCAACCATGCATGCATAATTGATAAGATTGCTCTCTGTTTAGGAATTAAGCTTTTTAGGATAGGTAATAAACATATATACATCAAGACGAACAAAGTACAAAAAAAGGGATGGGATGTGAAGAGGGGAATCTACAAGTAGAGTTTATCGTGATCGGTTTTTAAGGTACTTGTAGAGTCGTACAGCAAGAAGAGCTATTGCAAAGAGAGAGCACACCAAATGACCAATACCAAGAATGAGGAAAGGCGCACCTTTTTTGAATTGATCAAAGAGCACACCGCCTACTTTGGAGACAATGATAATGCCCACAGCTCCACAGAACGAATAGGCACCCGCTACACTGCCTCGGATCTCTTGTGATACGTACTCTCCCGAAAGCATGGCCATGCCTGAAATAATCATACCTGGTTGGCACAAAAAAAAAGCAAGGATATGGGTTATTACATATGCATATGAATATAGATCACTATTACTTACCGTATTGGCCAATAGCAATCAAGATCACATAGGCAAGGCTGGTGTTGCTGGTAGGGTCCACTGACATGGAAAATGGCAAACAACCTACAGCACCAATAATGCCTGCACAAAGGACACCCACTTCTCTAGGCAAGTATTCGCTCACACCACCAAAAAAGACGGCCGATACAAGAGCCACAGCTTGTGCAATACCAGTCATTGTCGATGTTGATGCCATTCCTTGATAACAGCTTGCGCCTACTTGGCAAACGCCTTGTTCAATGTAATATTGCTGAACCCATAACGAGATAAAGTTGCTGACAATGACTTCATCCGAACGTGCGAAAAAGCTTGTGACAAAAGCGAGTGCAATACGAGGATCTTTGGCTGCCTTCATACCATTGTACAAGCGTAAAAAGAAGTTCTTGAACGAATGTTCACCTTTAACGCGGTGCACAGTGGGTGGCATGGCAGGCCATAGGATAAGACCAAGAACAGTACATACGGCACCAATGATGGCGTAGCTGACGATGATGTTGATTGGGTCTGTAATGGAATCTTGCATGTATGATAATTGAGAGGGAACGTCAAAGAGACAAAAGACCGCAAAGATGGCACCGAGACCTGTGCAAGCACCAATCATTGCTGCCAAGATACCATTTCGCTTGTGCATAGCTTCCACCATCATAGCTGCCATCATACATGTTGTACCAGCCGTACCCACCGAATAAATTAAGCGAAGGATCAACAACGTTGGATACAAGTTGTTTGCATGTGGATAGGCTATCGTAATGATTCCCATAATCATCAACGAGATGCTCATAATGCTGCGTTTGGAGATTCGATCCGAAAGTGTGCCCCATACTACAACAGCAACCACTGACATTACTTCCGAGTACGTGCCAAGTGATCCTGTAGCATCGCCTGTGTTGTCGCTTATCATCAATACGGAGCTCAATGTCCAAGCTTGGGCTGCGGCAAAGTATACAATGATAGACATGGACACAAATACAGCGAATAAAAAGCATACAAAGCGAATGGGATTGACATGTGGTGCAAGAGGAATAACCCATAGGAGCTTTCGAGGTGGTAAATCTTCGTCATTTGTATTGGATAACGCTGACTCTTGATCAATAAGGCTCTTGTCAGTCACCGACATACGTTCTTCAGTGCTCATGTTTGACGGCTGCTGTTGTTGCCATTTCTCATCATTGGATGCTGGTGGATGATGCTGATCCGGAAGCTGTTGCTGCTGCTCAGTCTTTTCTTGCATCATCGGTATCGTAAGGGAAAGGATGAATCACTAGAGCCGGTATGGGTTATGGTAGAGGAGATAGTAGGATGGTGATTATATATATTGTAGATCTGATCGGAAAGTGGAAAAGAGAGAACAACTATTGTAAATCATGCCAAGCTTTTTCGTATTAGCATTATCGTGTAGAAGGGTAAAACTTTTCTATTCGCTCCTAGCGTAACGTTCTCAAACTACATAGCGGATGCATTGGGCGATGATGGGATCGAGTGACTTATCAGATCAACAAACACCGCTCGCACCTACCAGTGTACAATGAGGACAAAACGCCTCCTTCAGCCATTGAGAACAATGACAACGTCAAAAATGAGATCCCGTTGGCAGGTAGAATGGGTTGATTGTATAGGCAACTTTGCAAACAAAGAATGACCCATTGCACGTACGTACATTGTTAGAGCAAAGCCCATGGGCAACAACAACATGTACATAGGCGCGCTACTATGATGTTGCACATGCCCGGTATAAACTTTACATTTCCGAAGGTTGCACCAACCTGCTTCAGTGGGGGAGCAACCACTAATGGCTACCAAATATTATCAGATGGTAGTACAAAATGCTTGAATATAGCCTACTTGTCCCATTGCCGTAATGTTGTTGTTTATCAGATGGAACACAATCCACTTTGTCTCAACTCCACCGATGTTGTTACTCCATTTTCCTTGTTTTCTGTCGTAGAAGACTACTTTCAAGATCTGATAAATGTACATGCTCAAGTAGCCGTGTCCCCGGCTTTCGGTACCGAACACTGCATATAAAAGTAAAACATAAAACGCGACGTGTATAGCTCATTGTTTTCATACATACACGTTCATATTATACACAATGCGCTTCTCTCTTATTGCTGCTGCTTCCATTGCTGGTTACGCATCCCTTGCTGCTGCTCAAGATTGCAATCCCTCCTTTAACGTTACTGCTGCCCCACAATGTATTTCGGATTGTAACAAGGTACGTGACAACAAATGATCCTTTAGCTATTCTTCTCATAATGGCATCTTACATTCATTTAGAAAGCTGGCCAAGATCAATACGCTGATTGGACCGATGATCCAACCTCGCCCCACTTTGTTCAATCGATGGGTTACCAATGCGGCAAAGGCACCCCTGCTTACACTGCCTTTATGACCGCCTCGGGTACTTGTATGATGTCGTGCTCCAAGGATGATCAAGCTGCCTTTGGCCAATACTACGCTCAAGCCTGTGCATGGTACAATGAGCATTCAAAGGACACTTGTGATGCTACTGCTACTGGAAACAATACTACTGCTACTGAAAGCAATACTGCTACTGAAAGCAATACTGCTACCGAAAGCAATACTGCTACCGAAAGCAATACTACTACTGAAGAATCTCTTGCCATGAAACTCAAGATGGGTGGTGCTCTTGTTACCGCTGCTGCTGTTGGTTCTGCCGCTTTGCTCTTTTAGACATGCACACCAAATCATGTATTATAGTCGTTTTCTCTGTATTTGCCACCCTAATTTAATAAACCACCTAAAATCAAGCTCGTAGAGCCCGATGCATACAAATCCTCTCATTCTTTCTTTTCACGTCATGGTCATGCATCCCTGGATAGCTACTACTTTGTGTGATGTCATGTGAAATACACAAATCATAGAGCTGGTAAAATCTGTACGACGGCTCCCACATCATCTTCATTGTAATAGCATTGAGGACACCAGTAGCTACCAACATTGAGTCGTTCATTCAATTCTATGTTGCAATAGGCGCGTTCTATGTGGCGTGTTTTGTTTATGATGATGATAGCGAGATCACAAAAATCCATAATGCTATCCAATTACAAATACCAATACATCTTGCTCTTAGGAGGGTTTACATGTGACCAGGTTAATCAATAGCCGATGAAAAACCGGCATTACCGCGCCTTTATTCGAAAGGTCGGAAAACTTTCAATGTGAATTGTCAGCATGTGTGATGTGCTTTATCCTAGTTTTTGGGAATGGCCGCTCTGCTGTATTATCGGAGACTAAGAAGGCTATACTAATCAGACAACAACGTGCATCCAGCAGCTGTAAAGTTGCTCCAAATCCATCCCTGTGCTACAGACGGCCCGGCTTACCGCGCCTTTTACAGCTTTGGTACTCAAGCATACACCGATGTATCAGATCAATTGATTTGGTTGCCTTCCAATGCCTTGATAAAATTTAACCCAGTGAAACATATGTTATGGTGGCGCCATTTATCCATCGGGGTGATGTTCTGAGGTCGGTGTTTACCTTCAAACGTTGATGCTTCCATGTGAGAATCGGTTTCCTTAATGTATCTTTCAGCTCGGTAGAAAAAAAGATTCCCGAGTCCTTCAGCAAAAGACCAATGCTAGGCAAAAGGTAGCAGCCTTAGGGTCGAAGTGCCATCTCATTCTAACATCAATTGTAAGACGCATTTAATACTTCTTGATCTCCTTTATTAAATGCACTACAACAAGCAAAGCGTCCATGTTACAGGACGCCTGATATCATTTTCGATGGCAATCGTGTATAAAGAAAGTGACTTACCAAAGGCCATCGATGCAGACAAGTAGAAAGAAAGGGTGTATGATAGTGCTGGCGACCACAACATCATTTATATACGAGTGGGTCGTGGGATTGTTGTCATGATGGATCGAATTGATAAAGTGGTCATGATGCATCATCTTGGAGTACCGAGTCGAAGTGATAAATCCACCTGCCACTTGAAAGGTGACTTTGTAGATGACATGGATTCTGGACTTTGTTGTGTGAAGGGAAACTCATGGCATTTGCATATCGTTGTAAAGGCGTTGAAGCAGGAGGACGACTTTGTGCCTGAGCCATGTAGCAGCGCACGAACATGACAGTGTAACATAGAGTGATGGGTCACTCATCCTGAAACTCAATGGAGGGATCACTTCACTTTTTCTCTTCTCAAAGTCAACCCACTCCTCCTTATTGCATCACAAAAGCCATTACTTCTTGCATGATCGATAACCGCAAAGTCCAACAAGTGTGTAATAAATAAACAATGCTTTATTCATCTAGCTTTCTAGCTACTTTGCCACCATCCTCGTCTTCGTCGTCTGTCATCATTCGTTCTCGTACCCGTCAGTAGTCGTCAATCTCCTCGTCGCAATATCAAAAACGCGCAAATAGAAAAGAATGGGATCTTGCAGGCTTCCTTTTGGATCTCGTTGTCGTTGTTGTGACATGTGGTGATCATCTAATCGTCGTCTCTATCAATAAGAAAGCAGGCAAGTTAGACCATCGGATACCGGGAATGATGACGATTTGGTATACTGCTAGGCGATCCTCTCTCTAAGGAAGAAAGCAAATCAGAAAGAATCCACAAACCAAATCACCCACCATACGAGCAACGTCGGGCGATCCCTTGTTCATCAAAGCACTGCACGAATCACACAAGGCCAGTTCGATCCACGGCAAGAAAGGACATCACTTACGTAGGATCCAGACCTCATCCATCCTCTCCAAAGAAAGAATGATCCCCAATCCTTCTAATCATTTCCCACCTCATGAAAAGAAATCCTCAAGGGAAAGAACGAGCCTATTACGAGAAGACCGTGTTGGTTCAACACATTCACGAGCTGTTGCAAATCCCCTTTTACCTCAACACGGTGACCATGCTCTTCCAAAAACCCATCGTCATCGACCCATCCTCAACTCAACGCAGGCCTATAGAGCCCTGGACGCGTTCCAAGAAGCTTTTCCAGCACACTTGGCTAGTGCAGAGCGACGCAGCGGCCACTTGATACAGGCTGGGACTTGAACCCAAAGAGATGATGATGCCCAAAGTTGGATTGCCTGAACGAAAAACCTATTGAATTCATTGTTAGCATGCATATACAATAAACGCCTTTTTCATTGTTTGCTTCATTGCACTTGCCTTTTCCATATACACAAAGACCCGTTGTTGTTGGTTACTGGAAACCGAAAAACCATGGTGTAGTAGTGTAGTTGAGCCGAAACAGAACGCCAAACCAGCCAACGTCTTGAGACCAAACTTGCCCTCTATACAGGCTAACACGTCAATGGAACCAGTTCGGCTGCAACATTGGACTCTGAATGTACCTGTTGACACCCAGTGTAGAGCGGGAATAGCAACGATATCGCCATGGCTACCATTCTCATTCCTCAGCACTTGGACTCACACACCCCCTGACAATGCATGTTCAGAACTACATTAATACCTCACAGCCAACAAGAGCACTCTTTGATAATACATTACCTTGATCGAGATGTCGTGAATGGGATAAAAGCAGAGGAGCGAGAAAGAGAAGAGAAGCGTTGTCTCAAGTCGTGGAGCTGCTGTCCCTCAAGTTTAAATCTCCTACTGTTATTACACTGAGGCCACTCAATTACCACCCATACACACACCATCCACCCATCGTCATCATCACCCTCACGATAGACAATAGGTACACGCAAATAAAAGAAATGATCCTGACGTATAGCAAAGAGCGTGTGTCATTTTACACTTTACATGATAATGATGATCCAACAACAGCCATTACCTTACTACCAGGTTAGCTCGAATCATGAAAGTTAAATGATGGGCATGCTGGGCTGGAGCAAGATAATCGTTCGTATGCATTGGATTGGACAACAAAGGTGATTGGGAGGAATGGCCTATTAGCTGGCAGTTTACAAATAACTTACCAATTTGATTCTTCTGATATTGGATGATGTTTCTGTGTTTGAGCGTTTTTCAGTCAAATCTCATCGGATCAAGAAAGTTGAAGTATGGGCATGCTGCGCTGGAGCAGGACAATCGTTCGTATGCATTGGATCGGGTAACAAAGGTGAATGGGAGGACTAAGGTTATTAGCTGGCATTTTGAACTATTCCTAAATAGTGTACAAGAATCATGCATCGCCTGTGCTGAATGACTCAAGTTATACAAACACGCCCTCTGCATCTTTGGCTCTATTATAGTCATACTACTTTACATTAAACAAAGACCACTTCTCATATAGCATCACGCTTACAAACATAAAGGTGCCTGTATCTTCAAACTTTACAATCAAACGTGGGCTCTTTAATAGATCAACGTGCTCGTCGGGGTCAAAGGAATCTTGTGTCAAAGTATGAAGTTCATCGTGGGCAAACCCAGATTTCGCGATGTCGCTACCAGCCAAACTGGATCCGGGGCTCAACCTCTTCGACGACGACCAAAAAAATATTTTTTGGGCTAGTTGTGACATTGAACGTGAAACTTTCACACAAGGTGCTGTTGGCCAAGCCGAGCCCATTGCTCTATTCAAAACCCCACGTTTCATTGTAAAGTTTGGAGATACAGGCACCTTTATGTTTGTAAGTGTGATGCTATAAGAAGAGTGGTCATCGTTCAATGTCAAGTCGCTGGACCCTGGCAGAGCAAAAGACGCAGAGGGACCTCTTTGTGTAACTCAGCCACTTTGCATGACTGGAAGGATGGAAGGATGATACTGTATACTGTTGACAAAAGCCCGTACATTGCGAGCTAACAGCCATTTCTTCACAATAGCCACTGTTGTCCACTCTATGACATGTGAGCGATTCTCCTGCTTCAGACATTCATTTCCATGATTGGATTATGTTGATCCGAGTTGATTTGACTGAGATACAGTCAAAGAGGGTTTACATCAATCCACACATCTAACCATGCTCTATGTTGCTCAACTGAAGTAACCTTGTATGAGCGTAACTCAGCCAAATCAACTCGGATCAACATAATCTAATCATGGAAATGAATGTCCGAAGCAGGAGCATCGTTCCACTGTCATAGAATGGGCAACATTGCCGATTGTGAGGAAATGGCTGTTAGCTCGCAATGTATGGGATATTGTCAATAGTATACAGTATCATTCTTCCATGCTTCTAGTCATGCAAAGTAGCTGAGTTACACAAAGAGGTCCCTCTGCGTCTTTTGCTCTGCCAGGGTCCAGCGACTTGACATTGAACGAAGACCACTCTTCATATAGCATCATGCTTACAGTATAGTAAAAACATAAAGACGCCTGTATCTCCAAACTTTACAATGAAACGTGGGGTTTTTAATAGAGCAATGTGCTCGACTTGGCCAACTGCACCTTGTGTGAAAGTTTCGCGTTCAATGTCGCGAACAGCCCAAAAAATATTTTTTGGTCGTCGTCGTCGAAGAGGTCGACGCCCAGATCCAGTTTGGCTGGTAGCGACATTGCGAAATCTGGGATTGGCAAGCTTGATCGTGAAACTTTCACACAAGGTGCTGTTGGCCAAGCCGAGCACGTTGCTCTAATAAAAACCTCACGTTTCATTGTAAAGTTCGGAGATACAGGCACCTTTATGTTTGTAAGCGTGATGCTATATGAGAAGTGTCTTTGTTCATTGTCAAGTAGGTGGACCCTGGCAGAGCAAAAGATGCAGAAGGACCTCTTTGGGTAACTCAGCTAAAAAGTCAGGACTTCAGGGACAATGCATGAAAGGTACGCAACCCTCACTTTTATGTCATACATTGGCAGCTAATAGCCACTTTTATCCACTCATCATTGTTGCGAGATCCACTGCATGGGAACGATGCCCCTGCTCTAGACATTCATTTCCATGATTAAAGTAGGTTGATCCGAGCTGATTTGGTTGAGTTACGCTCACACAAGATTACATCGGTTGAGCTACATCGAGCGTGCTCTATGTCCAGAGTGATGTAATCTCTCTTTGACCGCAGCTCAGTCAAATCAGCTCGGATCAACCTACTTTAATCATGGAAATGAATGTCTAGAGCAGGGGCATCGTTCCCATGCAGTGGATCTCGCAACAATGATGAGTGGATAAAAGTGGCCGTTAGCTAGCAATACATGCCTGTTCCTAGATGATCCATAAAGTAATTATACATTGACCCTTTCATTCATGCAAACGTAGCTGTGTTACACAACACGACCCTCTGCATCTTTTGCTCTGTCAGGGTCCAGCTACTTTACATTAAACAAAGACCACTTCTCATATAGCATCACGCTTACAAACATAAAGGTGCCTGTATCTCCAAACTTTACAATGAAACGTGGGGTTTTGAATAGAGCAATGGGCTCGGCTTGGCCAACAGCGCCTTGTGTGAAAGTTTCACGTTCAATGTCGCAACTAGCCCAAAAAATATTTTTTTGGTCGTCGTCGTCGTCGAAGAGGTCGACCCCCAGATCCAGTTTGGCTGGTAGCCACATTGCGAAATCTGGGATCGCCCACGATGAACTTCATACTTTGACACAAGATTCCTTTGACCCCGACAAGGACGTTGATCTATTAACGAGCCCACGTTTGATTGTAAAGTTTGGATATACAGACACCTTTATGTTTGTAAGCGTGATGCTATATGAGAAGTGGTCTTTGTTTAATGTAAAGTAGTATGACTATAGAGCAAAAGATGCAGAGGGCGTGTTTGTGTAACTTGAGTCATTCAGCACAGGCGATGCATGATTCTTGTACACCATTTAGGAATAGTTCAAAATGCCAGCTAATATCCTTAGTCCTCCCATTCTCCATTGTTGCCCAATCCAATGCATACGAACGATTGTCCTGCTCCAGCCTAGCATGCCCATCATTCAACTTTCTTGATCCGATGAGATTTGACTGAAAAACGCTCAAACACAGAAACATCTTCCAATATCAGAAGAATCAGATTGGTAAGTTATTTGTAAACCTGCCAGCTAATAGACCATTCCTCCCATTCATCTTTGTTGCCCAAACCAATACATACGATCGATTGCCCTGCTCCAGCCCATCACTCCCATCATTTAACTTTCATGATTCGAGGTAACCTGGTAGTAAAGGTAATGGCTGTTGTTGGATCATCATTAACATGTAAAGTGTAAAATGACACACGCTCTTTGCTATACGTCAGGATCATTTCTTTTATTTGCGTGTACCTATTGTCTATCGTGAGGGTGATGATGACTATGGGTGGATGGTGTGTGTATGTGGGTGGTAATTGAGTGGCCTCAGTGTAATAGCAGTAGGGGATTTAAACTTGAGGGACAGCAGCTCCACGACTTGAGACAACGCTTCTCTTCTTTTTCTCCCACCTTTCCTTATTCCGTTCACGACATCTCGATCAAGGTAATGTATTATAAAAGAGTGCTCTTGTTGGCTGTGAGGTGTTAATGTAGTTCTGAACATGCATTGTCAGGGAGTGAGCGTGTGTCCAAATGCTGAGGAATGAGCGTGGTTGGTGGTTGGTGGTTGCCATGGCGATATTGTTGCTTCCTTTTGCTCGTTGCTATTCCCGCTCTACGCTTGGTGTCAACAGGTACATTCAGAGTCCAATGTTGCAGCCGAACTGGTTCCATTGACGTGTTAGCTTATATAGGGGGCAAATTTGGTTGCAAGACGTTGGCTGGTTTGGCGTTTTGTTTCGGCTCAACTATACTACACCATGGTTTTCGGTTTCCAGTAACCAACAACAACGGGTCTTTGTGTATATGGAAAAGGCAAGTGCAATGAAGTAAACAATGAAAAAGGCGTTTATTGTATATGCATGCTAACAATGAATTCAATAGGTTTTTCGTTCAGGCAATTCAGCTTGGGGCATCATCATCATCTCTTTGGGTTCAAGTCCCAGCCTGTATCAAGTGGCCGCTGCGTCGCTCTGCACTAGGCAAGTGTGCTGGAAAAGCTTCTTGGAACGCGTCCAGGGCTCTATTGGCCTGCGTTGTGTTGATGGGTTTTTGGAAGAGCATGGTCACCGTGTTGAGGTAAAGGGGGATTTGCAACAGCTTGTGAATGTGTTTAACCAACACTGTCTTCTCGTGATAGACTCGTTCTTTCCCTGGAGCATTTCTTTTCATGAGGTGGGAAAATGATTGGAAGGATTGGGGATCATTCTTTCTTTGGAGAGGATGAATGAGAACAACTATGAGTCTGGACTCTACGTAAGTGATGTCCTTTCTTGCCATGGATCGAACTGGTCTTGCGTGATTCGTGCAGTGCTTTCTCAAGAACAAGGGATCGCCCGACGTTGCTCGTATGGTGGTGATTTGGTTTGTGAATTCCTTTTGATTTGCTTTCTTCCTTGGAGAGGATCGCCTAACGGTATAACAATTCGTCATCGTTCCCGGCATCGTATGGTCTAACTTGCTTGCTTTCTTATTTGTAGAGACGACGATTACGATGATTACCGCATACACAACAATGGCGATTATGATGATAACGACATTCACGACAATGACAATGATGACGACAACGAGATTCAAAAGGAAGCCTGCAAGATCCCATTCTTTTCAACTTGTGTATTTTTGGATGTTGGTGTGACGGATGAGATTGACGACTGGTGACGAGTACGAGTACGAATGATGAGGGAGGACGAAGACGAGGATGGTGGCAATGTAGCTAGATGCAATAAAGCATTGTTTATTTATTACACGCTTGGACTTTGCTAGCTTTTGGATTACATACTATTGCTTCGAAGATGGAATAAAAAAGGTTGTTTCGGTTATCGGTCATGCAAGAAGTATATGACTTTCGTGATACAATAAGCAGGAGTGGGAAGTGGGATGACCTTGAGAAGAGATAAAGTGAAGTGATCCCTCCATTGGGTTTCAGGATGAGTGATCCATCAACATGTATACGTATCTTTTTACAATACAAATTGGTTTATGCAGCTCGACCTTCTCCTACATGCAAATGTGATATGGAACCATTATTGTTATACGCATACCTTGAAGCACCTTCATTATTAGATGCTGTTTACTTACGTACCTTCACAAAAGGCAATCATCATCATAAAGGTGGTCTTTATTCATTGCCAAGTAGCTAAATCCTGATAGAGCGGAAGATGCAGAGGGGCTTCTTTGTGTCACAAGAGACGTGCCTGACGGGTGAACACTATTGGTGGAGAGTGCATAATGGGTGCTTGGAAGGTAGATGGATGTTAAGCCTGTTTGTTCATTGTCATGGGCATTGTTGCAGAGTTGGACATTACACAGGTAGTATTTTACTATGAATGTGAGCACCAAAGGATTGTAAACATGGATACTACAAGAACATTGTAGTGTGCTTAAAAGCTTGTTACTACACGCTGTGGATCTCAGCAGCGTTATCCCAAAGGTAAGTGATAAGAAGCCATTCGATCAAAAATCGATATTCACTAGGGAAGCGAGCAATTAGGGCAGCTACATAGTTTAAATAGTTAAGATTTATTGGGTTTGGCCTGTTGCAAGTTTACGTGTGCCCCAGCCAGTAGTATTAAGTGTAAACAAGGCATAAATCTTCATGAATGCAAAATAAAAGTTGAAAAGTAAGAAAGCGGGAAGAGCAATGATGTGCTGTGGCCAGCGAATGAGATGAGGTGAAAGTTTAACAAGGCGAGTGAGGATCAACCATACAAGATACGAGGCGACAATGTTCCATTGTGGTAAATGATACTGAAGGAAACAAAGGATTACGACTGATACTGGGCCACTGAGAAGTGTAAGAGGGTTGAAGAACTTGTCAATCATGGTGTATGAAACAAATGGATGTCGAGTCCAGAGAAAGCGTTCGGTGAACAACGAACGAAAATCCGATCGCCATGTATTGCGAGTCCACCGTAAAACTTGTAACAAAAACCGCCAGCTATCCTTAAAGGTAGATTGCAGCTGTGCTTCTGGACATACTTGCATATAGGTTCGCCACCCATGTGAGATCATCCATCGTGTGAGAAACTTGTCATCGCCTGAATTGAGCTTGTACTTTCCACGCCAATAGTCATTTGTAAAGTTGTGGATAAAGCTGGGATCCTTGAGGATGACGGTGCGATAGGCGGCTGTACGGCCTGATATGCAGCATACACCTCCATCGATATGCGTTGAAGCAGCCACTTCAATGTTGCGGATGGTCAATCGAAAGCCTGCAAGCACTTCCCACACCGTTTGACGTTTGCCAAGAGGTTTTACGATTTGCGATGTACCCACTCCACCAATCGATTCATCTTCAAAGCATGCAAGAATGTATTGCAACATTGTAGGCTTCCATATGGCATCATCATCTGCAAACACAAGGATGTCGGTATCCGTGTGCCGGATCCCTTCTACCATTTGGTCACGTTTGCTTGCTTTGGGCACTGAATAAATCTTGATCTTGTCGGGTGCAATCGTATTTGCTAATTCTTGGATCGGCTCTCGCATAGCCTCCTCTGTTACAACCAATATCTGCTTTGGTCGACATGCCAACCAAGATCGTGCAGCTTCCTTGAATTCTTCACCAGCATCAATAGTGGGTACAACAATGGTAACATCTTGCTCTGGGTCATAGATAGGCTTTTCCAATGGGCGAATGGGGCGGTATACGATCCATGCAAGTAGCTTGATTAAGAAAATTAGATAACGATAGAATCCAATGACCCCCAATGGTACAAAGATGGGAAAGAAGTCGGCTGTCAGATACAGCATGATGATAAAGATCAATTAGGTATCATTCACAAAAAGAACAAAGAGGATACCAATGATGGCAAGAAGGTCTTTTTGTATTATACCAGGCTTCAGCTTACCATGGGTCTTCCAGGAACACCCACAGCTTTAGCCTTGACCCTTGCAAGGGCACGCCTTTATTTGTTTCGGGATAATTTCATATGCCCATCTCTATCGCGATTTCATAGTTCTCCATCTTTTTGATTCCTGTACAGCAGCAGGATAATAATTTGTCTCGGGATAATTATGATGGGTTCCAGTGCACACATTGAGACCCTCCAATCCTCAATAGCAACATTAAGCATGGATGATGATTGTGATACGACGTCAAGCGGTATGATGACCCATCCAATAATATGGATCATAGCTGATGGTTGTCTTATTGCTTGGACATGGAATGAAACATGAGATTAATAGGTAGTGAGCGTATTACTGTAATGTTTGCCAAATAATTTCATTCTGGAACTTTCTTTGATATCTTGGCACATGATGGTGGTGGTTTGGGTAAAGGGTTGGATCACATGATCGATAGCATTTTATAAGGATGCATTTGAAAAGAGCAGCAACTGTGAATCAAGGTGAACCGATGTCTATTTGACATGCCGATCTATGATGGCTTTTGAGAGCTGCAAGTTGATATAATATGCATGAGGCGTCTTGTCGTGAGGTAGCCAACCTCGTTGGGCATCCGCCCCTCTCACACTGTTGCCTTTTCAAGCGAATGATCTTGGTCATATCGTTTTCCCCACTCTTCTTCCCCCAAACTTAGCCCAGTTACATTTGTTATTTCCCATGAGTGTTTTCCTGATGCTGGCAATAATAGAGTATGACATGTTGTGTTTGCTAGTAGGAGGTAGATTGTTTGTATTATCCATAGCAGGCATGAGATGGGGTGGGGTGCTATTACTACCATGATGCTAGTGATGACTTGTAATACCAATGACATATGAGCAAAAGTAGATTTCATCATCAATGCATGATCAGTAAGGTTTTTGATCTATGGTTGATATACTTGGGGGAAGGGGAATTGATCAGATGGCATCGCATGATTATTGGAGTGCATAGTGAAACCAAGGGTGGAGTATTAATATCAATGTCCTCATTGTGTAAGAGAAGAAGAATATGAATGAATGAATGAATGCTATGACAGCTTTGTATGGATGAGAAAGTGAGATAGCAGCAGGCTTTGTGTACAATTGCAATAAATAGAGAGAAAACTGCCGACTACAAAGAAGGTTGCACCACGTGCATGTGCCCCAACTCGGTGGGTTACCAAGAAAGGCGCTTCTTTTTTTTCTTACTCTTCCCTTCCTACACCCACTCTTCCTCAAGAGCACTCCTCCCTTTTCAACCAATATGTCTGTGCAGCTTAATCCCGAAGCACAACTCACATTCAAACGTAACTCTTCAAGCAATGTCACGCTTCAACTGAACTATGTTTATTAATCTCGTCATGCGGGTATATACACATACAGGACCTCTCACTCAAGTTACCAAGGAATTGCTCCTGGTCACTAACAACAATGATGACCCGGTCATGTTCAAGGTGAAGACAACAGCCCCAAAGCAATACTGCGTGCGTCCCAATGCAGGCCGAATCGAACCGAAATCTCAAGTGGAAGTGCAAGGTAATTCATATACAAGCTCTAGCTTATCTACACGGGCCATGTACTTATCAATCTATACGCATACGTACGCCTTACTTTTCTTCTATGTATAGTCATCCTACAACCATTCAAAGAGGAGCCTCCAAGCGATTTCAAGTGCAAGGACAAGTTCTTGGTGCAAACAGCCGTCATTAAGCCTGCGCATGAAGCGTTGCCTATCGCAGAAATGGTAAGGGGAGGTGATTGTTTGAAGGGGAAGATGATATCATACATTGAAAGGATCGAGATGATATGATGTGATACAGGGGGATGAATACAAGAAACGCGTTGTAGCTAAACGTTCATGCATCAAAATCTAGTGGAGCTTGACCGAACAAGAGGATCGTCAAGGTATCTTTCAACAAAAGATCAAGTGCGTTTTCTTGCCACCTGAGGAACAACCAGCACAACAACAAGAAGAGCAACCAGCACCCAAGGAACAACCCGCTGTTGTAGAAGAACAACAAGCCGAGCCTGTTGAGCCTGTTACTGTACGTTTGTTTTGTTTGGAAGGAGGCGGTGTCATATTCGGTATTAATTGAGACATCTGAACATTCTATTACGATTAGGCTACTTCGACCACTGCCCCAGCAATTGATACAATCCCACCACCATCTCAACCTCCAGTCGCTGAAGTACCCAAGGAAGAGGAAAAGGTGGAACCAAAGCCAGAGCCAATTCCTGATGCTGTTGCTGCACCACCTGTTGTTGAAGAGGAAACCAAGCCCGAGCCTGTTGTTGCTGAACCCAAGCCTACTCCTGTTGCTGCACCTGCACCATTGATTGTTGATCAGGCACCTGAACCAAAACCACGATCTATGCCACCAGCAGCAGCAGCAGCTCCTATTGAAAAGCCTGTTGTGGATGAAAAGCCTATTATCGAGGAGAAGCCTGTTATCAATGAACAACCACCACAGCCTATTGTGACCGAGAAGAAGCATCAAGAGGAGGATGGTGAAAAGAAGACTTTGAAGGATGAGCTGCAGTCTGCACGCGAATTGATTGAGCAATTGAGAAAGCAGGTGACGACTCTTCAAAAGGAACAGGAGGCAACAGGTAATGGAGGAAAAGGATCTCGCAAGTTGGCATCCACAGTTCAACCCCTTGATGCTGTTCATCAACATCTTGCTGCTCTTGAAAAGCCAAATGTGACCGAAGGGTATCCACCACAAGTCGTCCTCGCCGTTGCAGCCTTAGTTTTTGTCTTTACCTACTTGTTCTTTTAATCTTTCGTATCCTCCCCCCCGCCAACCACCTCCACGCACACCCAGCATCAATTATTACTTCTCGATCACCATAGCTATGATTGATCTATTACCAATGACCCCATTACCACCACCACTCTCAAAAGAAAAAAGAGATTGCATGCAAATCATATTAGATGTGTTTGATGGTATAGCTTGAAAATATTATAAACAATGGAATTACATATCTACATGGATGAGGAGGAGGATGCTAATGATGGTAATGCAATGGAAGAAGAAGAGGATGCAATAGTGATATCGTCAATGACACCACCACCAAGGCACCAATCATCTAGGTAAATGACTACTTGTTGACCAGGCGCGAGAGCACGAATGGGATCGATGAATTGGACGTGACAATGATTGGGATTATCTTTGCTCAGGGATACCAAGGCCTTTTCGGGTTTCATGCGGTACCTAACTTGGACATCGACAAGAAGACGTTGACCTTTGGAAAGATCCACTGGTGGATGGCCGTTGATCCAAATCCAATCACGTGTACGGCAAGCTGAGTGAAAGAGTGCTGGATGGTCTGAACCTGCTACGCACAATAGAGTGTTGTCATCCAATTGCTTGTTGGCAACATACCACTTGTGGGGTCCATGACAGATGCCTGATGCTTGACCAATAGTATAACCATAAAGACCACGATGTTCACCAATCACAGTGCCAGTGTCGATATCGATAGCTGGGCCTGGTGGTTGATCGATGTACTCGGCTAGGAAATCAGCAAAGCGACGACGTTGACCCACAAAGCAGATGCCATAGCTCTCACGTTTCTTGGCAACGCTATGTAATCCTAATTCGGCTGCAAGGCTCTTGACTTGTGCTTTTGATTGGAATTCACCCAATGGAAACATGGTACGCTGTAAGGCATCTTGGCGGACGGCGGATAAAAAGTAGGATTGATCTTTATGTCGATCTCGACCACGTAAAAGACGACCACGTGAATCCGTACGGCAATAATGACCGGTGGCAAGCCATGTGTCTGGTGGCACTTGTGCCAATAGTGAACCGAATTTGATATGCTGATTGCATTGGATATCAGGGTTGGGTGTCAATCCTCTTGCATAGTCGTTCAATGTCTGCTCAAACACCTCGTTCCAGTATTCTTTAACAAAGTTCACTTGTCGACAAGGAATCGATAGCTGATCACACACTCGTTGCACGTCCTCCCAATCTTGTACGCTTGTACAGACTCCTCGTTCATCCGATGTATCCCAATTGCGCATGTAGATGCCTTGGACATTGTGTCCCTGCTGCTTCAACAAGGCTGCTGTAACGCTGGAATCGACGCCACCTGACATGGCCACCATGACTCTTCGAGGTATACGTTGCATTGTGTATGTGTATGCGTGTGTGAATAATGAAATAGGTCAGGTGTAGTTGTAGTTGCAAAAAGATGAATAAACTTTTGACGTCTCCGGTTCATTCATCCGGGTCGGTAAACAATCGGCTGGGTATTGGGTGGGTTGATGCATGGGCGCATAGTCGAAATGGGTTATATGGATTGCTAATCTCCGTGATTGTAGCAGCAAGTCCCTGCCTCTCTTTTTCCCTTTGGTGCCACACACAACACAACACTACACAACATGTGCATGCGTACTCTTGCACATCCAAGTTCTTTATTTAGCAGCAGCAGCAGCAGCAGCAGCATACTATACACGCACCACTCATAAAATACCTCCATCCTCGAGACGTACATCATGCGATGATAACAATAATGAAAAGGAGGCGGGGTGATGATAATGGTGCATTCATAAGAGCATAAAAAAGGCGCCACAATGTACTCAGGCAGGGTGCACGTGGATATGTGAAGAACGGGGCTAGATCAAGTAATCATGTTGAGTTCATTGTTCCTGCTACTTGGGTGGCATCTGTCGCATCAAACATCATGGACGTGATGAACAAATATTTGGATGCTTTTCACTGACAGACGACTCGCTTAATATGTCCCTTTTAAGGACGACCGCGTGATGATGAATCCACCGTTGATGATCTTCTGTTGTCTTGACAAGGGACACACTGCTTTACTTGTTCACACACACACCATCTTTATAAAAGAACATCTCAGAAAATTTCCTTTTCTCTTCCCTCCTTTTTTCCCTTCACTCTTGCAACCAAATCGCTTTCCCATCTTTCTTTCTCTTTATTCCTTCTCACTATTTCCATCTGCATACACTCATGCATTCCTTGTTGCTGCAGCACGACATTGCTTCGCCCGAGCGTTCGCTTCCATCAAGCCCACTTCTCTCCCCAGCTGTTGTCACCCATACCAATGCCTTGCACTCAAGCCATGGATCCAATTCTTCAAAAGATATGGCTGATCTCACAAGATTGCTCCAAAAAGTCGGCTCATCTCGGTCAAAACATGCTTATCCTGCTGCTGTAAAACCAACATCGCCACCAACATCATCCACTGCTTCATCTTCAACATCATCATCTACATCGTCTTCATCATTTTCGCAACCATCCACTGCTCCTTCATCTGTTCCTCATCCTCGCCATTCACCCGTTATCCCAACACCAATGCCACAACAAGCTCATTATCAAAGACCCCAATTGCTTCATCGCTCAGCATGCTCAAATTTGCCAGCACAATTCGTATTCAAAAAGCCAGAGTACGATGAAGAATATCAACGCACCCATTTCCACCATCTCGCTACTGATTCCAAGGATTCCTTCTTGGGCTGGTCTGATCTACGACGCTTTTTTGTCTCTGATAATAGCCCTACTACTATCAATGCACCTTCAAGCAGCAACGATAGTGGTTGCCATGGACGAGTTTTGGAGGCGGATGTCATTGGCAACCAATTTCGTCATGACATTGAAGGTCGTTATGGTCGCTGGGGTATGTTGGATTTCTCTTGTTTCATTGTGCATGATTTGCTGTGGCAGAAAAAAAATCCCTCATAGCGAGAGAAATGGGGGAGCGATTTTGAGGCATTTTGTGGTTGGACCCTGAACTAATTTGCTCGTATTACTTTTTTATGCAATCCATTATACAGGCCGCTATATTGGTAAAGGTGCCGGTGGTTGTGTACGGTTGATACATCGGTCGGCCGATAGCAAACCTGTGGCAGTTAAGCAATTCCGTAAACAGCTTCCACATGAATCCGACAAGGATTACATCAAAAAAGTAACGGCCGAATTCTGCATTGGGTCGACCCTGCAGCATCCCAATGTGATTCAAACACTCGATATCATTCAAGATGGGCCCAATTTTTACGAGATCATGGAGTATGCACCCAACGACATGTTCAACATTGTCATGAGTGGCATGATGTCTCGTGAGGAAATTGGTTGCTGTTGGCGCCAAATGTTACAAGGTCTCGAATACCTCCACAGCATGGGCATTGCTCATCGTGACCTCAAGCTTGATAATCTTGTTCTTGACCACCAAGGCATACTCAAGATCATTGATTTTGGATGCTCATGCGTATTCAAGTATCCTTTTGAAAAAACCACCGTTCGCTCCAAAGGTATGTGGCATGATCCATTGCATATAAGATCTTTGTCTCACACACCAGATCTATGCTTATCATCTTCATCACCAGGTATCTATGGCTCTGAACCATACATTGCTCCAGAACAGTACACCCAAACAACCTACGACCCTGTAAAATCAGATGTTTGGTCGTGTGGCATCATCCTCTTTTGCATGATCATTCAACGTTTTCCATGGCAAGTGCCACGTATGTCGAATCCTGCTTTTCGTGCTTTTGCAACCAATCCTACACAACAGCAATTTCGCATCCTTCGTATGTTGCCACGTGAGACACGTTCCATCATGGCATCTTTGCTTGAGCTCGATCCTTCAAGAAGGCCATCGGTCAAGGCTATCCTTAACAATGACGCTTGGGTCAAGAATATTGATGTATGTACAATCGACACCCCTGGTGCTCACCATGTGCATCATGTTCAGGAGGCATCAAGTTGCACAAACGAGCGCGGCAATCTTGTCATCATGACCTCTGAACCACCTGGCTATGTTGCTGAAAAGGAACGCCGAAAACAACGGATGAGAGCATCCGTTTCACCACCACCACCATCACCTTCAACTTCCAGAAAATCATCACCTGGTTGTTCCACCCAATTGCTCAAGGTGGCATAAACCCAGTATACGACACACACACACACCCACTACAACCTTATCCAACCACTTTTATGCCATCCAAGGCCCTACACATCTTATACACTCAACCCACATTTTTCATTTTACAAAAGCCTCCTGTCATCATCCTTCAACCCATGTATTCTAACTTAATGTTGTATATGTAACATCCTTTTCAACGTTCATCATCACCCCCTCGTTTGTACTATAAATCAAGCCCAACAATATAACAATCTTTGTGCTTTTTGGACACAACATAAATGACAAAGTTGATCCCATTTCGATGCAGCACAACGTGATGTAACTGCATGCAATAGGTGTTTGCATATCTGGGGAAACGATATGCAGCTTGGCAATTGGAGCATTCGTGCATATGTAGTATCGGAAATGGCTTTTTCGGATAGGCGGTTTGTTGTATATCCATGAAACAAATGGATCACTCTTGCACATGGTGAGGGTTATGGATGGCGGTGGTGCTTTCCCACTTGATGGTGGTGACCTGTCATTTGGTGCGACATTTCTTTGTACACACACATGTGGGTGCTAGTACATGTCTGCAGATTGTCATGCAACTTTACTGTGCACATCATCATTTTATGAGCAAAAATCATCTGCTTTTCTTTCGCTTTGGCAGTTTAATATGCAGGAGTTGAGTAGCAAGGAATTAGGCCAGGGGGAGGGAAAAAAAGTCAAAACACATCTACGTAGTAGTAGTATAAGCTTGTTTTTCGGCTTGTTCAGAAAAGGACACGCCACAAGCGCATCCCCCTTCTTTTCCAAACAATAATATTACGTATGATCTACGATATTCGTATGCCTCGAGACGCACTAAAAATATCATGCATGTTGTTATTATACGCGGGATTTCCTGTTATCGTCATCGTGTTGCTCCTGTTACAAATTACCCTCATGTGCAACGACATCAAGGCCCTCTCACATCATCTTGACAACACAAGAGCGGGATAAAACAAACACATCAATAGGTGCGTTTTGTATGTACATGCATCTATTACAACATGACACTTTTCTTGGCATTAGGTGCTCACAGCTTTTATTGTGGTACTACACGAATGGCCGAGTGTTGTAGATCCATAGCGAATGTCCTTGAGCCGCATCAGTGGTTTGGATGATAGACCTTGTATCCTTTATCTAACAACATTGCCAAGCACCCTGATGGTGGTACAACCCATGCGAATCTGCCTCTTCTTAACAAATGCAACAATAACGTAATGAGACCAAGTCTTATTATACTCTCAACCTTTAACGTTTTCCATTTGCGTTATAATAGGATCATAATGCAGCTAGCTTTTCTTCGCTTTAAAGAGCACATGTGCCATCATTATCTTGGCAACATTATTCTCGTAGCTGGCATCATTGTTGTAGTTTACGTTTGCATGGTCCACAATGAGACATTTTCAACCCAGCTCTCTCTCTATGTATACATACATCATCCGACGATCAATAAAGTCTTCTCCTGGTTGATTGATTTTAAGGATCTTGTCTGCTGAGTTGAAAAAACATGGAGGCATTCATCATAGATCCAGCATTCGATGCTCTACTCGGGTAAGACAAATGCTGTTCACATGTTGAGGCGCGATGAGTATCAGCTGCTTTATTATCTTGGCGTTGGAACTATTTTTCTTATCGACCAGGAGAGAGAGAGAGAGAGAGAAGGATGATGGATTTTGGGGGAGAAAATAGTAGAAGAATTAAGATGCATCGGTATCTCAGCATTAAAAGAGTAAAAGGTTCTACCGCGTGGTGCATGTGCATTCTTGACGGGGAGAAGAGCCAGGGGCAAGTTGAGCAGAAAACGAGCAGAGAGGAAGATGAGTGGGCTTTCAAACGCGGTGTGAAGCCATAGATTCTATTGGCTATAGGCCACGAGGCAAGACTGAAAAAGAAATGGGTGTGCACGTAACCGACGACGACGCACAACCACGATAACTGCGCCGAGCATACACAGCTTTCCCCTTTTTCATCTCTTTTCATCTGCACTACTACTTTCATCATGGAGAAATTCAAAGAGGTACCGTTTCACGTCCTTTTATTTGACCTCAATGCTATCGTATACTAAACTCTACATTGCACGACAACGTGTACCTATTTACTTTGTCTCACTTTAGAAACTCGCTAACCTTCGCGCTGAAGCTGACGAAGCCAATGCCCACGCCGATGAGCTCGATGTGAAGGTCAAGCAACTTGAGTCAGAGCACACCTCCAAGGACCACGAACTTTTGTCCCTTCAAATTCGCGTCAAGAATCTCGAGGAACAGCTTGAGAAGACCGAGAACAAGCTCAGGGAAACCTCTGGAAAGTAAGTCAATGGGATAAACAAGGGGGGGTGGTTGTGTATGTGTGTTGTGTGGTTGTATCGAGTAGAGCTCTGTGTGTGTGGAAGTATGATGCTGATTGCATATGAACAATAGGTTCAACGAAGCTGATCTCAAGGCCGAGGAAGCTGAACGTAATGTCTCCAACCTTGAACAAGAGCTCAGTGAGAAGGAACAATTGCACGAGGAGTTGCAGGAAAAGTACAAGACTGCCAAGGCCGAATTGGATGAGCTTGCACGCCAATTTGATGAGCTGTAAACCAATCTTGCCCCCCAAATGTCCCTATTCCCCAGTCCATTCTCAAGGTCGAGGAGCTTCTTTTCTCATCAACATCGCAACACACTCAATATTAATCACCCCATCCCGATCAAAAAAATCGATTCATGCGTTTGCATGCACATTATCAAATGTTCTCTTGCCTGCTCGTGATTCAAGCGCATAAAATGGGAGTATCGGATATAATCATTGGATGGCATGATTGGCAATGGTGATATGGGTTACAATGTGGAAAGGGATATGGTTGTTTACAACAAATGACTTTTGCTTGGCAAAGTTGTCAGCTGTGCAAATGGGGCGAGGGTGACAAGCATTATAAAGATACTTCTTTGTGACAGTGGACAACCCGTTTTGAGCACGATGGGATGAGCATCTTACTACTCTTAACGTAATGAGGATAAATGAGCTCCGTGTATGTTGGCGTCGGGTAGAGGTAGTGTCTCGAAAAAGTCAAACAAGAAACATCATTATTATGGAAGACCCCAGGGGGGTTGAAATTATTATAACATTGGGTCGTAATTATCATGCACAGAACCCTTGCCAATAACTTTCTCTTTCCGAGCATGTCATTTTTCAATAGAATCATAGACAAAGCAAGGATAGGTGGCAGCCATACACCACAACAGATACCATCCGATCCATCGCCTGCAACCACTATCGAGCGTAATACTCGACACAGCAACCCTTATAGTGACGGAGGGTACTTTCGTCATACATCAGAACCATCGACTGCTATCGACCACCACCAAGTGCTATCGACCACATCAACAAGCACAAACCACGTTGCTACACCTGATGACCATAGCAATGATTCATCTTTATCGTCATGGCTTAGTAGTCGTCTATCCAAGACGCCTTCAGGTATCCTCTCTTGAAAGAAGACATACAAGCGTAATCCAAATCCTTATATGAAGGCCTATTGTAGAACACGCTAGCGCACAGCAATCAATGGAACATCAAGGTAAGGGTGCTAGTTACATACATGCATACATTGAATCTCCCATGTCCTTATCCATGGCTACATTTGTAGAAGCCCAGTATAAACGCTCTCGGCTACAGAAGAAATACCAAGAATATGATCAAGACATCGTATCCCAACGAAAGAATCGGCCACGTCTCCAGTTGAGCGATTTCAATTTGCTACGCACACTTGGGACAGGTTCTTTTGGACGTGTGCATTTGGCTCAGTCGCGTCATAATGCACGCTACTATGCTATCAAGGTGTTGAAAAAAACCGAGGTGGTGCGATTGAAGCAAGGTAGGAATGAGAAATGGGGGAACGTGGACTTTTATGGAAACTGATAGTGTATGATAGTGGAGCATACAAACAATGAAAAACACATCCTTGAAGGAGTGGCCAATCCATTTTTGGTCAACCTGTGGGGGACTTTTCAAGATGATAGCAACCTGTACATGGTCATGGATTATGTGCCTGGTGGTGAGCTTTTCAGTGTATTGAGAAAGAGCAAGGTGAGATGTACATACCTATGTGCTACATACGTAATGTACTAAAGTCATTGCTTTGTGTATCATACCAGCGGTTTCCGGATCATGTGGCCAAGTTTTATGCAGCGGAGGTGATACTGGCTCTCGAGTACCTGCATAGCAGGAGGATTGTGTACCGCGACCTTAAGCCTGAGAACCTACTATTGGATTCCAATGGTCACATACGCATCGCTGATTTTGGATTTGCCAAGCTTATACCTGACAACGTGACATGGACGCTATGTGGTACACCGGATTACTTGGGTATGTTGATATGAGCAACGAAGATAATAATAGGATGCTGATGGCAACAACAACCACTTTAACAGCACCTGAGATTATTCAATCCAAAGGCTATGGAAAATCGGTTGATTGGTGGAGTCTAGGTGTGCTGATTTATGAAATGCTGGCAGGGTATCCACCTTTTTATGACGACGACCATTTAAAACTCTATGAAAAGATCATGCATGGCAAGATTCGATGGCCAAGTTACTTTGATCCTAATGCCAAAGACTTGTTGGCAAGGTTGTTGACATCGGATTTGACGCGTCGCTATGGCAACCTCAAGAGTGGCGCTGAGGATGTCAAACGACATCCATGGTTTACAGCGGTGGATTTTGATCTTGTGGCGAGTCGACAAATCCGGGCACCTTATATCCCGCACATCCGCGGCAATGGCGACACGAGTCATTTTGATAAATATCCCGAGGCAACCGAACGCTATGGTGCACCTGCAGATGATCCTCATCGCCATCACTTTCCTGATTTTTGATAGCATGGATACGTGTGTATATAAGAGAGATCCGCATATTGGGTTTGGAATAGGTTGCACAACGCCTCCTCCATGTCGATCTCTTTTGTGTAGAGAAGATTCCTGATTTTCCATGATTGCCCTACACACCGACATTGTTAATGCATTGACAGAACATGTTCCCTTTTTGGGTTATTCAAAGAAACTTTTATCCTTTTCCCTCTCTGGTTAATGTTAAAGCCAAGTGAAGAAGCCACAACAAACAATATAAATGAGATCAATTAAGGCTTGGGTAGCACAATCCAACGCCATTCGATGATGCACAACATCAGCACACGTACATCATTCAGCAGCATAAATGACCTGGGGCCACAGTCATCTACACACTTTTAGCGTGATCATCCTTTTTATTCTTCAACTAGAGAAGGGGGGGGATCAACTACTACAAGTACATCCTTTCGTTTCTCGCTGCTACTATTTCATCACATGGCGATGTCAAGTTCGTTGTTGCTTCGTCTATCAGTGGTGGTGCTGGTTTCTATGGTCCTGTTGGTGCTCTTCACTTGCACAATCACCAATCGTGGCTTGCTCCCTATCTCAATCGCCAATCCAGCAAATGAGCATCACGATCTACCTTGGTACAAACACGCCCATCGAGCAATGGTGTCTCCATTGTTGTCAGCAAATGCGACTACCAGCGAACGTCAAAAGCTACAAGAATACTGGATCGATGCAGCACGAGCGTTAGCGGACAGGACGTTTGGAGACAGGTTCAAGGATAAAGTACCAGGAACACATGTTGATGTGGCAACACTACGTGCAACGATCGATGGGTGGACGCGTGTGGCAAAGAAAGGAGAACATGATGGTGGTGGTGGTGGACGATGGATCTACAACAACAGTGACAATATAGCTACGATACGGCACATCCAAGATGAGTATTACAGTACATGTGATCATCACTTTTACGCCACACACAGCAACAGCGACATACGTGATGCAGTACGGTATCGATGGCAACCTGAACAAGAGCATCCATTGATAGCTGAGGATTTGGATCGTGACAAATGGTGCGAGTTGCTGGATGGAAGGAATATCATGGTTGTTGGTGATCTTGTGCAGTATCAGATCCATGAGTTACTCCTCGACATCTTACGTGATGGCCCCAGTGTATGCTATGGTGAGATGGGATGCAAACGTGAGTAGGATTATCCATATCAACAAAGATCACAAGCATCTGATACTGATGCATCCATATTATTAGCCCATACTATATGTCAAGAACCACATCCTCCAGCAACATTACGCTATTATCGCAATGATATCCTTGCCAACAACAAAGAGATGGTTGATTCGCACGATCATGGACATCCTTCAGCTTCGGTGGTGCTGGCACCCTTCATGCACAAGTTTATGCTACGCGAATACGATGTTTACATTCTCAATGCGGCAACTGTAGCAGATGACGATGATGATTCATTTATGCAACAACTTGTGGATACGTTGGCCACATTACGAGAGCACAAACCCAACGCCTTGGTGATCTATACGTCATCGTATCATGGTCATCCTTACTGCGACGACGCTATTATACCACTGGATCGGCCATTAACGGACATTGAGCGGAGGCGACTACCCTATGGATGGAGCGAAATAGCGCGGCGCAATGCCATAGCACGCGTTATTATCGAAGCTGCAGGTGGCTTATTTGTGGATCTCGGTGCAATCATGGAATTAAGACCCGATGGTCATATTGGTGGTCAAGATTGCTTACGTTATTGTATGCCCGGACCTTTAGATGCGTGGGGAACTCTTTTGTACAACGTGATGCTTGCCACAGTGTCATTGGTGGAATAAACCCGCCCTTTTTTATATCATGTAATGGGACCCTTACTGGTATCGATGTGAATGTAAAGTAAAGAACAACCAAAGCAAGAAAAAGCTTTTTTCATGATAAAAGTGATATACTGGGGATAAGGTGTGATGATGTTTTGCGTATGCGTATGGGTGATGAAAATGGCTATAGATTTTGAGTAGTACAAAAAATGATTGTGAGCGGGAGACCACGGAATCTAATTGTTTCCGGAAGGATAAGCAGCTGCCAAGTTTGGCACAGGGTGACCATTGTTGGATGCAGCGATGCCATCTTTGATAGATGTGGTCACTGGTTTGCCATGCTCCTTGACAACTTGTGTAGCGACATCCATAAAGTCTTGAATTACTTCAGCGGGGATTTGGTAATGCAGCACAATGCGAGAAACGGTTGCGCCCGGTGTGGCACTAATCTTGATGTTTTTCTTGATAAGCTCGGCAGCTAGCGTGTCGATTGTGAGGCCGACTGGTGAAACATCAATGAACAACATGTTGGTGTGGCAAGGCAACACCAAGTTGATACCCAGTGATTGCAAATGCTTGGCAAGACGCGAGGCTAAAGCGTGTGTTTGTGGCAGGGTGGGAACAACAGTATCGATACAATGACGTGCTGCGGCAGCCTATGATGAACTTTGTAAGCTAATCTACCAAGAATGTGTATCCATATCATGTGTGTGCGAGCATACCAACGAACCAGCTTGACGCCATCCACCACCCATCAATTTGCGTAAGTGACGAGCTTTGCGAATACGTTCCTTGTTACAAGCAAGAATGGAACCAATAGGTGCACCAGCACCCTTGGAAAGGCAAACAGACACGGTGTCAAAAAGCTTGCCGTACTCCTTCAATGGAACGCCCGAAGCGGCACTTGCATTCCAAAGACGAGCACCATCCAAATGCATCAATAGGCCAAACTCATCAGCGACTTGACGAATACGTTTGATCTCTTCAATAGGCATCACCATGCCATTTAATGTGTTTTCAAGACCAATCACTAGTGATACGTGTACGTATTATGTCAGCCATTAGGGACGATGACAAATCAATGTTTTGTTTTACCTTTGGTGGGAGCACCGCAAAGTTCATCAGTGACAATGGCGGCACGAACGTCTTCAGCCGTCAAATGAATACCATTCTTTGGCATTACAGGAGTCACGCTAGCTTGTGAATGATAGCTGAGACCACCACACTCATGAACATGGATGTGTGCTCGAGCATCACTCAACACGGAATGAGGGGGCTGTGTTAAGATGGTACGTAAGCCAAGTTGGTTGGACATAGTGCCGCTAACGCAAAACAAAGCAGCTTCATGACCCAATAGATCAGCCATGTACGCTTCAAGCGCCTTGACATCGTCATCAGCCTACATGGTCGTCAATGAAATGATTCGTCATATGGTATGTTAAGCGTGCGAAAAAAAAATCAGGGCAATGATCCTTTGTTGCATTGTTCATACCTGGAACACATCATCACCACGAGATGCCATTTTCATGACCTCAAACATCTCATCCGTGGGCAATGTAGCGGTATCACTAGTGATATCGTACACGCGGGCTGTAGTGCTTGCAGGAGACATGATAACAAAAGTGCGATTGAGATAGGAAATGAAAAGAAAGAAAGAGAGAGAGACGCCTCTTATCATCAATTGTGCTGTCTTTTTTTTTCCTCACTTCAGGACCAGCCACTATGAGGTATTTTCTCACGATCGACCGAATGCCGGACGAATAGTGTTTAATGCTCCCAGGCGATCAAAAATGTCTTTTAATGGTGAACGTGCGCTTGTGCTTTTTCACATCCCGACACACATACACACACACTTTACGGCATTTACCCGCAAGACGCTATTGGTTGTTTCACCGCTATTTGTTTGCTATTCTCATTATTGTTGGGACGCATCAAGCATGATTTTTCCCTTGGCACCATTGCAACATGCACGATGTGATCCACTTAATCCATTATCTTACCTCGGTGCATTTCTAATTTCAAGAGTCGCTAGACTCGTAAATGTTTGCACTTGATCTTATATGGAATAGGAATGGGTAAAGTAAGCAAAAAGAGTGAAACAAGGAAGGGACGAGTCATCGGCAACAATAATGAGTGCTCCACAGCACATCTCACTTGGTGTCACTTAGATCAAGGCATGACTCGGATTGAACCACGTTTTCCATAAACCCCTTTTCCTGCAATCAGTTGATGGATCCTGCCTTTTTGGGAGTACGTAAAGATTATCTACGTCGGACTTGCCTATGCATAGCCATCACACTGCCTTCCCATCTACAATTTATATATTTCCTCGCACCTGCTCACTCCTTGCTTCTTTTTTTCTTATACTTCTTTTCCTTTCTTTCCTCTTTCTTTTTTCCCCTCTCTCATTTACCCTATCAATGTCAATCGAATCTTGTCCAGCTACTTTTGAAGGCGTCGAATACATACGATGGATTCATGTATGATCAATTATGCAGCTGCCTTTGTAATCACCAGCATACTCATTTCCTTTTAGACAATTTTTGGTGATTGCGTCTATGGCTGGCAAGATTGCTTTAGTTGGGCGCTTGGCTATATATCCATCCTTTGCTGGTTGAATGCACAGATGCCGTAAGTGAATTACCATTGGTATTAAAAGAACGTCAACACTCATCATGCAACCTACTATGTTTGCCTACCTAGTCAAGTCATCAAGAATTATAGATATCAAGATGCCGAATCGCTCTCCTTTTCTTTCCTCACCGTTTGGTTATCCGGTAAGAATCAAAAGGACAAGGACAATGGAAAGCAAATTGCCTAATCGAGTTTATTGCAGGCGATGTGGCCAACTTCATTGGTTGCATATATACCGGTCAGCTTAACTTTCAAGTGTACCTATCCATTTACTTTATCTTCATCGATACCCTATTATGCTTCCAATGGCTTTACTACGTCAAATATCCGGATAACCGCTTACGTCAATGGTTCAACCCTACTTTGAAAATGGACAAAGAGCAACTCTTGAAGAAGACAACGGCTGATGATGGTACTACGGACATTGCCAGATACGGCTCTGTAGCCTCGTCATCACGCACCTTGCTCATGGCTGGTCTCCTTGTCACACTCACCCGAATGGCATCACCTGAGCAATCCGTTACGCTCACGACCACCATGGTAGCATCACACGACACAATCGATGGGGCAGATTTATCGTTATTGTCACAAGATGCCGATACCTTGTGGATGGGTCGTTTCTTTGCTTGGCTATGCACCTGCTTGTACCTAAGTTCAAGGGCCCCACAGATCCTCAAGAATTACAAACGTCAATCGGTTGAAGGACTTGCCATGGCCCTGTTCATGTGTGCAGCTGCAGGCAATTTCACTTACACTCTTGGCGTATTCACGAACCCTCATCAAACTCGTCAATCCTTGATTGAATCGGTGCCATACATCATCGGCAGTGCCGGTACTCTTGTTTTTGATTTAACAATCTACATCCAATATCGCCTTTACAACAATGATACCCGGGAGAAGAATGTCGATCGTGTTTTACAATTGCCCTAGACATTCTATCTTCTTTTGCCACACACAACGCCATCTCCTCCTATTATTTTCTACACCTCCCCTCTTACCCCACTACTAGCAAATCCGTTTTTGATTCCCACACACCACTCACATCTCCCACCAGAGCTTGTACATAGATCAACCGCATAATACATTCAACACACGCACCACCACCACCACCATCACCATCACCACCTTGGATTCCCAATATAAGTTTGATTCAAATATTATCTCTTTTTGTGTTGTCAATCACTGAAAGAAAAGGCTGGAGGATATAGAATTATAAGAAATGTAATGATGTTCACCAAAGAAAAACGTAATCGTACTCCTGGGTTCATGATGGTTCAGAAAGAGAGAGAGGCTGATCTACCTTCTCAAGGTACCACGGCTCTGAAGGTGATAGATTTGCTCAAGTTCGGCTTCAAGGGCTTTGATTCGTGCATGTTGATCTTCCAAATCCTTATTCAATCGGTCACGTTCGGACACCAACTATATGAATGTTGTCAGCATCGGCTCCTCTTTTGCTATGTCCATCCTGTAATTTACCTGCTGCTCCCATTGACGGAAACGGTTTTCTTCAGCCTTAACTTGCTCTGTGAATTGCTTACGAAGCAAGTCTTCCTTCTCACGATGCTTGGGGTTCTCGTATTTCTTCACCCTTGAAACAAGAAAAAGGTGATGTGAGTAAAAAAAGCAATGTATGAGCCTGCATCCATGACATACTTTGGTTCACCAAACTTGCGAGAAGCCATTTGTTGTTGACGATAGTTTTCATAGTGAATCTCTTCGGTCGTGGAAATCAAATCAAGCATATGGTTGCGGATCAACAGGTTGCGTAACTTTTTAAAGTCGCAATGATCTTCATTCTCCACTTCGGCCACACCCCATGAATATTGACGACCCAACACTTGACGACCATCAGGCGTGTTGACTTGCTGCGTGGATCCAATGATGGAAAATGGCATGGCTGACATGATATCCTTGTTTCGGGTAGTCACATCTTCTTCATCACTCTCAATGGGGCACGAGTAGACGCGGATGTTTTGTGCTTCGATCGTCTCTAGAATCTTTATACGAGAGAGAGAACTTGATTAATCATTGAACATCCTATATAGAAGAAATAGGCTTTGGGACTTACACGTTGCTTGAATTGCGCAAGGTCATTGGGAGTAAGGGTATCTGCCTTGGCAATGACAGGAATCAAGTTGACACGGGATCCTAGACGCTTCATAATCTCGATATCCAAAGGCTTCAACCTATTAGATAAAGTGTAAATAAACCTTGATTTCATTCCTCTTGTAATGCGACAACTTACCCATGGCCATTGGGTCGGATAAAGTAAAGGCAAGCATGCACACGCATATCGATGACACCTTGACGACTTGGTTGTTGCTCTTGACGCATATAGTTCTCATGCTGATCATCAATGAACTCGACCACAGGCAACCAGCTATCGTAGTTGTTGACATAATCACCAAAGCCGGGCGTATCAATCACATTGAGCTTGACCTTGAACATCTGTTCCTCCAACTCTATAAGGGGACGGTGTTGTCAGCCACAAGCGATATCCCGATAGATCATCACCACCCTCATTGAATCCCATATCTCCTTGTCAAAACACATACCTGCTTTGGTAATCTCAATCTCGACAGTACGATCGAGCTGCTTCTCATGGCGCTTTGCAGGATTCTTGTATGACTTGATGGACGTTGTAAAGAGTGTATTGATAAAAGTGGTCTTGCCAACACCCGATTCGCCTTCAATAAAAGACTCGAATGTTAGCCTGAATGGAGCGAGATTGTTATCGAGATGAAGGAGTACTCACCACACACCATGACGGTGAACTTTGCACCACGGTTGGTGACAATTTTGTGCCGTTGGTTGGGCAAATGAGCAACGCCAATACCCGATGAAGAAACGGTGACAGGAGCCATTAGATAAGAGAAGGAAAGACGAGAAAGAGAAAAAGACAGAGAAAGAGAGAAAGAGAGAGAGAGAGGGTTTGGGTGTGTGTGCCTTAAGGAGTGGTACAAGAAGGAAAAAAAAGGAAATCCAACGAAGCACAGCAGCAAGATGTATATCTTAAAGAGGTCCAACTATTGATGAATGCCATCAAACCATGTGTAACCTAGCCCTTGAGATTATCTCGAATACTGTATCTCCATGGTTGTCATGCAACTCATATTAAGGAGAATAAAGCCTTTGTTTCTCTTTTCCCTTCACACCATCTACAACAAAGACGCATGTACCCTCTTTATCTTTCCATACTACAATGACCTTTACCTCCCTCTGCCCACTTGTAAATGACTTTGTTACATCCTAAATCATAATAAACTATGCGATGATTGAAAGCTATAGCTCAACAACAACGCATAATGAACATACCGGCATTCATTCGGTTGCTTTTGATTTTAAAAAAAAAAGGGCACTGCAATAATCTGTGACAATGAAGGACCCAGCAGCAGATGCATACAGGGCACATTGTTGTTGTTCTTTCATTACCGTGTTGGGTAGTTGAATACATCGCCTCATTTTTTCAAGGATGTAACATGAAATGGAACTAGCATAAGTTACTATGATATTCCTCTACCCACGCACATCATGTTGGGTTGGTATGTGCGTGTCTTTTATATACGTACTTTATGTGCAACGCAAGTCGCATTGGGAAATGAGATCATCTCTGTGGTTCGTTTTCCTTCTCCGACCTTTTACGTTTGCCCGCCCAGCTCTCCCAAACATGCGACACATGGTGATGAGCTAATTCAATTGACATTACACATATACACATGCATGCACTTTATCAGGGGTAGCCCATTCTGGAATTTCCCATGTTGATGATTGTTACTTATGCAAGTGGCCCTGAATGATACGCATTACTTTTTACTCTCTCCCCCAGGTAAACTTTGTTCGTTTACCAAAAGCTTGTGCATTTTACGATGCTCCTCCTCCTCCTCCTGCGCTTTCTCTCTCCCCTCCCCCCTACATTATCCCAAGGAGAAGATGCAGTTTCTTGGCATTGGGTATTCGATATCGATAATGCAAAGAATGTTTATATTAGAAAAGATGATATATACAATGAAGTTGAATAATGCTTGGTGAATAAAGAAAAACGAAACAACGGGTTGAAACGCGTCGGAAATAGGATAGGGCGGTTTTAGGTGGTATTTACATGGTCAATGATATAACAGAGACGACAAAAGCAGGGTAACAATATAGGGTAGAGTACGTCTTTGATAATAACACCGTCTAGTACCATGAGGATGAAATGAGGTCCTTTTGAATAAAGTCGTCGGTCGAATCTCGTGAGATACCAAAAGCTGTGGGTCGTTGTTGATGTCCTCTTCCTGCTGCGCTGATATGAATAGCACTGGCCATAGCAAAGTCAGATTCTTCAAAGGATTCATTTGCCTTGTTCTTGGTGGAGTGACGTGGTGCTTCTGCACGCTTGAGTTGCATGCGAATACCGTTCATGACTGTGGAAAACATTGTGTGTGTGTGTGTGTGTGAAAGCGAGTGAAGAGAAAGTGGAAAAGAAGAAAATTGGAATGCGGAACGGCTTTCACCGTGCCCTCCCCACCTTTTTATATGGTATCGGCACGGGTAAAGGGGCATCCAGAAAGAGGTTACCCTGTTTTGGTAATCGCCGTTTTTCGATTCACCTGGACCAATAGAATTATGTCAAGAATAGAAAATTATCTCTTTATTTCTATGATAAGATTACTTAATATTACAAATCCTCGTCCTCGTCAGGAAGGATGTCTGATGGAGGAGCACTAGGCATATTCATCATCATATTGTCATCATCGCCCATCATCATTGAGTCCTCTTCAAAGGCATTTTGACCACCCCCTTGCAATTTACGAGCTCGCTTTGCCATCAACTTTTGTTCCTTGGCTAATTGTTGGTTGCGTTGTAAGCTGTTCATCAATTCTTCTTCGGCTTGAGAGAAGAGCTGCTGCTTTTGATTAGGTCCGGTTCCTTTCTTCTTGAAACGCATGGCATCCACAACAATGTTTGATCCATTTTGCCTTGCTGCTTGTACCTCGTTGGAGTCATCCTCAATCATGGAATTCCTAAAATAAAGATGCACATGTCAATCGGATCCTGTATACTTTCCCATTGACTCATCCACCAAATACATACTCTGTTGCAGCAGCTGCATCAATCATAGTATCACCAACGTCCATCATATCAGCATCCGTGGATTGCTAAAATAGCAGATGATGCATTAGTATACAAAATCACACCACTTGTGTGTTCCCGATCACCCCACATAAATAGTGTAAACTTACCATCACAACTGCATTATTGCCAAAATCAGCAGCTCCCCGCAGACCACCAAGGATCGATTGATCGGCAGCTTGAAGCTCATTAATATTAAATTCTTGACCCCACGATGAAACAATCGCACTGCCAAAGTCGCGTGTTTGCTTGTTCGCAGGTGGGAGGGTATAAAATGGAATCTTGCCACTGTTCCAATCTTGAAGCACTGCACGAGCCACCAGCTGGATATCGGAAATACCTCCCTATAAGCAAAGCGTCTATGTTAGTAACCTTGTTGTTATCCATGTTCATGCCATTGAATGTACCTTTTTCAGCTTTCCTCGTTGCTGTGCCAACAAGACCAAGAATTCATGTGCGTTATTGAACCAACCCACGTCATACATGGTCATCAGCTGTTGGGTCGGGATTTTTGACACAATCACTTCCACTATGGAGAAAAATTAGTCATGCATGGTTCCTTTTGATTCCGAAATCTCCCAATACTTTACCCGGTGTGATTGGATCCTCCAACAATTCGACCTTGATACAATTCCTCAATGCAATCTCAGCATCGCTTTGACCATCTTGACCGTGTGATGCAAACACGATACCCGGGCAATCCAATAATTTGATATTCTTGTCAAGCGTGATTTGCTGTGCCACCTTGGTGAAGCCCGGTGTGGATCCAACACCACATACTTTGGATCGTGCTAATGAGTTGATAACAGATGATTTGCCAACATTGGGATAACCGATAATGCCAACTGTAATGGATGTCTTGATATGCGCACTACGACAATAATTCTTCAACAAGGCCATCAAGTTCTCGGCACCAAGACATTCTGATGTGTTGAGCATTTGCTCGCTTGCAACATCCGTTGACACATTCGATCGACCCAGGTGTTTACGCTGAGATTGTGTTGAAGACTTGAAAGCGATGGCGGGATACTCGTTGCGTAGATACTTGAGCCATTGTTCAATGTTCTCTTTGGGAACCAAATCTTTGTAAAGGCTTGTATTAGAAGATCCCATACACATACACGTACACGTAGGCCAAGTGGGCTACATACCGATCTTATTCAAAATAAGAATCACCTTCTTGTTGAGACCACTATCGATGATCATGCGTTCAACATGGCGTGTGCGAGTACCAAGTGGATCCCGCGCATCCAAAATTTCCAGGACAACATCCGCATTCTCAAGCACCTTTCGAAATTCACGGAAATAAGCCTTCCTTGAGTTATCCTTCTCGCCACTCAATGCAGCATCCTTCATGTCTTTGCTGAATCCATCGTGTTGTTGTTGTTGTTCAGCTTGCTGCGTGTCAAAGGCCTGGCTTCTTTGCTCGGCATTCTTGACCATGTCCAATAATGATGTGTGGTTGGTGAATTGTCGGTTCTTGTTTTGAAGGAGTTGTCGTGCTTTGGATTGCTGGTCTCTAGCTGCTGCCATCTAAAAGCGTATCTTAATACATCACATACACCTCTATCGTATCGACATCCAACATACTCGTTTCCTCTTCTCTTCTTCCTTGTTTTGTTGTTTTTGCTTAAAGTGAGAGAGATTGGGGAGTCCAGGATCCTTCTTCAGTTCTAGTTGAAAGAAAACAGGTCAGCGATCCCTGATCGTTTGATCGCAAAGGTGTGATCCATTACATACTTGGGCCGTGGAGCCGAGCATCGCGAGATTTCTTTTTTCCTGTATAGAGTCGTGTTACAATAGTCTTGATCTCATTCAACCCGTTGTTGCCTACCAATGGCGCCCATTGAGATATGTGTTGTTGTAATAAAGAAGAGTAAAAAAAAAGCCTTTTCCTCTCCGCATAAGCTTTGATTGCTTGTATCGGTGTTTCTAAATGCACAATGAATCGGCGAGCATCACCCTCATGCTTACCACTGTTGTCAATGAAGTAAAGTATCATTTGTATTTGTACCAGCAGAGGGTTAGCCCTTTACAGTAGGCATGTTGCTTTATCCATTCACGTCCTGTAATGATGGTCATCATCATCGATGTTTCAATTTGCACACATTTCCTCCCTCGAGTCTACCCAACTTTTTTCATCCATCACTGCAAATGAAGTATACCACAAGAACCTCTTCTCTCATCCATAATAAAGAAACGCGACAAGATGTATTGAATGATACTGGAAATGCTTTTAATTGCAAGTGTTACAAATGTCCTACTACTTTGTAATTGCTGCGGTATCGTCCTGGCGCCGCAGCAGCAGCTGTCTACGGCATTTATAGAGAGCGACTTGGTTGATCAAATGTACTTCCTCCTCCTCCTCCACCCCGCTAGACATAGACATATGCTTACACTTATACCCTTTGTACCCGCCAACAACGACACGATTCCAGCTGATTTGTATCAAGTTGCTCGAGATGCATGGTGCTCGCAGCTGACAGCTCTACTCGACAACACGTCTGACGATGACTTTTTGCACGCCATCCAAGAAAACACCAGCTTGCATGACTTTGTGTCGGCTGTTCTCAATGCACAAATGGACGGCCACAGTGTCGATCGGGAGGTCTCGAAACGCGTCTTTTTTATCTTTTATCGTGCTAGTCAACTGAAAGCAAAAGGCGGTGCATTGTTGACGATCGATCGGCTATCCAGCTTTGCTGTCTCGTATCAAGAAGCAAACCCCGAGCAAGTGCGTACCATCTTTGCAGCGTTGCTCAAGGCTGATCCCCGTTTGGAAGATGCTGTGCGATCCTCCTTTACAGCATTGTTGGGTTGCTTAACGACATTACAATCAAGCGACGATATCAATCCTGATCATGATCAACGTGTATACGTCGTTGTACGATTATTGGAAGCACTCACATCAGCGTGCATTGACACTGCACCACACGAAGGAATCATCGATGCTTTATTCCATTGCTATCCAACATTGAAAAGGAAGAATGATTCGGGACCCACTTTATATCTCATCAAACGCGCTCTCGTCAACATCCTCAACTACGCGGTGGATTGCTTGTACTTCGATCCTATACGTTATGCCAAAGATGGCAATGTCATTGACGAATTCTCCAAACGATTGCTGGGATGGATTGAAAAGAGTCATCTCGACACTACGTATCATGCTTTTATTGATGGTCCTCTGGTCATGGATTGGCAGATCGAATGTTCAGTCAGCAATACTCTTGGTGATATCAACAAGGAATGCTTCAATGGATATCCTTTTTTATGTGTTTTTGTGCGACATGATTCTCAGCATACATCTATACAAGCCTTAACGTATGTACTTTACTGATGAGGATCGGATAGAATTTCTTCAACTCTCAATGGAGCAGGTGCGTGACATGAATACCGCCTCTGAAACGTGGAAGGACAAGCTCCAAAAACAACGTCAAAGGAAGCTGCAACCAGCTACGTCTTCGATCTCTGCTGAAGTAAGTTCATGATGAAGGATAGGATGATTACCTTTGCTCACTCCCTATTTACAGCCATCCTTGGAAGAAGTCGCCAAAATATCACAGATCCAAGATCTATTTCCTGATTTGGGACAAGGATTCATTAAGGCGTGCTTGTTGGAGTACAACGATGATGTGGAGACGGTTATTATGCAACTTTTGGAAGACAACCTACCACCCAAACTTGCAGAGATGGATCGCTCGTTAGCAGAGTAAGTGTTTTGAATATGGCGTTCAAAGGAAGAGGTTTGACTTATACATGTGACATAGTCTTCCAATGGATACATTTGATCAATCAGATACAGCAAAGAAAAGCATCCTGGAAGGTCGACGCAACATTTTCGACAATGATGAATTTGATCTTTTATCTGAAAGTGCCAGGGTGGATTTAAGCAAAATGCATATTGGAAAGAAAAGGTAAGGAGGGAGAGAAAGAAAGAGAAAGAGATCCTCACTGGTTTCATGTAGTCGTGGTACAACCGAATCATTGCTCAATGACAAGAGCTTCATCCAAGAGGAAAAGGCCAATGTTATACAACGAGTTTACGATATGTATGATGACGAGTACGACGACACATATGATGGTATCAATGAAGCACCTGGAACGGTTGGCATGGATGATGAAGATGATTCAGCTGTCGACAAGGTCAAGGGTAGCAAAAAGAAGCAACCTGGTGCTGAAGATCCCGGAGTCGCATTTGAAAGCACGCTTATCCATACCTATGTCGACAATCGTGATGTATTCAATCGATCATCTGCCGTACGGAGGTCAAAGGCACGTGCAGAATTGCGAAGGATCACTGGTATGAGCGACGAGCAACTTGAAGGATGGGCCATCATGCTGGATCGTAGCGTAAGTCTTTGTTAATGCAAATTCCATGACATCATTTCGTAATGCTCTTTATTTTTACTATAGCCACGACGACAACGAATTTTGGACAAGTATATGCTCTTTGATGGACAACAAAAAAAGGTGGATGGCAAGTCATTAAAAGAAGCTCAACACAAGCAATTACAAGAGAAGCGGGCGGCTGGTCAAGATGAGACAAAGCAAAGGGCGTACAAGGACAAGAACAAGGCCCGTTTTGGAAATCATAATCGCAAGAGAGGACATGATAAGAAGATGCAGAAAGCAGGTGTCATGGGGAATAGCTAAGAAGATACATAGACCATAGATCTCCTATTCTATAGACATGCATTGTAATATGAAAGAGCATTCTACCCTTGTATCTTATTGTATTTCTGAAATGTCAATATAGCGGCATGTGCATGTTCGTGAGAAAGTGTCCACTGTCATTTACAGTGTAATCTCCTCTTGTGGCCGGATATCCGCGAATCTCATCTCAGATTTCTGATCATTTTTACTCTATCCAGGAATTGCAAGTTCCCTGACGATAAAGATGATGGTGCGGCTGGGGGTAAATTTCGTGGGTCCAGTTCCCTTTACAATTCTTTTGGCCCAAGAGGTGTATGAACGACATACGTAGTCGTAGGTTTGGTATGTAGAGGAAAGAACAACAACAACAGATGCAGCTAAATGATATCCTAAAGAGGGGGGAAGCGAGGGATTGACAAGGACTATACCTAAACCAGGGTTGTGCTGTGTAGCGTGCATCTTATCTGATAAATGGGATTCCGATATGCTCATCCATCTGATAAAACGCATCCTGGGCTTTCACTTGATTTTGTTTCTTGTTTGTTTCTTTCTCTTTTACCCTGCACTATTCGAAGCCAACCAACCAACCAACCCTAGATACCACCCATATACACTCACATACACAAACACCCCATATACACAATGCCACAATCGACGCCTGGTGAACGTACACCTCTTTTAAACTCAACATTACAACAAGATTGCTGTTCGTCAACAAAGGGTTGCTGTTCTGCTCCCAAATCACATACAACGCCTTCCTCTTGCTTCAACGATTCCGAATCAGCATGCTGCCAACAACAATCACAGGTCAACAATGCCGATTACTGCCAGCTAGCAGAACAACCATGGCAATACAAGGCCGTAGCTTTAATATGTGCATTACTTTTGGCAGGTATGTTTGAACATATCATTCATATCATCGCCACCTCGTCTGATCCTGATCCATTCTATCAAAAGTGGGTAGTCATTTTGCAGCACATACATTGGGAGCTATGAAGAATACGATCAAACTTGTAAGTGGATGATAAGCTACTATTACAATGAGTCATTGCTGACATTTTTTGGGGGTTTCAAGGAATTTGGTATCAGCAACTCGCAATATGGCGTGATTCAATCAAGCGTTTCCATTGTCAATACAGTTTTACCTGTACTTGGTGGATTATACCTCGATGCTTTTGGCACAGTATCCGGTTCAATTCTTACAACGGTCTTGATCACCCTCGGCAATATCTTGGTCGCTCTTTCTATGCACAACACTAGCTTGACAACCATGATTGTTGGCCGTGTCATGTACGGCATTGGTAGCGGCACCGTTGTCATTGTCCAAGAAACGATTCTCAGCCAATGGTTCAAGGGTAGAAGTTTGGCTGGCGTGATGGCTCTCATGCTAACCGTGAGTCGATTGGTAAGTACTAAACGCTACTAAATACCCTTCTTGATTCAATGCTTATAGTAACACACACTACTTTATTAGGCATCCTTTTTGGCACAAGCTGTTGTCGTTCCTATTGCCAATTGGACAGGCTGGTTTGGTTATGGATTTTGGGTATGTTGCGGCGGCATGTGTATCTCCTCTGAAAGTAACTAATCTTTGTACGTATAGTTTTCTGCACTCCTTTGCATCATCTCTTTTGTATTCAATCTCGTCTACGTTGCATTGTTGCGTAAAGTGAGCCCAAGAGGTACTGGTTGCCACAAGCAACTCGAATCCATTCGCCGTAAAAAGTCGTTCAGCTGGTCCAAGTTGATGTATTTGCCTCACTCATATTGGTTGGTGGTTGCCATGGAATTCTTACTTGGAGGATCTTGGGGATGCTTTTTGCATATCAATAGGTAAGAAAGAAGATGTTTATGGTATGCCAAAGTGACACTATTAACATGCTGCAAATTAGCGAGTTTGTCAAATTCCGTTTTGGCTACAGCAATGCTCATGCAGCTGCCACTGCAAGTCTCGCTCAAGTACTTCCCGTTTTCCTTATGCCAATCTTGGGTATTTGTCTTGATAGATATGGCAAGCGTACCTGGATGAGTAAGTTGATATACCCCATGAATTGCGCAAAAGTCCATCAAGTCATTAACACGAGCAACCTTTAGTGATCGGTAGTGGTGCATCGATGCTTATTTCCTTGTTATTACTCGAGTTTACGCCTTTGAATCCTGTCGTGGGTATGCTCATGTTTAGTCTGAGTTTGGCTCTTGGTCCTGTGGGATTGGTATCATCCGTACCTATCATTCTCCCACTCTCCATGGTTGGCACTGGTATGGGCTTGATCAAATCCGGTACCAACATTGGCGCATCGCTCTTTGATATTTTCTCGGGTCTTCTTCAGGATGCGGATCCCAACAAGGGCTACACCGGCGTCATTATTTTCTTCATCGTTATTGCTGCCTTGGCAACGCTCGCTGGTATCGTGCTTTGCATCTTGGATCATACCATCTACGACCAGCTTTTGGATCGATCAGCACGTAGAGCATTGCAATCAGAGCATGAAAACAAGCAAAGCAACAACAACAACAACTCTGGTGAAATGAAAAAGATTTGGGCCAACTGGATCTATGGCAGCATCTTCTTTGGTTTGGCATGTACAAGCTGGGTCTTGTTTACCAGATTTGTACTCTTATAGATAATGCATCCTCATTCCCCACCCTCCCCCGCCTTTTGTACCTTTCCATCATTGTCGTTATGGATTCACCCTACACAACATTCAAGTTACCTTGCTTTCCTGTCAACCCACATAATACCCTTCCCATGTAGATATACACACATACTACTAATAACAATACCATGTTTCAATTCTTTTACAATCAATCGAGGAGGGAGAAAAAGGTATTTTGTTAAAGCGTTGGGGGGATAACTTCAATAATATATATACTCGTGAAAGGGGATAAAGAGGATAATAACATACACATAAGAAAAAAAAAGGTAATGATGGAATTGAATGAATTACTTTTCAGCGATACCAGCGGACCTCCTCGCCTTGTCATCATGTTGCTGATCAGCTCGTGGCAAGTTGCCAGGGCTGTTTGCACCTTGCCAATAATTTGGATGTTGCATGTAACGGGAAGCTTGCTGTGCAGCTGTACCATAAAAAGTGGGTGCAGGTGAACCTGACATGGGACCATATTGCTGTGGTTGAGGAATCTGTTGACCAGGTTGAGGAGATTGATAAGATGCTGGTGGATTCATGTATCCAGGATAGTTGTTGTTACCGACCGGAGCATAAGCCGAAGGTTGTTGATATCCAGGTGCACTAGAAGCTGCCGCTGCAGCTACAGCAGCTCCAAAAGCAGTTGCTGATTGTGGATGGCTGACAGATGCAGCAGCTGCTGCTGCTGTTGCAGGATCAATCTTTTCGAATGGTATTAGATTAAAGGTCGTACTAAAACGTTCATACTATGATTCACTTGCCTTTTTATCTTGAAATTCCTTCTTGTTCAATTGAGGAGATTGACCATTGTAGCCTGCATCATCCTATATCAAAGAATGAGTTCATCATCAGCCTCGTAAAAGGGAAATGGTATATACCGTGGATGATTCATTGACTGGATCAGGAGCATTTAAGCAAGCTTGAATGAGATTTTTGCCCTCGGGCTTGGTGACGATAGGCTGAAGCTTGACTGTAGTAAAGGTGTAGACAAGGCCTGTTTCTGATACCACCAACAAAAGCACTTGAGTTCCTGTCAAAGTACTCAATTCGTAGGCCTAGAAAATGACAAGTGAGTCTTCCCTCTTTTGGATTGTCTCCTCTCGTGCGCGCTTGATTCGCGTGCTTCTCTTTCTTTTACGCGCGTGGTTTACTGTCCTTGTTATCATGCTACCCTTATCCACACTCTCCTAGCAACCCTCTCTCTCACTCACTTTTTTCTTCTTACCTTCTTCATGATACCCGCTTTACGCTTCGAAAATGTGATATGACGTCGATTTTTATCCTCGATATACTCAATCTTGATCTTGCGGCGACCAGAACGCTTAGAGGGCTTCTCATCGGAATCGTCAGAGTCATTGTCGTCCTCGAAAGGCTTGTTCTTTGTAGCAGCCTTTGCGGCATTGCTTTCCATTTGCAGTTGACTTTGGTTCATATGTAAGCGAATATATATATGTATAAATGTCTTCTTTGGTAAAAGCGGGGGTCGTTGTTCAGGGTTGCCTTTTCAAGTGCGAGTCTCTGAAGAAAAAGGAAACCGCCTTTCTTGCAATGCAGTTTCAACCTCACCAAGCAACCATCTGTTTCAACCTGGTGACGTGTGAACCAATGACAATGGGTATCCTAGGAAACTCAAATAGGAGAAGGTAACACAAGAGCAATTAGCACTCTTTGCGCATTCTCAGTCGTTTTCTTCTTCCATGCTGCACCACTATCACGCATCTCCTTGAACCTTTTTTCATTCTCCTTTTCTCTCCCGTTTTCTTTGTCTCGAACATGTTATAGAAATAAAAAAGTAGCATGTCTTTCGTTTTGTTATCATGTATGCAATGTAATGAGAACACAGCCACAAAAAAAAACACACACATGACCTTCATGGATCACGTTGCACAAATCTCATCATCAACCACGATGCTCAATAACCAACATCGTCCCTTGTTGAAAGTCATGACTCGAGCAATGCGAGCATCTCTTTTAATGTATCGCTCAAATGAATGAATCCATACTCTTCCAAAAGCTCACGGCCTTTTTGTTCCAATTGTTCCTGACTAAAGATAGCTCACCATGTTAGTTAAAAACACCCTTCCAAGAGAGGATAACCCCTTACCTAGCTGATCCATAACTCCTTTGTATGTTTACATTATCGAGATTGATAGCTGGAAAGTTCATCACGTCTGAAGGTTGTATCCATAAGGTTACTGAAAACTTGGCTCGAGCGTTCATGCTGACAGGTTCAAAGCTGCCTTTGATTGATCCATCACCGATCTTTTCCAATTTGAACCAGAATCGTCGTCCCACGTTGTCGATTTGTTGATGCATCAATGCAGCCCATTTCGTAAATAAGCCTATCTTATCCATCATCTATATGCATCATAGTCCAAACAATGATCAGCATCATCCCATATACATGCTTTGAATTGATATATCGATACTCACTCGTTTTACATTCCACCGATCTGATTTCACAATCTCATTCAGGCCGTGCAATATCAAGTAGCTGAATACGCCAAACTTCTTTTGTCCCTCGCTGTCAATCGAAAAGTCGATCTCATTTGTTCCTTGTTGCCGTTTCATTTTCATGCTGACATCTTTGGTGAATGCAATCGTAATCATTTCATCCGAATAATCCAGCAGCTTCCAACCACACACTCTACAGTGTTGCTCAAGATCACCTGTAGGTCCACAATTAACATTCGTTCATAATGCAAAGGATGTAGATACGTACTCTTAGCCTCTTCAAGGTCGTGTCGAGTGGCATGCTTCTTCAATTCAGGCTTATCCATTGCGTTCGCGATATCCTACGCTAAAAGTCAGAAAATCGATTGAGACATCCATATCAGCCATCCTTACTGTGTTGAGTTGTGCCATTTTGGTCTCCAAGGCTTCTAATTCTTGCTTAATGCTTTCTTCTTCCTTTGTCACTTGTTCCTTGAAAGTAGTGGTTTCTTTCAGCAGCATCCTATCAAGGCACTGTTTAAGAAAATTTCCTTTCTATTCCAATGTATACCTACTCTTTGTCATGGATATCGTCGATCAAAAAAGGATCTGGCTCAGTATAAGTATGGTTCCCTTGCCTACGAGAGATGATATAAGCGTAAATGTCAACCCATCTTTCAACCGATTTGCATGATTCAAACCTTTTCCTTGCATCGGCCAGCTGTTCTTTGAGCCTTGTATTGTGTGATTGAACATAGGACGTCTTGGATTGTAAAAATGTCTCATATTGGGCCAACTGCCGTTCATCCTAAACCACCATGGATAGTGAGCTCTTTCCATCCCACGGGGTGATAAGGTTGCTCAACCTACCTCTGATACTTGTTGTAGCAACTCCTCCGTCTCCTCAAGTAGTTGACGATATATCGACTCTTTCCATTCCAATAACGTGCAATGTGCTTCCGATCTTGTAAGATCCCACATATCTTTCAACGATTTCTATTACACGATAAAAGGGGGAAATCAATGAATCCTGCATATAAACATCCACCTTTGTCTTACCTGCATTAAATATCTGGTATCCTTATCGCCATCGAAATACTCTGCAATAATGGCATTGTACTTTGTAGCTGTGTCTTTTCCCATTTTCTCGGTATTCCCACTTTGAACGAGTTCCTTGAGTCGAACACTATACTGTGGTCACGTGTTAGTCTTATATCCGCTTCCTATGTCATATGCAACGTGCCTCTTTGTATGCCTCTAACTCTTTCATGGATGTCGCTGCAGTAATTCCCTGCCTGGAGGGTGAGATAGGTCCTACATTTTGTGGATAAAAGGAAAATAAGCATCGTCGGATCTGTTTAGCTCTCTCGCTCTCTCCCTTTTCATGACTACCTTGGATACTCTGGGGCTCCGTTGTTCGCACCATATCTTCAAGTGGGTCTAACGGATCAAACAGGACACCCACATGGCGTAGAAATGCTCTCAGATCCATGCTTTGAACACCTATTGACTACAATACACAACACTAAGTTACCCCAAACATGGCTCCAATGAGTATAGTATGACGTACTTGTTTATCCTCCTCTTCATCGATAATGCTTCCATTGACGGAACTGTAAAGCTGGGAATATTCCTCGTCAAAGATGTTCACTATGCCACATCATTAGAGCATGTTCCAGAAATTGTAGATGGTATACTTACTATTCTGATCCTCATTGGATATTACGCGATCCATCATTTCATCCAAGTTGACACTTTGGTCGTCTGTACGGCGGGTATATATGGATGATCGAGAAGAAGCACTGTAACGACGAGGTGATAGTGATGATTTAGGTGTAGCTGCTCTCAAGCGAGGTGGTGTGGCAGCTGTAAATCGAGGTGGTGTGGTAGGCAAAGCACTCATACGGGTTCGATTGGTGATCGATGGTGAGTCCCTAGTAGGTGTTGGAGGAGGACGATGACGAAGAGGAGATGCTGCTGGTGTCGTTGTTGTTGTTGTTGTTGGTATAGGTCGCATAGGTGATGGATGACTCCTTGGTGCATTGTTGCCATGCAAGAAAAATGTACGACGTGGAGAATACAATGCTTGTGGTGAACGGATACCCCTTGCAGCAATAGGGCTTAAGAGATCTCTGTCGCCTTCTGGTACGCCTGAGAATACACGATTTGCAAACGGTGAAGCTTGTGTGATAGAATCATGCGTTGAACCTGGTGTAGTATGATCACGTCGACTAGGTTGCTCAGTGGTTATTGGCTGTGTGAGTTCCATATCTGAATCGTCGTCCAAGATCTCATGTAGCACGTCCACATTCTTCATGACTTCCTCATTGGCAGTTCGAAAACTAGATTCAGTATTGTCATTGTCGCCAAGTTGTTCCAAAGTGAGTCGTCGTCTTTGTGTGGGTCGCGATTCAGCGTAGCTTTGTTCCTGCATGCGTCTCGCTGGCGATCGAGCATGTTTCAAACCCGGCAATTCAAGCGTGATCGACATGTCGGATCCATTGTCTCCATTGTCGACTGGTGCCTCAGTGCCATGTGCGTGATCGTGATGGGGCCCGCGAGTGGGCGAGAAAAAATCCATGCGGCAAAAGAAAGAAGAGGTGTACAAAAAGTAGATTACCAAAATGGGATTTTACGCGTGCCTCCTCCTTCAGTGATCCCTCATCACTCATATCCTGATCCACAATAAAAGCTCTCTTCTCCAATTACATGACCATGATCCCTTTGCTTAATTAACAGTAAGCCTTATCTAACAATGCAATCGACAACAAAGCTATCTTTTGCCACACACACGCTTGGTGCATGAATACCTCATAGCTTGACAGCTACGATTTTGGATATGGGTGTCAAGATTGATTCTGACACTGATTCTCCACCAGACATGTTACCCAGTGCCCAAAACACTACTTCCAACATCGTTTACTCAGGAGCTTTATTGCCCATCAATACACCATAAATAGCCACATAGATGTATCACAACGAGCCATATCATATTATCAACACCCTTATCTATAAATCATTGATAGCCATATCATGCATGCTTTGAATTCAATATCAATTTATTACGCGTTGTTGGGTGTGAGTGTGTGCGTATGGGTTTTACAATGAATATGCAGCATTTACGGGAGAAGGCCCGTGAAGAAAGATCGTTTTTGACGTTTGTGGGGTGAATGGCTCTCCGAGTTATCCGATGATGAGTCGCTTTCTTCATTTGCAAAGAACAGGATTAGAATCCGCGAAGTTTCGATCAACAAAACCTGTGGATAAATGTAAGAAGAAATCCTGTACACAAGATACATTCCATGAATTGCTCTTTAGTACCTTCAGCTGCTACAAAGTTTGAATCATCCGAGGCAAATCAGCGATTGCGGTTGCTGGCTTGACTGGCAGTTTGATCGTTTTGACCTCGCGCATTGTGAATACTCCATAATGCGGCATACCGCCAATGTGTAGATATGCAAGCGGTGATCTAAGATGCATGATGTGAGTTACTGGATGGAAAAAATCAGACTACCTTCCGAAGATCCCGCCACCATACCATAGAATTCTACGCCATAAAGCTTTAATTCATTCAGGATCTTCCTTCCCAAAGCCGTTAAACCATCACCATAGGAGTTGGAGGTGATTCCCCTGCTATTCGCACCATCTCAGATCATGCGCCATGTCAATTTTAGCGCCCAACGTAGACCATGGCACCACAACCAACTTTTGCAGATGTTTCACGGAGAGATAGCTATATCGAAAGTAACAAGGTAGCGTGTATGAGTAGTGATTCCCAAGCAACATGACCAGACTTTACCTCGTTACAAGAATACAATATCGCAATACAACGACAATGAGAGTAGGGTTAAAATAAAGCACTATGAAAGACCACAAAAGATCAGCACTTGCTCACAAAGCTTGCAAGAAATGGGATACGTACAAAACCTTGGAAATTTGACCTTGTAAGCAATCAAAATAGTATGGTAGAGAAAAGAGAGATGTGGGAGTATGGTGGAGGCGACAACATCCTTTTATTATGCATCGTGGGCGTGGGCATTTCTTGGGATGATGCATGGGCTGATAAAGTGTTGCGGCACATATACAAAATTAAGTCTGAGGAACCTAGTGCAATGTTGTCTATGCATCATACATCGGTCAAAATAGGGCAAGCGATAAGAATTCTATCGAGGTAATCAATCACTTGTACGCTTAATGCACATTCCCATCATTATAAAGGTGACTTCCCATGTTGTCAACCTACTCTTAATGTTGGTATACGTGTTTGGTAAGCAGCGAGAATGATCGGATCACAAAGACATGGCAAATCCAAGGTTGTTGGGTAATACAGAGCCGATGGGGAACCCGTGGTGGTGATTTAACGGCTTCCAATTTACATAGCTCCTCCAATTTCTGTTTTCAAACACAAAGCATTGTATATTTAACTGATAGCTTTTTTGATAGATGAGGTGTTGCTACATTGCGAAGTCATTCATTATTCATCACTACTACAGCTAAAAGCACGGATTACTTCATCGAGTTGCTCTTCTACACTAGGGCTATGCTTGAGCCTTTCTTGTTCAGAGATCATTTGTAATAAACTTGGAAGAGTCTCATTGGGAGCGTAGTAAACATCGGTTGTGGATGAATCGTTTCTGTGAGAAATGGTGGAAATGTGTTGTGCAGCTTGTTGTTGTTGTTGTTGACGTTGTGGAGATCTTTTTGGAATGGGAGGAGGAGGTGTACTTGATACAAGGTTGGTATTATTAGCAGGGTGTTGTTGGCGTAAAAGTTCTAGCAAATGCGAATTGATATCGTCCCCATCATCATCTTGTTCCTCAACAGCGTATTTGCTTTCTCGATTGGATGGATCATAAAAGCTCTTTCGATTGCCTTCTTTCTTGACAATGCCCCATGACACGGAACCATCACTCATTTCTCGGAGTTCAATCCCATTCAATTGATTGTCTTGTGATGGAATGGATGTGTCGATTGATGATGATGGCGAGGAGGATGATAAAGATGACTTGTGATGAGTGGTTGTGGATGATATAGTGTGACCAAAAGCAGGTTGTTCAATCGTCTTCATAAAGTTTTCGGTATCCGGAGGGACGTAAATGATGGTGCGCCTGACAATTCTGGATCGCTCGTTACTTTTGATTGTTGTAGGTGATGATGGTGTATCCATGTTGATACGTTTTGTTCCCCTACGCGAAGAACGTCGGACTCGACCCACCAATTGAGAAAGCATCCGCATCCCTTTTCCACTCTCCTTGAAATCATCATCATCATCATCACCATCTTGTCCTGTATGATGATGAATGGCTGCTACAGCTGCAGGTGTCATCTTTTGTGATAGCTGAGACAAGGATGGGGATGTGCTGCTTCGATGTACAGTGGTACTAAGGCTGCGTACTAGTCCACGAATACCTCCTGATGCTGATTGAGAACGTGTGCGATTGGTCACCTGACGTAAACTTCCAAACAACCCCAACGATTTGGTAGCCTTGACTCTTTGTTGTTGCTGTGGTTGCTGTTCTTGATTTTCTTCTTGTTCCAGAATATCCACAACTCCCAAATCAACATCCAATAATTCCTTGAATCGAGATAGTCGACTAGCACAGCTGCAATTGCTCGTGTTCATGCTTGCAGTGCTCTCCTTTCTATCATGCTGCTGCCGGAGATCAGATTGTTGTGGTTGTTCCTCCTCCTCGTCATCTTCCTCCTCATTTAATTGCAGATCAACAACATAATGGCGCTGGTCCTCATTATGAATTGTTTGTTGTTGTTGTTCTTTGTGCTGATGAATGAATTGATGCGTAGCTGGTAATTCAATCTTATCCTCCTCTGCATAGTGCTGTTGTCGTGGCATCTTTGAAAGTGATGTCCTCAGCTTTTCATATTCGAGTTCGTCTTGCTCGGTCAATAAGAAACCGGTTTCTTGATCATTGTTGGTTTGAAGTACAGAGAGCCTATTGTCGTATAGTTCCTTGGCAAAAGCAGCCAAATCAAATGGTTTCTCCTGGTGGTGGGATGATAATGATGGTACCTATAAACCATGTCATGATTGGTCCTGTGTCAATAAGCGGTGTGTATGCGTGGGGATGCTGATCGCACCCACACAACTTTATATTATTACCTTGTCTCGGTCCTGGTTGCCCCTGGTGAATGAACACTCCGCTGCCATGGCAACTTCATCTTCTTCATAGTCGTCTCGTTGTTGATAATACAAAATGAATGAATCGTCTTCATCTTCATAATCTTTCAGGCACTCGGGTGATGATGGCGGAGAGAGAACAGGCGTTGTATTGCCGCCGCCAACAAGTGCACCATTGCGATCGCTCATGTCAAGCATCCCCTCTCGATCGTACAAATGCCTCTCGGATAAGGTTGAATGTTGAAGTTGAGTGTCCACAAAAAGCATGTCTTGTTTCGAGATGAATCAAATCAAGTTGCAGTAAAAGAAAAAAGAGAGAAAGAAAGGAGTTAAGTGAATGCATCTTTGAAACATGCTTAATTGACCTCGTTACACACACAACGCACCACACTAAATCTTTTTGACGGGCAGCATGGACGAGCGGCGACCCACTTTACACTAAATCCCCCCAACCTACCCACCCATTCAACCACTCCCACCATGTTTCACTCCACCTTGTTGGTTATTATAAAGATAATCTCTTGCTATAATTCATATATGAAGAAAGAAATGGTATCCTCATTGAATGAATTTGGTATCATTGTTCTTTTTCACTTTCATTGTCGTCGTACGAGAACGCTTGGGACAATTGTGACACACAACGTACGTGAGCTCATCCCCCGATCCGATCATCCTTGTCAATACAAGCACGTACTTTTGCCTGAGCAAAAAGTACCATATCTCCTTGAAGATGTTGGTATGCTATTAATATCGCACCTAATCATCTTACAGTTACATGGATACCTGCAGCAACATCACCAAAACCCATCCATTCTAGGAGGGAGTGAGTGATGATGAGGAGTGCGAAAATCATAAAAGAGAGAGAGGAACACGCACGCACATACACACTCAAAATACCGGTTACCAATGTAATAAGGAGAAAGAGTAACATCCCATCTCTCCTGATATAACGTTTATGTGCCATTGCTATACGATCCTCGTGGATAATCAAATAGACATCAGCCATGTATCATAATTCATCGATCCGGATTCAGGCCAATGTTTAGAATGATGGCTGCACAACAACAACCTTGGTCATCCACCTCATTCGCCCTACCATCTTTATACCTGCTGGTGGGCCATACGCTGATTGTTTCTTTGTTCAATGCAGTTGTTGTGCCTTTGTATCACCATCGTTGTCCACAATGAGGGATGATGTAGTGGCTATTGCCATTTCGGGCAAAAATTGATTAAAGGGGGGTTCGTTTCCGTGAAATCCGCACTTGATCCATGTCGCTCGCTTTTCATCTCTTCGCAGCAGCTGTTGCTGCAGCGTTGTAGGTTGTATCCCGGTAACCCAATGGATACCAATATCAAGATTAGGTTCAAATTAAACACATGATGACTCAAAATTCCTGGCGGATGATTGCTATGTTACTACGATTACTTTTACGTAGCATACACCAAAGGCTAAACGCCTTGAGACAGCTCTTGCGTTACACGGGATTATGATGACGCTGGAAAAAAGAATATAGCAACCGGCGTTTACGAATGCACATCATGCATGACCTTGCTTGCTGGTTGAGCTGGTGGGTTAAACAGCCGATAAGCGATTTTCAGTTTGTGCGTATGATGTTTGTGACGCATAAACATCTGCTTTGAGGAGTGATGAAAGAAAAAGCGAGAGAGAGACACTACACCTCCCATGCATACAATTGCTGCTGCTGCAGAAGTGAATTCTGCTAATAAAAGTACCTGGGCTTTGTGCCTTCGTTATATATAAATCGCTCTTATCACCGATCCCATGCATTGACGATCACAAAAAGCCACATGATAAAGAGAGAAAGTAATTGCACCAGGATCATTCAAATTGAGTAGGATGTTTATCACAGACGCAGCATCACTGTTTCCAACACATTTGCGCCATGTTGTTAGTTTATATCCCGCAGATGGCAATTTTACGTAAAAACGGCAATATCGAATCCCCTTGATGATGCTAGACAACAGCCAGCCTTCGATCTAATTTAAACATAAAAGCAATTAAGCATCTTCAGCGATGCATTGCTAGTGTAAAAGTGGGTATGGGTAGTCCGATTGGATACGTATCCTATATGCTTGCAAGGAAGTAGTATGAGAGTGATGATTTTGGCGTGTGGATAGGATGCGTAAATGTAATGCAGGAGGATAAATACGGCGGCAGCATTAGACTACGAGGATGGTTTCATCATAAAAAGATCGAGTATGCTTTTCCTTTTATCATTAGCCTAAGCGGACTCGAATTGAAATGCTTAAACGTATAATAGAGGGATTGGTTGGATGATTGGATGGTATGTGTACGTGTAAGCATGTATGCGTGGGATCACTGGTGTGTAAATGGAGTGCGCCTGATGTCACGTTTTTGCTGATCATTGTTGATTTCTGCGGCGAACGCATCTAGGGCGCGCATCGTTGTACACAAATATGCATTTTTTTGCATGTCTCGTTATAGACCTACACGTTATGAAAGTAAACGATTATCAAAAGTGCCGGGTAAATGAGTACATGCAATAAAGCAAAGGATCTAAATAGCCGGATACCCTGGTATAATATGGCGAGGCATCATCATCATGATCCATGCAATTCTCCTTTTCGAGGTAACTTCACGTTGATGTTTAAATATAGTGGTAATCCTCCCTTCTCCCCGTGCTTGCAAGAAGCGTGAGTCAAGTGTGCGTATATACGTGCCGATGAGCAAAAGAAGGTTTTGTGGCCTCTACATATATAAGCCCATCCCCCAATGACACCCCTTTTTTCAAATTTGCTCCTCTGCTATCCCATCTTTCCCCTTAGCTACTATAGTCCTTTTTCTCCTCAGCCAAACCCCCTTTTTTTGCTTGCTCTCTCTCTCTTTTTTTCTTGCTTTCTCTTGATTTCTCTTACTCACTCGCCTTTGTGCTATTCCCTCTCTGCCAATCTCTATACCTTTCTATACAAGCATATACTATTATTCTTGTTGTGTGTGTGTAGCTTGAGAGTGTGTGCCCACATCTATATACCCATTTTCCCTTATTGGCGTCTCACAACCATTCTCATATCACGAATAACGACGAATGAAATACGGCCTTGAATTACAACAAAACATTTTCGCACCATGGCGGTTGTCATACATTGCGTATGATGTGCTAAAGCAAGAACTCAAGACCCGGCAATTGGATCATGGTTGGACTGAACGGGACGAATCCGATTTTGTGCACCTATTAGATAATGAGCTTGCCAAAGTGTATGACTTTGTCAACGCCAAGCTATCCGAAATTGATGCACGTATCCTGTATTGCGAGCGGACAATCCAAACATTGCAAAAGAACGACAAGATGGCATCCGATGGAAATTGGCGACTTATGGATGAAGCGCTGACTGAAATCCTTTTTGATGTCAATGACCTATCACGGTTTACACGAGTCAACTTTACAGCCATTCAAAAGATCCTCAAGAAACATGACAAGTGGACCCATTTGAATCTCAAGCAAGAATACGTAGCCAAGTTGCGTGATAAGCCATTAGACAAACAACGATTTGATGTGGCGATCATTTACATTTCGGCTCTTCACGATATTTGCCGCAACCAAGGTCGACAGCATACAGGCAACTCAGCATCAGGGGGTGATCAAAATGCTTTTGAACGTGCCACTGCCAAGTATTGGATCCATCCAGACAATATCACTGAGGTCAAGGCGATCATCATGTTACACTTGCCGGTGCTTATCTTTAACAAGGATAAAAAGTATGAGCCCACCGATTCGGCCATTTCGAGCGTGTATTATGATAACCCCAATTTCGACTTGTACACGGGACGTCTTCAACGCGATGAGGGTGCTGAAGCTATCCGTTTTCGTTGGTAAGTTTATTGCTACTTTTTTGGGGGAAAGGATTTAAATAGACCTGCGCCTCATGCATGTACACGCAAAACAACAGGTATGGCCCTGTCGAATCCAAAAGTATCTTTATTGAACGCAAGACCCATCATGCTGCTTGGCTCGATGGTGCATCGGTCAAGGATCGTTTTCGATTGGATGAATCGCAAGTCAATCCTTTTGTTCGTGAACAATTGTCAGCTGACAGGATTGCGGATGACTTGAGAAAGAAAAATGTGGATGCTAGCACTGTTGACAATGTCCATTTTATTGCAAGCGGTGTGCAACAATCCTTCCGAGAAAAGAAGCTTGAACCAATGCTTCGTGTGTTTTACAATCGCACAGCGTTTCAGTTGCCTGGTGACCAGCGATTACGTATTTCCTTGGATACCGATTTGACATTCATTCGTGAGGATCATTTGGATGGCCAACCTCGTCGACAACCTCCAAATAATTGGCGTCGTAATGATCTTGGTGTTGATCATCCTTTCAGCTATGTGCGTCCTGATGACATTTTACGGTTCCCATACGCTGTCTTGGAAACCAAGCTTCAAACACATTTAGGTCAAGAGCCGCCTGTTTGGTTGACCAAATTGATTGAAAGTCATCTTGTACATGAGGTGCCACGCTTCTCAAAATACTTGCATGGTGCATGTCACTTTTATCGTGAACGCTTACCACTGTTGCCATGGTGGCTGGCAGAGCTCAATGTCGATATCAGAAAACCACGTAATGAAAACATTGGCCTTACACGTTCACGTAGCTTCAAGCCTCTTATTGATGGTCGTTACCGCCGTGCCATGATTGAAGAAAAGGAACGTGCCAACCAACAAGCTGTTGTTAACCAAGGCACTGCCACTGTGATTGAGCCACGTATGAGATCCAACTCGCTGCAAGATTCATCTGGGGCTTGGTTACCTGTTCCCTCAACAAATTCATCCCAACAACCACAACAACAACGTGGTAGCGATTATACCATGCATCTTGATGCCCCAGGTACAGCCACTGCAGCCACCAATTCATCCACTGTATTAGCTGCACCTTCATCCATGCCACCACCTGTGCCTGAGAAAGCTGGAGGAGCCGCCAATAATGATTCGGCAGCCAATAGCAGACGTGGTAGTCGTTTCACTGATGGCAAGTGGATCGAACGTCTTTGGGGTGATAATCGTAACGAAGGGCCTGGTAAGGCTGTTGATGATGATGCCTATCGCCGTCAAAAGGTCAAAGTGCGAGTGGAGCCCAAGGTGTTTTTTGCCAACGAACGTACATTTATCTCTTGGTTGCAATTTTGTGCATTGCTACTCACGGTGGCTCTTTCTTTACTCAACTTTGGTGATGCCACCTCACGTGTTGTTGGTGGTTTGTTCATTGGACTTGCAGCTGCTGTTGCCATTTATGCACTTTATCGCTTTGAAAAACGTGCCTGGATGATCAATCGCCGCGTCGATGGTCGCTATGACGATTTGTGGGGTCCTGCAGTCCTTTGCACACTGCTTGTTGCAGCTCTTATTGTAAGGAACTTTGTATTTCTACTCTTTTGAAGCATACTAACATGCATGTTTGTTATAGGTCAACTTTTACCTGCGATTCAGGTAATGCAAGTACTGTACGAAAACAATCCATTATGACGGCCGTTATCTGTGATATACATCTTTTTTCTCTCTTTCTTTCTCTTTATCTCAAATACGCCCACACACCCACACACATTTGTTCTTTACGGCCGTCGATAACACTAGCAGATACTTTTTTCCTTTTCTTTCTTGTTCCTTGTCAATGTTTGCGTAATCTTTATGGTTCGATTTCTCTTTTTCAATAGCTAGAGCACACACACTTATAGCCTTAATCATTTCTCCTCCCTTCTCATCATCCTATTTCATCATGGTCTGCCGGGTGTTTATTTTACACTGACCCATTTTCTATCATCAAGTCCCAACAAGCAACACTTGTATAGTACAATCCAATAGGGCACATTATGCATTGATTTGGTTGGGTGTGGGGGGGGGAGTGTGGGTGGTTGTGGTATGAAAGATCCCCGACATGAGAAACAAGCCTATGCTTGTTTTCTTTTTTCGTCGTAAACTTTATTTCTCTCTCACACACGTTATCCATGGACAACAGATATTCCCGTGCATACGATGAACGCTATAGAGGACATTACGATCGTCCTAGATCAGACACCTATCGTCCAGGGGAAAACTATCGCTCTGATCGAGAATACAGAGATGAAGCAAGTGGCAGCAACAGTGGTCGCAATTACTCTCCCAGTGGTCGCTATGGCCCATCACGTTCCCCAGCACCATCAGCAATGAGTGGAGGAGCAGCATCTGGAAGGAATGGTGACCGATATCAAGAAGATCATTGGTATGGCAGCTATCCAGAACCACGATCGCATTATTCTTCACGAGGACACTCTCATTCAAGGTCTCCTTCACCTCGTCGTCGTTCTTACAGCAGCTATTATCCAAGACGATCGAATCCTCTTTACTCATCACACTCTCGTCGCTCTTCTATTTCACCTGGTCGACGTGATTCCTATGATCATCATAGAGCATCCTATCATGGTGGACCTCCTCCAAGTGGCGGTTATCCCTATTATCGACCTCCTTCTGGTGGTAATAGATCACCTGGTGGACCACCTCCATTTCCTTCATCATCGTATTCTCCTCGACGCTATTATCCACCATCCTCATCATCATCATCCTATCCACGTCGATCACCATCATCTTCTTCAAGAAGCAATTCAGTAGCAGCTCCGCCTCCACCACCTCCAGCATCTGCTTCTAGTGGTCCTTATCCTGGTGCACCACCAACTTCATCTTCATCCACAGCTTCATCACCTTCATCATCATCTCGATATTATGGACGTGAACCAGTACCTCCTTCGTCATCACCACCACCTTCACGACCCTCGACATCTTCACCAACAAGGTCACCAACAACAGCATCAGTTGCTGCTGCAGCAGCTGCTGTAGGTGTATCATCATCATCATCATCGTCATCTCTACATCATCATCACCCCCACCACCACCATCATCATCATCATCATCATCATCGTGGATCAACAAGTGGAGCACTATCAAGTACTGCGTCACCCAGTGATTCCAAAGCATCTTCTTCGTCCTATTCACGATATCCATATCACTCTCATTATGCAGGAGGAGGACCTTCACCACCACCACCTCGACATTTACATGGTGGACCAAGTGGTAGTCATCGCAGCTACCATCACCCTACACCACCACCTTATATTACACAACCACCTAGACCGAGACAATCATGGGCACCTGATCAAGAGAAGGAGGTATGTGGATAATGGGAGGATGATTTATCACTTTACCACTGACATCACGTGATAGATGGAGCGGTATCATGCTGAGGATCGGAAAGCTTTTGCAGAGGAGATCAAGATTTTGGCTATGAACAGGAAAAGCAGGTTTCAACTGGAATTGGCTAATTGGGAAACCAGCAAGTTGGATCATCAATTGGAGTTGGTTCAAAAGCAATGGGATGAATGTGGATTAGAAGATCTTGTGACAGCCGAACTCACGGTGAAGACAACCAAAGCATAGATCATTCTTTATATATATATATTATTACCACTATTAAAAGCGTGTTTACTATGGATGGGATCGGAGAAGGAGTGTGATCATTATCATTGAATGAAAAGGGTGGTGGTGGTGGTGGTGGTGGTGGAGAGACGCTACGCGAATTTTGTCCTGGATAAGCGCGCCCTTCTCTTTTTACTTTCCTGTACAAACCTGCACTACTTTTACGCAAGACTTCATTTGCCATTGTATATACACAAGGTTCGTTACGAGATTGGTTCAACATGAAGAATGCCATGTACTCAAGGAGTGTCCCTTCTAGTTCAACCACGTAACCCTCTATTGTATCATATACGCCATCACTCTTCCTCCACCTGCCAACCCGCATTCAACTCTTTGACATGGTACAAGACATGCCCACACCTATAATCGCAAGCATGGACCACAGCAAAACACCTGTATACATGAACGGCAATATGACCACGACACATCATCCACAGCTTGCTATACCCGTCGCTGTTCCAGTGCCACTATTCTCTCCTCATCATCAACATTTCTATCATCCACCACCACAACCTCCTCCTTCATCATCGAATGGTCTACCACCACCATCACAATATACCACGCCTCCTCCTGAACATCAAGCGGCACAATCTTATTGTGAATATCTGTATCAACTTGGATTCATGCAAGGTAAGAGTAAGCGCATGAATGGATTGATGCATGATGGATGACTAATGGCATGATGATGATTATCATAGGACGGTTCTCTGATATTACAGTCTCATTTCCATCTGTGCAAAAGTCATATGCATTACATAGACTTATCTTGGCTCGTTCACCCATGATTTATCGACGTCTTATGACTGATATCCGCGTTCAACATGAAAACATTCTGGAATTGGACATTACTACTTCCTTTGAAACTATCCACACCATCATTGGTCATTTGTATCGTCCTCTTGGTTATCAAGACTTGCATTTTATCGTCAATGAGAATCCCCATCTCGCTGCAGAATTGCTCGACGCGGCTCAAGAATTTGAATTGGATATGCTATCACATCACTTGCTTCATCTTGTTCAGCAATGCATGAATCAAAATACTGTTTTCTTCTGGATGGATGCCATTTTATCACGTCAACATCAAACATGGATAGATAGGGTTGATCACTACATTGTCCATTATTTGACCGTTCTATTGCCGCATCAATTGGGAAGCTTTTCTTCTTCTTCATCATCATCTCTTGAAACATCCAATGATACTACCACCACCACCAGCAGCAGTTTACGTTTTGGTGATTGTACACCCGTCTTATCCACCAAACAACCACTCAATGATAATACTACAAGCAGCACAATGGATCTCGCTCAACTTTATGCGGATCTTCCAGCCACGTACCTCAAGCGATGCCTGGAACATGAAGAGTTGGCTGTAGGATCATCATCAAGCACAACGCTCATTCAACGATACCACTTTGCTCTACAAGTCCTCCAATACAGGGAACAAAAGGGTAAACGCGAGTTGTCGGTGTTGATGCAATTTCAAAGAGAAGGGCAGGAACCTAGTATTCTCTTGGTCAAGAAACAAGCTCTCAAACTAGGTCGTTGGCAACTACCTCAAGATGATAATGATGATACCAGTGATTCAGCAAGTTGCTAGCATCAACACACACCCCTCCCCCCCCCAACCATTGATTAGTTTGCATTTGTTCTTACAATACAGCTTCATCCATTTGAGCTCATTGACCAATACATCATATGAGGAAATCACTTCATGGGGTACATACCAGGTACAAAGGAGTGGGTTGATAGTGATGATGATATGTTTTATGGTGGTCTGTGCACATCGCTGCATGACAATGTATGATCTTGCATAAAGCCCAAAAGTTAGAATCCCTTGCTCAATCTTAGCTATCACACACAATAACCTTTTCCTTTGTGCTCTTTCGAAACAATACATACAAGCCGCGTTTTCCAGTAATTACTCTTCGTAGTTAGATGAGGATAAGCTAGTACATGTTTGCGGATGAAGAGGCAAGGAATGAGGAGGAGGGGGGAGCAAATGAATGGTACAAAAATTGGAAATAGATTAGGGATACGCCAGGATGCTCTTCTTAAAATCATCAATGTAAGCTCTCAATCGTGCATATTCAGGATATTGCATATCATCTAAAAGGATCGCACATGTCAACACCCTTTTCTCATTGCTCCCAAGATGTATGCTATATACATACCTTCACTATATGCTCTTCCTTGTACGCCATAGGCTTTAGACAAATAAGACCATAAATGCTCACTGATGATGTCGGCAGAGGTCTCTGGAGCCGGCCGATACTTGTCATTTGGTAATCGTATACCTGGGTTCAGTGAGCCGTTGCTACGAGCCAATTTTTGGTTGGAGATCTTGCCTGGCAAGCTTGAACCTTCCCCTAAGACGATCCCGTGTGATTACTCTTTTCCCTTTCAAAGACCTCAGCAAGTAACTTACGCGTTCGAAACATCATCCATGCTCGTGCCCAATTTTTTTCCAATAAGAAATGTCGTATGGACATGTCCTCCCTCCGCAGTTCTTGGATATATAACATGTGCTCTGCTTTGCGTCGACGATCCAAAGAGGGTTCCATGTCGAGCTTCTCCATATAACCATTGGCTCGATATACCTCATTCTTGTTCACACCATCTCCTCCAAGCTATCATCGACCCATCAATACTTTGTACTCAAATGGATATTGAATAAGGGACCTACCTCTCGTTTACATTGAAAGCACCATAATTTGCTTGTGGAATTTTCGAGTTGCACTGGGAATGTATCGTCGCGTTCAATCAAACATGATCGACATGCTAAATTTGACAATGTTAGTTGTAGCACAATGTTTGTCAGAGGGACGACGATGCTGTAGATGCATGACACGCTACGCGTATTGTCGCGTATCTATAACCCCCATTTTGACCTACCCATGACATTGGATTCAACACTCAAGTTGAGGTAATCGGCCGTTTGATGATGACAAAAGTCGCAGGGAAATGAATGTTCTTTAAATTTCCTATACAAGACGCGTTTGGTTTCTGAAGGTTCATCCGGCAGACGCGACAAATGGCAGCAGCAGTAGGATGAAAGGATATCACGATGCGTGTATAGGTCTTTGTAGAATGATGGCCATGTCTCGCCTTGTTCATCATCATTGCTGGGAAGCTTATAGTTGATGCCAAAATCTCGCTCCACCAGCCGTCGAAATACGATACCAGTCTTTTTGTCAAACATAAAGTCCGCAAACTGGTGGCAAGTCAACCCCAGTTCAACCACGGCTTTCGGTTCCAAGAATAAGACCACTTGTAAAATAAGCTCGGGTGACAACTTCACGATCGATGTATGATTCTCAATGTTGTTCATGACGCTAGTTTTCTTCTCCTCGTCGACACTACTGCTGCTATGGATAATAAGAAAAGGAAGAGAAGGGAAAAAAGGGGAAAGGGAAAAAAAAGAGACGCAAAGCGTGTTTGTGAGCGACAATGTGCAACAAAACTTTTCGGGCGGAGTTGCCAAAATCATCTCTTGTGAGTGGCAGGGAATAGGCATTGCGACTCACACACACCACATCCCCATTCGAAAGGCTTCGTTTCTATGGCTTGCTTGGTTTCTGATTTCCAAAAATCAAGGGCAAAATTCGACAATGCTCTCATGTCTCAGATAAAAGGTATCAATCCTCCATGTCTCTCGCTCTCTCTTTATTGCATTTCAATTGCTAAAAGAACGATGTTGCTGCAGGATCTGCATAATTAAAATTTAACACATCGCAGTGGTTCACATAGCACTCGATCAACCATACTTCCTTTCGCCTTTTCATTGTGTATGTAAAGACATGTTTGGCTTTGTAAATGAACACTAGGCGTGATACGATGCTAGTTTGTGTAACTTTTTTGTGCTTTGCAAAACGTATATGGCATGCTACGGTAGGTTTGTGTTGGTGGCCACACTGTGAGTCATTCATCCCATACATCGTTAAGCCCTTTTACGTGTGTGTTCCCGAATAGCGACGTCTTTAAGTATATCAACCAGAGTTAAATGGATCATTGAACATGATGAATGGATAAGAAACATGCTTTAGTTTACTTGAATAAAGACACGTGCGGTGATCAGTGAATTCAAAGATGGGATATTCAGGAATCAAAAGCACAAGATGATGTACCAAAAGGTATACAAACGTGGGTGGTAGGGGGATTGTGTGTTGTTGGGCGAAGAAGAAAAAGGGCAAGAATGGTATTAAGCTGATGGATGGGGAAAGGAATTTCGACGATCCGGAAGCATCAATTCTTCTCCTTGTGCAATTTCACGCCTTGTCCAACAAATGACTTGGTTGAGTGCTGTACCTTCTAGAAGGAGCATGTTGGCATGTGCGGCATTTGTGCTCTCACGCATGAAATGGAATGGACAAAACACCTCCTTTTGAAAGATTTCACCGCGATCATCCGTTGCATCGAGTATAATATTGCGATAGAGCACGCATCGTTCCGAAGCCTCTCCCAAACCATCCTTGAATGAGTTGAATTCATCTTTGCACATGGGAACGCCAAAGTAGAAACCAAGGGGTGTGTTGGCAGGCAACTGACGTACGGCTATCAGTTTCTTTTTGTGTTCATCCTCCTCGTCGTTTACCACTTTTACAAGATCATGCCATGATTTGGGGACTTGGCTTGTATCTAGCAACCCTTCTTGACGACGAGCCAGGATAAATGCATCAAATTCAGTCGCTGCTGGTTGTACTCGAGAGGACCATTTGCCAGCTAAGACAGGTATAAATTGACCAAAATAAATGGGCCATCCTTCACGAGCGAGACGAGATTCCCATTGCTTGTAAACACGAACAGCATCCTTGTAATTGCTTGGATCATACGCTAATCGGAAATGCATGCATCGACTTCCATCCGGCCGAAAAGGAACAAAATAACGATCAATGTTGTTGCTGAGTATTGCAGATGCCGAGTTCATAGGTGTCTAATCATCCATGGTTGCATAAAGATGAGTATTTGACATCGTATCCATGACTCCCACACACACACACACACGCACACACCCTAGAATGATCATCCTTATCCAAAACCCACTCCCTCTTACCTTGCCGCGAAATAGCCGTGGTAACTTGTACTCCTTACTGATCTTCTCATCCAATTCCAAGGCTGCACGAATGAGTTCTGTTCGAGGAAGACATTTTGCAGGATGCTGTTTCAATGCAAGGAACAAAAGATAAGCTTGGCTATGCCAACGTGGTGCTTGAAGGTTGTTGTTGGTACTGGTAGTGGTTGGACTTGGCAACGAAGGGCGTCGTGCGGGTCGTGGTGATGCTTCAGCAGTTTCAGGAGGAGCTGATCGACGGCGGTATGTCTCTTGCAGAATGACAGTCGACCTCGCCTTTTTGTTTCGTGTTTGATAGTCGGCACACACGAAATCACTCTTTCGCTTCGAATCGTTGTCGAGCTTGACTGTGAGCAATGGCCTATTATTGGGAGTGGCGTCTTCTGTGGTGGTGAGTGGTGGTGAGCAGGTCATTGTTGGGTTGACAAAGGTGCGTATACAGGTTGAGCTTCTTCCAAGAGGCCAATCTTTTCAGTTCCGCATTGGATGATGGATGGTTCCTCGAATGTTTGATATCCTCCATTTTACTTTAAGAGAGAGACAATCAATATCAACAATTAATCATTATCGATAATCGCAATCATTGTTTGTTGAATAAAGAAATGGGCACCTTGTATTCACAATCATTGACATTGGACACGTGGTGGACACCTTTCCGAATGAACTTGGTCACCTTTTAATGCATGTTTCTAATCCATCTCGACCCAGTCAATTACAATCCTATCTTCTAAGTATTATCCATAAAGACATTCATTATGCAAAATTGTCCACTCTCTATCAACTCTTCCGGTACAAAGAACAAAAAAGAAGATTATCTGATCATGTGATGATAAGCATTGAACAACAATGAGGAAGGGGAGGAGGAGGATGAAACTGTCATAGGATTCACCACGCAGTGAGTTGTCTCCTTGTTGGTCCATGATCACAATTCCCGCTAGTCATGATAATACGCCAATGAGCTATTTGAATTTCGGATTGCTGGGTGTGGATTACTACACTTCTTTCCCTTTCCTTTCCTCTACAGAAACCCCCACCATGTCTACTCCCACAAGAAGACGTCTTATGCGTGATTTCAAGCGTCTCCAAAGTGATCCACCAGGTAAATGAATGCCTTCTTTTATTTATCATCTTCTCACTCATGTCTCTATCTTGTCTTGCTATTGTCCCAGGAGGCGTATCAGGTAAGCAACCCTTGATGACAAATGACAACGCAAGCAGTACTCCATTGACACCATTGTATCATAGGTGCACCTTGTGCAGACAACATTATGATGTGGAATGCTGTAATCTTTGGTCCAAGTAAGCTTGTCGGGTTGCTCATGTACATTGGATCGTTGGTACTGATCTCATTTGAACGGTTCTTGTTTCATAGCGGATACGCCGTTTGAGGATGGCACATTCAAGCTGGTCTTACAGTTTGATGAAACCTATGTATGTGGATCATTTCTTCAATTGGAGAGTGAGATGTATTAACATGGACATGCCTTTGTTCATAGCCCAACAAGCCTCCTTCAGTCAAGTTCTTATCAAAGATGTTCCATCCCAACGTTTATGCAAACGGCGAGTTGTGTCTCGATATCCTTCAAAATCGTTGGAGTCCTACTTATGATGTCGCTGCCATTCTCACCAGTATTCAATCGCTGCTGCACGATCCCAACCCCAACTCACCCGCCAATGCCGAAGCTGCCAACTTGTATCGAGAAAACAGAAAGGAGTATGTCAGGAGAGTGCGTGAAACTGTAGAATCCTCCTGGGAGTAGAAGCTATATACAACCTTTATCCACACATCACGCACACACACACACACACATTGCCCATCTAATCCCTACAATCCTCCTCCTTACCACAGCCATTGTATAAAATCTCGTTCAATCATCATACCAATCAATACATTCATGTAAAAGTAATTTGTCTTCTTCTTTTTAATCAATGAGAGAGGAACATGTGTATATATAGATATTTACAATTGATATGTCATATGGCTAGTCATCATCGAGAACAATCAATTCAGGAGGTATCTTTGTTGCTCGTTTGCCGGATGTGCGAAGTTTCTTTTTGGGTGGCTCCTCATTCGATTCCTCAAAGTCTAGCTTTATACTCACTTTGCAACTTCCGTCGTTGATCGATTGGAGCGTAACACCATCAAGCTGTGATCCACGATATCCTTTCACGATGTACCTTAAAGAATGACGTCAAGGGATGTGACCTAGTGATCTGACAAAACTTCCACTTACGAGATAACTTTGTATGCACCAAAGTAAAAGTCTTCTCCGAGATATCCTTCAACGACAAGATGATTGACAATACGCTCGAGATCCTATCACCATACCATGTTATGTCCTGTACATAAATCCATTGCATCGACAACTTACATAGATCGAATACTTTTTGTCGACGGGCAGTTGAATGCTTTGATCATGTCGTAACTTTTCCAAATTCACGGCTTTCAACCCGTATCCTTGCCAAATTTGTAGAAGCTTTGAAAAAGTCACCCGTTGTTGCTGCTTAGCGAGTTCATGGCACACACGCACCAGTGTGAGTGCTTCCACGGTAATGTCTTGGAAAGAAACAGTGTCGCCACGTGTACAGTTATCACAACGCCCACAGGGAACATCGACGCTGGTCTCGTTGACAAGCATATCTGCATGCTGATGAGGTGCGGAAATCGATGGATCAAAGCTAAAGTAGCGCTCGAAGAGGATCTTGCGACATGTCGTAAAGTCTTGAGCATATTTGACCATTGCATATACTATGTTGTCAAGGGAAAAGTGTCATTGTGAGTAAGCACCGCAGGTTTATCAAGATGAAAAGACCGACTTACAATTCTCTCCAGCATTCACTTCACTGACAATGTTGGTGGAAAGTCGATAAGCTATAAAGAAAGCGTTGTGAGCCAATATCAACGTGGTATCTGCAGCAGCAGGGAGACTCACCATCATGAGCACGATAGAAAAGTACACAATCGGCATCATTGCCATCACGTCCAGCTCGTCCACTTTCTTGATAATAGTTCTCCAGTGATTTGGATATCGAATGATGGATAATAAAACGGGTCTTTGGATGATCAATGCCCATGCCAAATGCAATCGTAGCAACAATAACTTGTACGGTGCCATTTCGCCATAAGGAATGCATGTCTTCTTTCTCGTCCTGGATGAAATGATGTATTGGTCAAATAATCTTCTTCTTCTTCAAGTCATGTACTATTACCCTCGCACTTACATCTTCCAAATCAGCATGATAATACCCCGATGATATGCCGTTCATAGTTAATCCTGCAGCCATAGTCTCTGTATCTCTCTTTGAGAAGCAGTAGACGATACCAGATGACTTGGCATGATACGTCTTGATCCATTGGACAATATGTTGAAGCACATCGGCATCCTTCTCAGGTTTCTCCAGCACCTTGTAGATGAGGTTTGCGCCTTGAAAACAGCATTGTAAGCAACAGCATGGCACACGAGAGCGACAATGATACTTACGATACAATGGGGCAGTATAAACAAGCGTAGCATTGGGTTTCGGTGGGTGCTTCATACCAAGGATAGTCATCACATCCTTCATAACGCTCCAAGGACAAGTCGCTGTCAATGCCATGATGGGTGTCTTTGGGAACAAATTCTTTGATAGCAATGTTAATAAACATTACAAAGTGATGATGTTGCCACACGTACCCTTAAAACTGTGAGCTGCTTATAGTCAGGTCTACAAATGATGATGAATCATTAGCATCTTCATTTCGATATTAAAAACACTTTTCACCAACCTGAAATCGTGGCCTTGTTGAGAGCAGCAGTGAGCCTCATCGATGACGATTCGTGAAAGTTCTCCGGTATCATATGCCTGATTAAGCTTGTTGACGAAGCGTTTGCTTTTGGCGATCTTTTCAGGTGTCACGTAAAGAAGCTTGAATTTCTCCTTGTCCATCTTCAGCTTGACATCTTGTGTTGACATGGGCATCGCATCCTGGACGTATTTGATATCTTCTTTGGAGCTGGCAGCTGTCAATGACATGGCTGGGACACGTGCTTTTTGAAGATGATAGACTTGATCACTGATCAGCGACACCAAGGGTGACACAACCAAGGTAAATCCACTCTCGTACAATGCTGGTAACTGATAACACAATGATTTGCCTCCTCCTGTAGGTAGCACCACAAAGATGTCCCTTTGTCGTTGTAACGCTGCATCCATAATAGGCTCCTGTAAAGGTCGAAAACGCTGAATACTCCAATGCTCCAAGGCAAGCTGTCGAAGCTCATTCGTCCAAGGACACTCTACATTCGTCGTCTTTGTCGATGCTGTTGACGTATTCTCTTTGACTGATCGCAGGAACGCATTGTCGTTCAATGACTCCCGCTCTTCGAGCAATGACGCGCGTTTGGCTTGAAGAATGCTGATCTCTTCCTCGATCGTGTCAAGCTCACTGTCGATCTGCTTGAGCCTCTCTTCCATTTTGGGTAATGATAAGGGGTGAATTGAAATGACAGTGGAACTGGACAAAGACGTGCTATTAGCTACCACCGCTACTCATCATCCATTAATAGCATAGTGATGCAATTTTTATTACGTGTAGATACTAGTGAGGGACATTGCCGTAGTAATAGATGCCATGGGTCAGTGGGCCTTGATTAGTCTCCTCATAGAAAATAACGAGCCTTGTTTGCTATCGTGTATCACATCACATGTCATCCACCCAAGTATGTCTTTTTTACAATGAAATGCAATGATCTTATCCTATTCCCCGTGTAACAATGCATCTCCATCTTCATTGAAGTTTTCCAGTACCATGCAATCACGTGATCGCTGCAATTAGCTGAGAAAGGATATGCAATTTTACATGATTCTTCAAGTTGCACGATGCAACAAAGAAATCCACATTCGCTGACTAAGGATTACAACATGATCTCATAATACAAAGCACTTGCTCCAATTATCACGTACTACCACCAATGATTGCTCGATTCACATTGGATATTTGTTTGAATGAAATGAATAAATCTTACAATGACGAAACATTCGAATTTGGGGGCAAGGGGAAATGAACGACTAAATGTGGTATATGGGTGGATGCGCCTTCACTTTGATATAACTAACATATCCATGACCTTCTCCAACAATGGGTTGCCGCCTAACATCTCGATCTCTTTGCGAGCCTCCATCTCCTTTTTGCTGAGGAATTCACGAACATACTCGAAGGTACCTGTCCGCCCAATGATCTCCAAGGCATACTGCTTCACTTCCACAGACGTTGGTTTTTGGCTCACAATATTGAGAAGCTGTCGATTGGATGAATCTGCGCGTATCGCATGGATGATTGGAAATGAGAACTTGCCCTCTGTTAAGTCCTCGCAGAATCCTTTGTTTTTCGTATACTACCATAAACATGCCATCAGCAATCCATCGCATGTTGCACTTTATCCCAACTCGCTTACCGTATCCGATTGTAGATTCATGTAATCGTCACGGACTTGAAAATGAATACCAATGATATTGACCAAGTGAGTATAGTCACTAGATGATAAAGCAACAATGAACAACGCGATCATTGGATCGTATTATCGCAATTTCTTACATTGGGCTCCCTGCGGCTTCTTGCATTAAGCGTACAGCTAACCGAAATAGACCACTGGTTTCTATAAGAGATGCATCAACATAAATATATGACCTTCCCGCTTCACTTTGCCATGCACTTACTATTGTTGACCATGTCGATGTATTCTTCCTCGGTAGGACATTGTCGAGAGTCACGCCAAAACAGTTCAATACCCTGACCACGATGAAGGTTGATAAGCTCCTCAGTGTAAATAGTGATCATGTGTGGGTGATTCAGCTTGAGGAGTTCTTGTAGCGCAAGGAAGTAAACATAGTTGGCAGAATTGATTGTCTGAGGGACACCAAAGATACTATGGGCAACGGGAACTGCACGCCGAAGCACTGCATCATCTTGAACATCGTCGATCCTATGGGCCACGTGACAACACGTAAGTAGGTGGTAACAAAGCAACCACAGATGACAACCCTTCCCACCACGTACATTAGACTTGCTGTATGCAACATTTGAACCACATTCTTGATAGCTGCAAGCTTCTCGGGAGGTACATGCAACCAGGCATCGAACGCCGCGATCAACTTTGTACGAATGTCTTTCCCAGGCTGATCGCACAAGTAGTGATAAGGCTCCAGCAAGATCTAAAAGCTGTGTAAGGTTGTTGCACTTATACGTGATATCATGGAAGCTTACGGAGTCGTCGTCGTGTTGCTTGGATGGGGTAGGATTGCTTGTAGGAATGGGACTTGATGACATGGAGGAGGAGGAGGAGGAGGCGCCAAGAGAAAAGGGAAACCGACCAATGCTGAGCAGTACAATGCACAACACCTCTTGGCTGAGATTAAGTTCAAATGCGCTGCTGTTGTCCTGCTGATCCAAAGCAAGGCGTGTGCGTGAGATCGTTCACACAAATGAATATTACGTATCGGCCATCATCATTTGCGTTTCGTCCAAACAAGTTCTACGCATTCACTTTTCATGATTGAATGGTACACAACATCCTGCCTCTCTTTCCCCTTTTATATTATTGTTGCAATTCGACAACGCTGTAGTAGTACAATTACATCATCATGATCGCTTGCATGATTTTCTCACCCAACCTGTGGTATACTTTTGACATTGAATGATCGATCAACAATGCAGTCCATTTCAAAATATCTTCTTCAGAGTTTGTTGTTAGAAGTATACCCCCTTGTATAAGAAAGAATAGGAGTGTAGAATAAAGACGATGACATGCATGGGAAAAAACTATTATGCTCAAGCTTCATGCATGCGCTGCTGCTATTGACAATGAATCAAGCTTCCGAACTTGTTATGCACGCACTTTGATTTACATTCCAGTGAGATTTGTTGCTCATAAAAAGGCGGAGCTTCGGTGTCAAGTAGGTAATTCCACACCAATAGCAGCTCAATGATGCTGTTCATGCTCCTCATTTTATTATTGCTCTTCGTCAAAGGACAATGTCACATGTCTTTTCTTAATCAAAGGGACGACCTATCTACTCGCCACCAATGCCCTCTTTCAAATGACACGTATATAGGCAGCGTGGTGGGTACCAGAAAAAGATACCATTGTCAACCACTTTGTTGTGGGTTATCATCATCATTCTAATATTGTTGATGTCGTAGCTATCCCACTTCACTAGCATATTTCTTGGTGATTACACGTCCAGAGGAATTCATTTCCCAGGGACATTGGCTGTTGCTGGCAACATGGAAGTTCCTATTTACGTCGTAACTTCAGAACAAATACTCAATTGCATGCACCCTACCAGCGACAATGCATTCGCTACCTATAGCTTGGTAGTAGGAGGTCACATTAAAACCCTCATAGTGTCCGTAAACGGGAATGGATATATAGCGGGAGGCGGTGATATAGATCGTGTCGAAGAAACAGTCGCTAATTGCACCCTGCACACCGATGACGGCACTGGCATGTTCAATTTTACACAGGTCGAACAGGCTCTTGTACATGCGTCTCAAACGCTTGCAAAAATGACACCAACTAGAAGGCTTGAGTCGAATGGATCGATAACAACCTTTGCTGATAACATGTCGGCTCACCCACACTATCGCACCTTCACAATGAATACATGCCAGGATGGCCCTCCTTCATGTAACTGCTCAGACCTCCCATATGATTCGTTATCCGATCCATCAGCTATGCTCTTTGGGAAAGGGACATGGAATGGTCCAAGTATACCACATCCAGGTGACCATGACAACCAATCCACAACAGTAATCAATGTGAGCATTTTGAATCTATTGATCGCTCATAACAAAATCTGATGCTGACAACAAAAGGTACATCAAGATCCCCGTAACGACAGGCCACTCCATCACCTTGAGCACTTTTTCCCCAAGTCAAGGTTTTCGTAGCTGCAGCACCATCTATAATTTCTACCCCGTCTTTGCAAATGGTACATACGATCCTAATGGTTCGTTTAGCATTGTAAGGAGCACAAGTGGTCCATTCAGTGGGTTGATTTTAGCACCAAAAGGTAAACGACGTGCCTATGCAATCATCTCATTTCCATAGCAAACATCTACTATAACATGCCTTTTCCTAGCACGTATTCTTGAAGGCCCTGAAGGTGGATTTGTGGGACAAGTTTTTGGGCGTGAGTATACTTGGATTCACCTTTTTGAAGGATCCACCATCTACCCATACTCTTATCTTGAGGAAGACCATTGTTCAGGATACTTTGATGGGTGTTTCCCTGTAGTGATAGAAGAAGAGGAGGAGGAGGAGATTGAGCCTTCCTCGTCACCTTCTAGTAGTAGCAGTGTCTTAAGTAGTACTAGTAGCCGAGATACAAGCAGTAGCCCAACAAGAACCAGCAGCTCACATACAAGTAGTCATGGTGATAGTACTGGAAGCCTTACAACAAGCATCACATTGAGCTCAAGCACCACAACTGCTCGTAACCATGACAACACCATGGCAACCACGAGTAGCAGTGACATGACTATTACCAGCAATAGCAGCAGCTCACATACAAGTGGTCCTAGTGATAGTACTGGAAGTTTTACAACAAGCACCACAACTGCTCGTAACCATGGCAACACCATGACAACCACGAGTAACAATGACATGACTATTACCAGCAATAGCAGCAGCAGCAGTCATGATGTTGCATTTATGCACAGCACACGAGACGTGGAATCAACAACCACACATTTATCAACAACAGGATTCTCCACCCCCACAACATCCTTTGGCTACACCATCGTTGTAACCGAAACTATGACCATGACTTCCACACCCGCCGTCAATAGCGATTTGCCATTTGCAACAAGAGCACCGTATGCTGGAAGTAACAATATGGATGATTTGAAGATTGCATACGTGCTGCAGACAACGACAGGGCTTGTTACAGAATACGATAGCCTTATCAGCTTACGCAGTGAATATCAAAAGGAGCTGCCAACGCCTGTAAAAGATGTTACTATGACACGAAAAGTGCAAGTTACCACACATCCAAAAACCACGAGCACTGTATTTATATGGATTTGAGGATGATTAGTAGCTCAAGGTATTCCATATCGACCAGTGGACACGCTTCTTTATCTTATTTTGTACTATATTAATCTGGTATTTACTCGGCTTTAATGAATGGCATGAATGAAATGTAATGTCTGTGAATTTTGATAAGGCAGCAAATGTTGCGTATGCGTGGGGGAAAAAAGTACATGGTAGATCATATGACACAAAGAATGATATCATGGAAAGGAGAGTGAAAGATACAGAGACTATCTACAAAAGGACCTCATCATCCGAAAGGACCACTGCTTCAGAGCAAGGAGGGCGGGTATTATATGGCTGTACCGGGGGCTGGTAAATGCAATGTTATTAAAGTTTGTGTTGTTGATGACGAGGATGGCGGCATTGTTGTCAATGGTTGTTGTTGTTGTTGTTGTTGTTGTTGTCCTTGTGCAGCATCGACCTCTTCTTCATCATCACTCAATGTCAGATCAATCACCTGTGGATGAACGTCCGTTCTTTGTCGAGTGGCGGAATCGATAGCAACATCATCTTCATGGGGTCTTTTATCGCCAATGCCAGGTTCCTGTGCCGGCGTTGTATCCACTTCATCGTCATCGTCATCAAGAATAATAACTGCACTCTCACTCGTATCCCGTACGGAGGTTTCAAAAGACTTTGCATCCGTGTTGTTATCTTCCAAGAGCTGTAGCTGGCCATCAGGGTCGATGCGAACACTTTGAACGTCTTCACCCACTGTCGATAAAATGTCATCGAAATATCCATCAATCACCAGATCCTGAATCGAATTGATTTTGCGGTTGCAAACGGGGCACGTCCATGTTGGTGTTTGCTCATTCATCGATAAAAATGTAGTCGCCTCGAAACATTGCATATGACGGCATGATCTTGATCGACATGGAGCTGTAATGCGTGTAAACCCAAGCTTGCAATGCAAAAGATATACGTACGTTAGCATCGTGATCTCTTCCCATATCCAACAAACTTACCGGGCATTTTAGAGATAGCATTTCCGCTTCTAGTACGATGTCGGCATCCTGTCGCTGTTGTTGATCTTTGTTTCGCATAGTTGGTTAGCTGCTATCCTCCATGATGAAAATGATTATAGATACTTACATTGCTGTATGACCTGCTGCTTCAATAACAAACGAGATTCTCGCATTTCTTGGACGAGCATTGGGACTGATTTGTGTTCCACGATCTCAACAGCTATCGCATATTTCTACATGATCGGAAAGAGTAAGCTTTGGAAAAAAAAAAAGAAAAGAATAGCTGAAAGTACCTGAACTGCACATCCATACGTCACATCGATTGTATTGTCGCCATTGATCTTGCATAACTTGGTGATGTTGGGTGGATTCACTGCTGCTGGAAGCTTACTGATCGAACCACGAATACCCTAAAATATTTGATAAGTCTTGTGTTCTAATGCTGTAAACCCCTTTCCATAACTATTGAAAGTAAAACCCACTTACTGGAATGCCAACACGCTGACCGTTGACTAAAAGTTCGCATACAGGTGGATATTCCAAAGGAACAACTTGATGCAGGTTGTAGCTCTTTTTCAGGACACCACACGTGAGACGAAGTTCGTGATGAGGTTTTGCCAATATGTCCTGATGCTCTTGGATAAGCTTGAATTTGATTACTCGCTTTCTTGCTCCAGTATATGATTCTTCAAAAGCAATCCTTTAGCTATAAGACTCTTAATACCCAGTAGTACTCTTCTTACCATAACAGATCAACGGTGTTGTGACACGCACCAAGGGACGATAAAATTCATTTGGTATAAAGTGGACGTTGGGTGCATATGCGATCGGTGGAGCGGTTGGGGGTGAACCTTGCTGTGAGATTGGTCGTTGTGATGATGGTCGATTGGTATATTGTGATGCTTGGACACGAAGGCTGTCAGCAGGTGATATTGGTTCTGGACGAGTTGCTTGAAGCGCACTTTGAGGAATCCTTGATTTTTCTTCTTGACTAAGCATGCGCATGTTGTATACGGTCTGATTATGATACACCCATTGTCTATAATACAAGACTATCAGTATCAACGCTCACCGTCGCTGTATCCATATTGTTTCTTACGATAGAGGACTATGCCGATTCATTATCCTGAGAGCCGGTAGGATCCTGTTTGTCTCATTGTTGGCTAGCCTTGTCTCCACGATGCTCTCAATGCGTGCCACCAATACAGCTTTGGTCCCCTTCGTTTGCCGTAATCCACCAAAGAGTGAACTGAAATCTCTCAAGACCCGTTTAAGCTCTTCCACACGGAGCGCCAAAAGCGGTCGAGTAAGGTGCCGTGCCCTCTACATTGCCGAATCGTTAATACAATGCGTCGTTTCTTTGGTGTCAATTCGCTACTGACGTGTTCCGGGGTTATGGGCACCATGAGTGAAAGAGAAATGGAAAATCAAAAGGTGTCAAGCTGCGGAGATCGTAGTCCTTTTCTGCAGCAGCAAGCGACCAATGCATCCATGCAAAAGTTGTCACAGCATTAAACCTTGCCTACTGTAGATAGGCAACCATCATGTATGAAAGCAAGTGATACTTACCCATCAACTTCACCAGTAGTACAATGACAATATGCAGTGGTAATATGCCGCATGAATAATAGAGCCATTCCACCAGAGACCAGAGACCAAAATAAATCTATTTATCATCATCTTCAACATTTATTATTTAAGCTTTGATTCATCAATGAGGCCCCTGTTCCTTGACGTGATACCACATTTCATATAATAAATGATGGCTGCACGATATCATTTTCACGTAGCAGCTTAATCGTAAATGCATTTGATTGTTCTCGATACCCCTCCTCCTATTCCAGTGATGTGCTACCTGATATGGCCTATGGCACAGAAAATTGTTGAAACAGCGTTCCTCAAGAGACGATCGGCTCTTGTCAACTTTGCCCTTTGGGACGACCCACCAATCCATTACATTAACGGGAGTTGTGATGACTTGGTTCCATCTTTGGCTCGTACGTACTATGCAATCCCCATATACACGTAGCTAGCAAGTAGAATGATGATGCCCCTATCGATCTATACAAAGTTTACGTAGCAATGTATGTAAATCCTTAAGGATACCTTTGTGCAGCAGCGTTTCTACTAAATCTCAGAAGGGAAGTACACTCGTTATGCGCCCAAAATAGCTTTACAAAGAATAGCTGAAGCAATGCGTGACAATTTGTTTGCAACGTTAACTGGTTGATGTGTTACACATTATGATGATTGTCATGAGACTGATGTTATCAATCTGACGCCACCATATAGATTTTACCCACACACTCTTTTGCAGGAGTAGAATGGGGGAAACATTAAACGGAAAAAAATACAAAATCAGAAGCCCCATAACAAATCGTACACGTCCTCTTGAATATCAGATAGTAAGTTGTGACCAATACGGGCATCAACAAGCAGAAAAAAAGCTTGCGAGTTTTATTTTTGGGTAGCCAAGATGCACCATCCAATACACCACATAATGGTTATCACATGAAGTGGGGATGTATCGACCTTTCTTTGTTCCCTGCTTGCCGATTACCACATGACGATCCCTTTTGCTGCCAATTTACTATTTTTGACCCAATCTTGTTGGCCCTCATTGTTTGTGTGTGGATGACATGCGTAAAGCATTATGATGAGCGTCGTTTCAAGCAGTATTCTAGGGGGTTGTCGGCTTGGAGCAGCGGGGATACAGTGCCTTTGCTTTCAATAGTGTGCTGGGTATTCTTTGTTGAAGGCGCACAATGATTACCGGCGATAAGAAGAATCGTTCCTAAAAATGACCCAGGTGAATGTCATACAAACAAATGACGACAAAATGGTGAATGATCTGCACAGCTGATATGGGGAAAGTGAGAAAGCTCTTTGTGTGATGGTTGGCTCTATTTTTACCAACGTCTTGTCACAAGGACAATGCACCGATCCTTCCGGGACCCAGTCCTTGTAGCATTCAATTTCGCATGTTGTTGGCTGCATTATGTTACATTCTGCACTATCTTGGCAAGTGTGCCATCGCATTTGCTGCATATGGCTATCCAGCTGCTGAGCCTCGTTTTTTACAAGTGGCTGATGGGCCTCCTTTAATTGACACATCATCCCATATGATCATCATGATGTGTATGAGAAGAGTCAATAATCACATTGCATGCATTGGATCTTTTGTTTACGAGATTTATTTTTTGTCTGGGACCTGTACAATAAGTTAAAATTGGATACACATATACATCGAAGAAAAAAAAGAATATACAAAAGTAGCAGAGGGAGTAGGGAATCATCTATGGAAGGAATTTGATGTGGTATACAACAGAGCAAAGAAGGATACATATTTTTAGCAGAAAAGAAGAGTCCCTGGATAACGCGGTTTACGACGTCGCTCATGTGTCTTAAGATGTCGCTTCATATCATGCTTCCTTGCAAATGCCTTGTCACAAAGATTGCATTTGAAATCCTTGGGCCGGTCTGGATAATGGGTCATGATGTGCTCCTTCATGTTATTTGCCCGATTGGATGTGTGGAAACAAAAAGGGCATTTATGTCGTGTGCGTCGTACAGGCTTCTTTTTTGTGGCAGAAGTTTGCCGGCCTCTTTTCGCTCGTGGCTGCTCATCAGGTTGTGGTGGTGTTGGTGGTTGTTGTTGTTGTTGAGCATAGACCTGTTGCTCTAGCCATGGTTGTAGTAACATTCCATCAGACGTAGTGGGTGTTGGTGATGCGTCAACTGAAAGGCCATTAACAAGCTGTGCAAGAGTGGTGGCGCTGGTTGAGCATGATTGTGGAGGTGAGAGACAAAGAAGCGTGCAATCCGTTGTATTGTTGACGGGACCATTGTTATATAATGAAGATTGATTACAGCTCACTGATCCAATACTGCTTTCGGCTGACGTTGAAGAAGAAGTCCAAGCAAGCTGTGGTGTATGTTGCTGAGAATAGATTGATGGTTGTGATGAAGCATAATCATCAAGACAAGGACTGCTAGTGCATGTCAATGATGGTGGTGGTGGTGTTGTCAAGAAAGATTCATGCGATTGTGGTGTTGCCAGCCATGAGCATTCGTCGTCAAGCACGTCTCCAAGGGAAAAGTCATTTTCCATAGGCAACCAAGATGCGCACATGTTGCTCGGCATATATAAGTTATTTGACATTTCATATGTCTTTCCATAGCCTATCATTGCATAAACGATGGTTAACACAAGATCGAAATCGATTTGCGTATATAGCTTATTACCATTTGTATCCAAGCAACCATAAGAAGGGGAGAGCATGGATGCTTGTTGCTGCTGAATAGGAACCGGGGAAGCTGATAGGAATGATACATCATTACAATACCCGGCACTTTGATATTGCTCGGGTACAATTGAAGAGGGAACCTGGTCTTCTTGTTGTTGTGTATGTTGCTCTTCGTGTCCTGCCAGCATTTTGAATAGGGATTGGAACGTTGACGCCATTGAAAACCAAAATAAGGGGAAAGCTTAAGGTAGTGTTGTGAAAAGGTATACCAAATCGGCAGAGGTGCTGACACAGGAGGGTTTAAATAAACGAAGGACATGAGCTATATCCGCAGCGACGCCATCTATCTGGTGACCAGCACCTCTTTGGTAATGATGGTGGTGCTGCTGCTGCTACCAAAAATGGAAGAGTGCCTCAGCCAGTGTCAGTTTGAGCAGCGAAAATGGTGGCCATGTGTTGTACTACGGATGATTCGATGGTAACACAAGCTCTTTCTATGCAGACAATTCTTTCATTCTGTTGTGTGATGACAACGATACTCTAACAGCAACCATGTACCTATAAGCCGAATGGGAGATGATAATGATGGAAGCTCTTGTTGTTCGTGTCGGGATCAAATGGCCACCATGGGCATGGTAAAAATGGTGACCTTGATCGTGAGCAGATCAACAAATCGTATGGGTCACTAGAATGGGTGATCAGTCAAAAATAAGCATGAGCCAAAAATTCACCATACTTAACATGGGGGTTGTGCAGAAAAAGAAACCTGGGGACTTCTTATTTAATCATAATTGGCCCGACAAGGCCATTTGAAGGAATTTACGTCGTTAAGCATACTAACAACAACACGTAGATGGGTTGCTATGGGATACACGATCATTTACCTTGCACATGCACCTCTGTATTGTGAAGTACGCTTGCCTTCAATCAAATGCCAATGATTTTTGCTGTACCCCTACATTTGACTGTTGGATGCTGTGATACAATTATGATCGATAGACCCCTTGTGGATTCTACATAACCCCATGTCCTAGTTAAAATATGCAGCAGTAAGCCCATAATACAGATCTCTTCATTTTGCACTTTATCATGTTTCCAACAAACGGCCATTCGTCAGCACCTATCCAATTTCCTAAACAATGGATCGCAAGCTTGGACGTTGACATTGAGCCCAAGGCGACGCGAAAGACATCTATCATTTGCACCATTGGACCCAAAACCAACAACAAAGACAAGCTGATCGAGTTGATGGATGCAGGCATGAACATCGTACGCATGAATTTTTCGCATGGTGATTATAATGTAAGCATGAAAATTGTATTCCTCATGATTTCAAGAGCTATCCTTCTCATGTAAAAGCTGCACTAGTATCATGAATCGGTTCTCAAGAATTCTCGAGCTGCTGCTGCCGGTACGTTTAATGGATTAAGAAAAAAACAAGAAGCCATGTTCATCTTACTTGTTGTATAGAGCGACCTGAACGTGCATTGGCTATTGCCCTTGATACCAAAGGCCCCGAAATCCGCACCGGCATGATGCGTGATGACAAAGAGGTGTCTATCAGCAAAGGACATGAGATGATTATTAGTACAAACGCCGAGTATCAAGACGTATGTGATGATAAAGTCATGTATGTCGATTACAAGAACATTACCAAGGTGATCGACATTGGCAAAAAGGTATACGTGGATGATGGCTCGCTCTCATTCCAGGTGCTTGACAAGCAGGGTGATCAATTAAAAGTGCGTGCATTGAACAATGGCAAGCTGGCATCACGTAAAGGAGTCAACCTTCCAAAGACACCTGTTGATCTTCCAGCCCTTTCACAAAAAGATGAAGCGGATCTTGAGTTTGGTGTAAAGCATGGCGTCGACATGATCTTTGCATCCTTTATTCGACGAGCTGAAGATGTCAAGCACATTCGCAAGGTGCTTGGACCCAAGGGCAAGAACATCAAAATCATTTGCAAGATCGAAAACCATCAAGGTTGTCAAAATTTTGATGCTATATTGGCTGAAGCTGATGGTATCATGATTGCAAGAGGTGATATGGGTATCGAGATCCCTGTTGAGAGGGTGTTTGTTGCCCAAAAGATGATGATTGCAAAATGCAACTTGGTGGGTAAACCTGTTGCCTGTGCAACACAAATGCTTGAATCCATGACATATAATCCACGACCAACACGAGCTGAAGTATCCGATGTTGCGAATGCCGTATTGGATGGTGCTGATTTGGTGATGTTATCGGGCGAAACGGCCAAGGGTTCCTATCCCATAGAAACGGTCAAGACCATGGCAACCACTTGCGAGCTTGCTGAATCGGTTATTTGCTATCCTCCTTTATTCAATGAGCTGAGATCTCTCACGCCTTGGCCTACTGATACGACTGAAACCATTGCTTGTGCAGCTGTATCTGCTGCAGCTGAACAAAATGCAGGTGCCATTTTGGTTCTATCAAAGTCGGGTCACACTGCACGGCTCGCATCCAAATATCGCCCTACACAGCCCATTATTGTTGTTACCCGTAATGAGGAGACTGCACGCCAATCCCATCTTAATCGAGGTATCTTCCCTTTCATTTATCGTGAGGAACCATTGCAAAATTGGCACGATGATGTAGAAGCTCGTATTCGTTGGGGTGCCTCACGCGGCAAGGAAGCTGGCCTCCTCAAATCTGGTGAATCCATTGTTACGGTCCAAGGTTGGAAAAGTGGTCTTGGGAACACAAACACCATTCGCATTATCATTGCCCCATGATTTTCAAATACACACGCACACACACGCTCTGTTTCCTTTATCCATCGTATCAACATCAATCACTAAATGTAAATGTAACATTCAACAAGCTATAATAAAATCATCAGCAGTAGCACATATGATTAGCATGTAACTGATACCCCTATTGATTAACTTGCACAACGCAACAAGTGCTGCTCAGCGCGCGCTCTTCCGTTTCCGATTTACTACGAGACACTGAAGCAGGGCTGTGTCGTCATTCTCACACCACCACCAAGATCGTCCACCCACTCAAATGACTATTTCCATATCTGGCATCATGGAGGCATGCATGCCAAGAATGGAAAGATTTCTATAACGCCATCATGATGCTTGAATTGCACGACACTAAAAATACACCTCCCGGATCACCATGAGAAATTCACATCTGTGCATGACTATTAAACATTTCCCGTTCCCCACCCCCACCCCCCATCTCGCGATTGGTGGAGGATCTTTGCTTATCTATGATCCTATTAAGGCACACATAAAACCTGTCAGCTGCTCATGGAAGAAAATAGCATTTCCCAAAGCGGCGTGATTTGTTTCATCAAACGCGTTGATTGTTATCCATCTTCTTTGTTAGATCACGTACCTGATAGCAACGATAAGGTTATTTCATCTATGCCCTTTTCAGGATAACTGGCTTACGTATGCTCGAGCAACATGGTTACTTGATTTCATTGTTAACAGCTTCCTTTATTATGTAGTGATCAAAGGCTGCTATCATCGACGTTGAATAGCGAGCATATAACAACTCTATCATGATACGATAATCTCAAAGCTTTACTTCTTCATCCATTCCTACAGCCACTGGCTCCTTTTTCTATAGTGTTGTCTCGTTGTTTCCATGTTGCTGTGGATGGTTGTTGACGTGATGAAACTTGCATGATCCATCTTTGGTAAAAAAAAAAGGTCGTTGATGACGGGAACCAGAACAACCAGCTCACATCTTGATGAACATGTTGCGTTGTTGAGCAAAAAAAGCTGTTTCATAAACCCAATACACATTCCTGACCATCAACCGTGCTTAGCCAAAATGACCATCCGTATCCAGCAAATGAATGTTGATGTGCCTCTCAATTCCCCATACGCCTTTTTCTTCCCATCCATCACCTTCCCAGCAATCCGCGTACATCCAATCAATTGTTCCATCATGTTGACGTTGTATTATTGCTTGTAAATGATCCTTGCGAATGACAAACACAATAAAGGGAGGCGAACAATACAACAGTGGGGTACGCTGCTAAATAGGGGGGACAATTCTGGATATGAGAGAACCATCAAGCCACGTGCTATAGTATCATGTCGTGTAGTTGCTGCAAACTTGGTTGACGCGTAAACTTGTATTCACAATGCTGGCAATGGTCAATTGGAATCTTGCATTGACGACCAAACGGCAAGTCCATGGTTGCTTCCAATGTCTTGTACACCATAGTAGTATCGTCTTTTTCACTCAACGTTGAATCTCATTCGTGTTGTGTCCGGAATCGGCTTTCTGATTTGGCATCGTGTCAAGAGCAAGAAGGCAAAGCTGGGTTACAAGGATGATGAACTCGACCGCTTCAATTCTGAGCTCAATTTTTCATGGAGCGCTCTAGACAACGGTGACATTTGTTGGAGTACCACGTACATTCATGCAAGAGGTATACATATGCATGAACGACAACCTGACAGTAATGGCAGAATCAAAGCTTCTTTTAAACAAATAAAAACGGGACGTCTCTATCAACTATCTGATCAAGTGGATCGTCAATGATAACCTCCTGCTTTTTTTGGGGAAAAAACAGTGTAGACATGGTAGCAAAGAGCCTTGTAGGAAAATAACACTGACGGCTAAGTCACGTGACCCAAAACAAAGAATTGACAAAAAGATGTCGACAACAGCAGGATTTGAACCTGCGCGGGCAGAGCCCATGAGATTTCTAGTCTCACGCCTTAACCACTCGGCCATGTTGTCTTGTTTTTTCTTGAAATCGAGTGACATGAAGTGCGACGGCCTGCCTTATTTGGAAAACGCTTGTTTTTAGTGTTAAAAGATAGAGCGAAAAGAGCTGAATTGATTGATGCCATTTATATGTCATTTGGGAAGGTGTATGTAGAGTAATTTGTATTTGAAAGGGTGATGCAATTCCGCAATGATCGGGGATAGCGTGTGTAAGCACTCATTTCTGCATCAGCTGGAATTTTAATGGGATGGGAACCTGCCCAGATAATTATAGCATCATTGACACCAATGATGAATGCTGGAACCATTTAAAGATGATAACGACATAGTATAAAGCCCATGAGATGAACATAGTCTTAACAGAGATAAACAGCAATCATGATTACAGATAGCAGCAATAACCAAATGTCCATGAAGAAAGGTATTTATATACAAGTGGATGATTTATAATACAAATATTACGGAAGCAAAAGGAAGAAGTAACAACAAGTAAACAAGAAACGAAATGGGTATCCAGGATACGGGGTGTAATGTTGTAGTTGAGTGGGAATGGATATATCGGGTTGCTGCATGAACAAGATCAAGGCGTTATAGGAGGCCGCTCCACCTTTTGAGACCACACGTAATGCAAGTTCATAAACGCACGATATTGCCCCATCTCCTGATCCATCTCGTCAAAGTCAGATTCCAATTCCACATCGGTGCGTTCTGCCATTTGATTGTGCTCGGCAACGGCAACTTGAAATCGTTCAAACAAGTCGTGAATGTCGTCTCTGAACAGGATGCCAATTCGGCCACCCCAAACGCCCAATGGAAGGGAAGCGTAACGTCCATTCGTCAGACCATGGTAGGTGGTATCGTTTTGATTCTTTAGAGCGTCCTTCAGTTGTCGAGCAAGTCGTGGATCGAGTGATTTGGCTTCCATCACATGAATGACTAAAGATAGTAGCACGGCAAGCATTACGACATTAAAATTAGCCACGATCCCCTTTTCCCACAACAACAGCCATACCTTCAGAGTTGAATCGTTGAGTGGTCTTTGCAAGGTTGGCTCCACCAGGTTGATCATAGTAAATACGCATATCCAATTCGACCAATTCAATAAATCCACCAGGCGCACATACACGCCATACTTCTTGTAATAGCTCGTTGTATTCTTGTGCAGAAATGGATAGGTTCAAGAATTGGCACCGAATGATATCAAAAGAATGATCGGCCATGTTGCTAAGCCCACCATCCACTAAATTAGGGCATCGCACTGTTTTGAGATTGTGGCGTCGTCGTCGGTGAGGATTGGAAGGTTGCTGCTGATCCATGGCCAACAAGTCAGTGACCCTCCACCTTGGATACGCTGTTGCAACGTCCATTGCCCAATCGCCAGGCCTACAACATACTTTAATAAGTATACATGTCGTCGTATTGGCGCAAGAAGAAAGGAGGATGACTTACCCAACATGCAGCACATGCTTTTCCACACCAATATCATGCAGGGGGCTACAAAAAAGACTGATCAAAGATCGTGTGAGCCTTTGTGTAATGCTTAGATTCAAATACGTACTCATTGTCCATAACCATCTTTATCAGCTCAGGGCTAATCGCCCATGGTGGCTCTGCATCCGACCACTGTACATGGTCGTCTTCATCGTTGTCATCGAATGCTTGCGAGTAGATTGACACTGGGCGAGAAGTGAGTGGTTGTGAATATACAGAAATAGGGCGTGTCGTAGGAGCAGCAATATAGGAATGTTCTTGGAAGCTGGATGAAAGACGATGTGCATCATCTATTGTCAATGTATCCTCGTTTTGTGAAGAAGATCGTCGTCGAGAAGAGGCAATGCTTAAACGGCTCAAGCTGTGTGGAAGCATTGTTTCGGAATTGTTTTTGTTCTTATGCAAATGATGCTTCTTGTGATGATGATGTGGCCAATGGAATCGAGGATAATGCGGGTAATGACGGCGCGCTCTAGACCAAAGATCCCCTAGAATGGAACGTTCTTTGCTATCGCGTCGATGTGCAGACTTTGAGGAAAACTGGTCATCATCATCCAAATCCTCTTCAAAGCACACAGAATCACGTTGTTGACCTTTGCCAGGTACGTGTGTTGTAATGGATATGGCTGGTTGTTTTACGTTTTCAATCGATGAAGCCGAAGATGTGGGTTGGGATACCACGTCGCTGGATGTAGATTGTCGTTGTTCTTGTGAAGAATCGACGGTATTGGTGGTGGATGATGTCCATTGGGAGAACCAGTTGAGGATCCAAGACCTTCGGCTGTTACCATGAATATGATGGTCAAGCATATGGAAATCAAAGAAAAGTAAAGAAAGAGAAAGAAGGGCTCACACGGAGAAAAGGCTGTGGTTTTTTTTAACCTTTGCCACCCAACAGGTGGCTGCACAAAACGTCACTTATTGGTTCCTGTGCTTCTCTCATGCGTAGTACATTTGCTCTTTGCCCCCTTTTATTGCATCAGAACAATACACAATAAACATGCCATTTTGTGTGCCAAGCATTGTTTGAAACGCATCGGCATTTCTGTTCCGTCATCAGAAAGCTTTGTGTTACGCCATGACCAAGCATTGCGTGATCCCCTTGTTGAACATGGAAGCAAGGAACATGTCCCATTTGGTTATATCGCAAGCATTAATTGTCATGCAACTGCAACTATGCACAATAATCTGTTCAAAGCTCATGTTCATCAATAATTCAATGGTGTTCTTATATAAGGTCCCGCCACAGACAATCTTCACGCAATCATCACGTGGATCATGTATTGGTTCTATGTTCTATTCACATGGTCCAAAACAGCATACATGGCTTCTGTAATACTAGTTGTATTCTTAAATTGGTAGCTTTTTCATGTAGATCAGCACCATATGCTTATAAAAGGACTCAAGTGTGGTAGATATGGGTGAAAATCAGGGACAAAACAATCAATCATATGACAGCCAATGCATAACAACATGAGCTTCCTTAATTTATCCGATCGCCAACATATAGTAGGGGGTGGGACAATCATGTTTCTCAACAAGAGGGATTGCATAAATAGGATCCACGTTGTATGTGTACACTTTATTGACTTGGTGTCTAGCTCTTACGATCGAACGGTAGCCTCGAAATCCTTCTTCACAGCCTCAAAGAAGCTATCATTGTTCAAAACCTTGAGTGCAGTTACAGCTAAACCTTCAGAGCCTTGAAGGGTTGCTTCATGTGCCTGCTTTGTGGCTGCAGCTTTTGTGAATTCGATTGTGTGATTGGCAGCGGTGGTACCGATAGCTCTCATAGGATGAAGAGTAGGTACTTCGTAGGAGACGTTGCCCATGTCTGTTGATCCACCACCCTTCTTTTCTTGCTCAGCGATACTGGGGAAGCTGGTACCAGCAGTTCTTTCCATATAATCCTTGTATACATCTGCCATGGGGTTGTTTTGAACGACATCTATGATACAGGGATATAGTTGAGTTACGTGTTTCCAACAACAAAGCCAAAATTGGTACCCACCCTTGGTGACGCCGATCTCGCGCCATGTCCACTTCACCTCACAACCGGTTGCCATGGCAGCAGCTCGGAAGCAGTTTTCCATCTTTTCCATCAAGCGGATGATTTGATCGTATTTGGTGGTACGGACAAAGAAGAAAGCGGATGTATGATCGGGAATGACATTGGGCTATATAATCACCATGTCAGAGATGATTCCATGCTTTATCCCAATAGACTTACCGCCTTGCCGCCATCTGTAACAATACCATGCACACGATCAGTGGGCATCAATTGTTGTCGCATCATGCTGATATTGTTCCACAATTGTACCATAGCATCCAAAGCATTGACACCTATTCATGCACAACAACTTTTGTCAATACACCCTTCTCGATAATAAATGTATTCCCCTCGTTATAGCTTACCTTCCCAAGGAGCAGCTGATGCATGGCTTGCTTTACCAAAGAATTCCACACGCACATCATGGATAGCAATCAAGGCAGCACGCTCAGAGTCATAGGCACTAGCAAAATACTCGTGGGTAAATATGATGTACGACATTGATTAGTGATTCACACTTACGCTGGATGAAGCATCAAGCATGCGTCAACATTATCTTGGAATGCTCTCTTTTGTACCAAAACAATCTTGCCGATTGAAAGCTCTATCATATAGACCCATATTAATGTCACATGACCAAAATGTATGAGCATTATTGTATCCCTACCTTCTGCTGGGGTGCCAAAGAGCATCACTTTTCCGGATGCCTTGCCACTTTCTAAGGCTGCCTTGACACCAATAGCTGCTGCAACACCGGAAATGGCAATACAGTTATGCCCACAACCTAAAAGGCGAGATGAACAAGGTTAGATGCATTGAAGGATGTGTTACTTACAATACTATACCTTGACCAAGGCCTGGGAGACCATCGTATTCAGAGCAAAAACCGATACGGCGACCTTGACCACGAGTAAATTCGGCAGTGAAAGCGGTCTTCATACCGTAAGCATGACGAGTGACCTTGAAGCCCTGCTTCTCGAGATAGTCGGTCAAGATTTGATGTGCGTGGAATTCCTTCATGCCCGTTTCCATATTCTCGTGCAACTAATCGAGTATTGTAAGTATCATGCTGTGTATTAGGTAACGTGGAAAAAGATAAACTCACATCAAGGCTGATTTCACGCAAGTCGCCTGATACAGCTTGGATGGCATCTGATACAATACGTTCCAACTCGGTATCGTGCTTGATGTCCAATTGGCTCATAGCCTAGGATACCACTATATCAGTACCATGACGACGAGATAAAGTAGTATAAACTTACCTTGGAGACACACTCTTCATAAGCGGGTAGTTTCTCTTCAGTGGGAGGTGTGTAAGCAGGAGGAATGCGAGACGATTGAGCATTGGAGGAGCTTCTCTTGCCGAATGCTGCAAAGAGAGAATCGAAACAACCGGTGGTAGTGCCTTCCATGTTGGAATGTGTGGAGTGTTGAAGCGTGTGGAAAAGAAATAGAGTAAGCGTGGGTGCGTGCAAACCACAAAAGAGAGAATGAGAAAACCACCGCTCGGTTGCACACACGTACAAGCACGCATATAGCCGAACATCGGAGGGAAAGCTTATCGTGTTAAGGCCGGGACATCGGACATGATGCTTTGCTGTTTAATCATTGTACATCTTTACGTGGCCAGCTTGATATATGTGTACTACTCCCTGTATAAAGATAAACCATATGCTTATCGCTTCCAAAATACCCTGATGCTACTGCATTGGCCCATACAGAAAGAAAAGGATCGATGGATCGAGATCGCATGTCATTTTAGATGACTACTACTACTGCTACTAAAGGTTATTTATATTCGCATTATTGAATTTGTGTGTGTGAAGAAGCCTTGATTACGGTAGCATGGGTTCTCTTCACGATGCAAACCGATCCTTGAATCCCGCCTAGTGTAACGCGCTTTACAATTATCCATTTCACACCAAACCCGAGCTCACGGAGGGTGGTCTCATTTTAATGTTATGCATTGGGTGGTACCAACAATGATACTCAACATAATACACTTTTTGCCTAGTCATAGACGATGGTACTTTGTGATCTCGTTTACTGCATTGAAGGCCTAGCTGTCAAACCAAACAAGGATCGAGAATACAATCTGACGATGTATATAAGTAAAGTCCGAGATGCTCGTTACACCAGATCTACCTATCACACTAGATGTCAACGAGCAATTCTCCACACTCCCAAAAGATGTCAATGTACACCATTGGTTTTGTTCAAGTATAAGAGTGGGACACAATGAGACAACATTTCAAGATGAGCCAAAAGTACAAGGTATGCAATAATGGTATGTCTTTTCAGGCATGAAGCGTGGGTTCTTTGTTAGAGCAAAGTTGATCAGCGTGCCCAACGAGAAGCTGTACAACTATCATCATTCAATTGCATTGACTCGCCACGTCCATCCACTCACCTTTGCAAAGGCCACGCCTAAAAGGTAGAAACTTCTCATGTTGTTGTATCACCCATTAGAGCAATGATGCATTGTACTTCTCAATCTCATGTTCTGTCTATCTCTTGTGAGTGATATTGAATATGACATTGTATTGGCCAACCATGATGAGCTTCTATAGTGTAGGTGATCTTCGTTCCTTCTTCTTGAGTTAGACCTCGTTGTGTATGGCTATTTGATGCGTTGTATTATAAAAAGATTTATGCAGGATCGTAGGAGTTCATCCACTTGTAAATGTTGTGATAAAGAAAGAAAGGGAATGGGAAAGGGTGTAATTGATTCATTGTGTCTTGAACAAAGGTTGTACTCGATAGTAAAGCCCACTTCCCTTTTTTGGGGTGATGAACTCATGTCAATAACGTCGTCATGCACATCTCTTTTTATGAGTTTATTATTATACGGCAGAGGATGAGCTATTTGTGAAATGCCCAAGTGTAGCAGTACACGTCAACATGCATCTTTTATGCACCCAAGAGTTGTTCCCGGGGAAACGCCTATTTAATGTCATGGCAACGTCTATAGCGGAATGCTTTTTGCACACATCTCTTTAAGAATTGGAATCACAAACAATCAAGATGATAGGTAATGAAAAGAAATGTTTATAGACAAAGTGGTACTCATTATCAAGAATCATGCCAATGGATCGAAACGGAGTGTAAAGATGAGCGAGTAAGAGAAGCCAGACGCCCTGATCCTTTTCCTTCTGCATCTTCCTTGTATCCAAGCGTGTGTAAACAGCGATATCGACTAGTACCAACGAGATGCCGGCGCTTGATTTAAAGGGATGTCTGGAAGACTCTCCCAAATTCAGAAGACGCGTGAACGCCCATGAGGAAACCATCCAACATTTCGAGTCGTCGTTGAAAGTTCTCCTGAAACTATCCCGTTCGCAAGTGAGCTTGTACGAAGGTAGAGCTGACAGCCAATGCGACACCAATCGAGATGAATAACGCTCCATGCTCTCGTCCTATGCAGAGTACAGCCTACGACAGCAAGAACTGGCACTGGGATTCGTATCGTTTGGCCAATCTCAAGATGACCCGATCGTTGGTAAGGACATGCAACCCTTGTCATAAGCACAGCCTGTCTGATATGCAGAGGAATACAGCGTACGCACTTGAAAAGTTTGGGAAATCGTTACTCGAGGTGGAGAAGTGTCGAAATATGTTTGTATGTTGAGCAGCAATCTCGAAGATCAATGACTTATTGGGTGGATAGAATGCACACGTCGAGACCACTTTTATTGAACCTTTGGAGAAGTTCATGAAGGAGACAATTGCACCCGTCAAGGTAAAAGGGAACCATCCTATTCGGTACTGATTTGATTGTAACACAAGCCGATTGTTTGCAGGAAGCAAAGAAGCGTTTCGAGAGATCCAGCGATGATTTGGATTCAGCGTTATCCAAGTACATGGGGAAAAAGCCTAGAGATCCGACGATCAACGAGGTAAGAAAACGATCCAATGTTTGATAGTTGATCATTAACTTTATGTATGTCAGTCAGCAAATGAGCTTGCAGATACAAGAAAGCAATTTCATCAAGTCTATATGGATTATGTGCAAAAGTTGAACGATGTGGAAGCTAAAAAGAAGGTGGATTACATGGAAGATGTAAGCTTTGATTGATGTATCTGAAGGGGGATTACGACATGAGCTCTAACAGTGTTATTTGCAGATTCTTGCATATATGTATACCAAATCATCATTCCATCACCAAAGTTACGAGATCCTCAAAGATTTGGAGCCTTATATGCGCGATTTGACAGGTAAATGATTGCACACACACACATGTTGGACCTTACTGAGACTTTGTTTGATTAGGCTTGTTGCACGACGTAATAACTTTGCAAAAGCCTCGTTGACTTTTACTGAAATCATCCTCGTAGTCGCGACAACGATACAATGAAGAATCGGTGGAGAGCCACGATTATCAGACTTCATGGGCACAGGTAAATGATGGTGGATATAGCATCTTAATATCTTGTTACTAATCCCATACATAGAACAATACCGCTGATTACAACCCCACGTTGAACGAGAGCACAGCATCATTATCGAATTCAAGATCAGGACCTGTAGCAAAAGCAGGCTATCTTTTTGAACGTCGTGGAGGCCGTGTATTGCAAACATGGGTGCGTAAATATTTCACCATCGAAGGAGAAGAGTTGCATTGCACAATGCGTGGACCAAAGGTATATTTTTACATTGCTGATAGCCGAAAGGGGAGGTATACGCTGACCCACAGTATATAGCCCAAGGATGATGATTTGCCTTCCTCATACAACCTCCGAGTATGCAGCGTCAAACTCACTGACAGCTATGATCGACGTTTTTGCTTTGAAGTCATCTCACCATCTCGGTAAGTTTCACGTTGGGATCATTTAAAGACGTCTATATTAAGAAATGTCCTCGTGTAGCGTCCTTGTATTGCAAGCAGAGAATGAGCAGGATATGCTTGATTGGGTACAATCGTTGAAGGCAGCAAGCCAAATGGCACTCAATTCGGATAAGGCCATGCCTGAACCCCTGTTGCCTATGCAAACGGTATGGTGATGTCATATGGATATGCTGGATAACTCATAACGTGACAATAGGGTGGCACGGATACATCATCTCAGTCGAAACAAAGACCCTTCACGCCAACTCATTCAGACGCAGAACAACAGCTATTGAGAACATTGCGTGAAGAACCAGGGAACCAACAATGCGCGGATTGTGGTGCCGAAAGTAAGATAAAGTAACCTTTATACAATGTATATTCTCTTTGCTAAAACAACGATAATAGATCCAGAGTGGGCGAGCACCAATTTGGGCGTCATTGTATGCATCGAATGTTCAGGTATCCATCGAAGCCTTGGTGTACACGTGAGCAAAGTCAGATCCATCGCCTTGGATAAATGGGAACCTGAATCCATAGAGGTAAATGGATTTCGCGTAGCAAAGGGAAATCACTACTCATGCTACATGTACTATAGGTGATGCTTCGTTTGGGCAACACGGTCGCAAATGGAATATTTCAAGAGTATGTGCCTCAAGACATGGAAGCGTTTCGAATTGATTCAACGTCATCAAGGTTGGTAGAGGAATGATCGTTTATCGGCTGATAGGACAATCCGAAATTTTGGAATTTGACCAAACTATGTCTTTTTATTGGTGTTAGGCCGGAGCGTGATCTTTGGATTACGGAGAAATATGTGAAGCGCTCGTTTGTAGCACATGCAAACAATCCAGCATCGCTTGATCAAGCCTTTTGGGATGCCATTGCTGAGTCTCAACTTGGAGATGCACTTCGTTGCCTCGTACAAGGTGCCAAAGTGGACTACAAGAATGATAACCAACAACTACAGACCGCATTACAAAAAGCTGTGGATCAAGATGATGAGGTTTTGACTGAATTTTTACTTCAATGGCACAGCGATGTCAATGAGACGGATGAAAACGGATGGACGGCTTTACATTATGCTGCAGCAAACAATAGCGTACGCTTGGTGCTGGCTTTATTAAAACGACATGCCAAGGCTGATATACAAGATAAATGTGACAAGGTATGAGGGGATGGAAAAAAAAAGAATGACAAAACAACGCGTTACTCATCATCATCATCATGCTGTTGATACTATAGACACCACTTGATCTAGCAGTGGATCGACAAAATGTACAAGCCGTTACAGCTTTACGACTTTTCGCATTTGATAAACAGCATAATTCATCACCAGCCAGCTCACTGGATTTCGGTTTTCGAGAAGCCATGTCCTCTTTCAAGCACACCAGTGTCCCTGTAGATCATGGGGCTGCATCGGCTATGGATATACGCCAAGCACACTCGGATACCTCTTCACCAGAAAAGGAGAAAACAGTTATTCTTAATGATGACCAAAACCATGCACTGCTTCACCCCAAAGGCAGCTAGTAGCCCTAAAGTAGATGATATCGTTCCAAAGACTATTCATACATTCTAATATTTGTATCTATTAACATTACGTGAGAAGCATTGGGGGGTATCTTAAAGAAAGTAGAACGCGACTACAAATGAGCAAAGTTACTAATAGGTGGGATTGGTGTAGGTGGAGGAGGAGGGATTACGTCAATTACAAAAGTGATGTTTCTTTCTTAATATTCTTGTTCAGGCGTGGTCTACCTCTTGGCTTATGTTCAACATCCTTGCATCCAGTTTTACCCGTAGCAATGCACCTGCGACAAGGACGCATATTGTCACAGCGTAAATGAGATCGTTTACAGTGGTTACAAGCCTTGTCAACGTTGCGGCCTTTGCGAGCAGAAGCGGAAGAAGTCGTGGATGTACTTGAGGAAGTGCGCAATGCAAAATCATCATCGTCAACGTCCCCCCTGAAAATATACTCGTCATCTTCATCCTCTTCCTCATCTTCAACATCTGATAATCGTTGACGTGCAAGGAGTGTGCTGATACTATCAGAAGATCGTTTGAGTACCTTGTGGCTATGGCGCCTATGCTGCAAAATGTCCGATGATGATGATTTGCGAAGGTTTCTTCTACGTCGCAATGATGATGAGATGGCGGTAGAAGAAGATGCAGACTTTTTCATGAGAGGTTTGATATGATGACCACCACCACCACCATTTCCTTGTGCAACACCTTGGGATGAAGAAGTCTCGCTATCAGAGTCACTGGCCAATGCCATTTGGTTCAATCCCACTGGCATGGATACGAAGCTAGTGATACCGAGAGCATTGTCATTGGGAGCTGAGGATGTGGTTGCTGCAGCTGCAGCGGCTGCAGCGGCTGCGACTTGCAAATGATCTGGTGCAGCGTAAGACAAATGAATCGATGCTGCATGTTTTTGGGAATCGGCCTCCGCAACAAAGGAATTCACGTCCTGGCCACCCGTCCGTGTCAGCTCTATTTGATAATATGCCATGTATACCAATAGAAACACTTACACTCAAACTAACAAAGTCGCGTGTCATGCCACCCATGCCAATCAAGTCTTGCAAATCGTCCGTGCATGCTGAAGAGTCGATAGACGGTCTATGATCGGCGGGGAAGTAGCAATGGGAGGGATCGTATAGCCAATCGGATGTTGGAGGATCACTTGCTGACACTGTTGGTGCTGCTGTAGTGGTTGTATTAGTGGTTGTGGTTGTGGTAGGTAGCCCAAGCAAAAACTCGTTTGATGCATAGTTGTTGGTATCCAATCCGAGCCAATCTTGTAGCACAGGCCAACGCTCCATGGGTGAAGGGTCTTCTTTAAGGTATTGCAGGTACGAAGACACTTGTGGTGACATGTAGAAATCATCAAAACTCGTCATTGGATCGTCATCTGGTGTCTCTGTCGTCAAGTCTGGTGTGTAATCTAAAAAGCTATTCGCAAGAGGTGGTGGTGGTGGTCGATGATGATCCTGATCTGAAGACTGTAACTGTTGCTGGGACACTACCACTTGCTCTTGGTCATTGCAGAATAACGCATCCATGATAGAAGATTGCATCATGTTCTATTATTAAAAGTACTGCAAATTGTATGAGATGATTATGGAAAAAGTAGAAAAGGAATGAAAGAAAGAAAAATAAAAAGACGATAGGGCGGGAATAGTTATAATAGGAAATGCATTCTTTGCATTATACAAGTCTGGACGCACACCCGTCATCCTCCCCTACACAATCATGCACATAATACGGCACAAGTTCTTCTTTCCTTTTTATTGATGCATTAAACGTATGAACGGTAATCTACAGCCTGTATACAATGTTCGTTAGGCTTACGGTCTCTTTTGGATGCATAGCTCGTTCAATAGTAAATGCATCCATTCCTCTGATACCGTTGCCATGGCGATGGCATATATGTATTCCTTATAAATTCTTTGGCACGTTTACTGTTTCTTGCTATTGATGCTGGCACACGGCTAACACCCGGTTAGCAATGACACGCAACAGGATGGTAAGGAAGGGGAAGCACTCATGTTGGTCTTGTGCAGGGCTTATACGACGCGACTTGAGGAATTTGAAACGCAACTTGGCTATTCGCTTTTTTTACTCAGCAAATCCATTTAAATTGCTGGATGCTGGGATTGTGTATACTCATATCATCACATTAAGGACTTGGTTAGAGATTAAAGTGATATTGGTCAATGTATAACGCGCAGGTACAATGCTAAGATGATGTCATGTTGTTGTCAAATCATGCCATCACACCTCATCTGAGGTACCCTAAAACGAAAATAGCAGGAATGATAACCTGGGGTTTTACTTAATGGAACCGATAGCCAATGAATGAATCGACAATGTGTAGTAAGAGATCAATGCTGCACTACGTGACCTACTTGATGCCATCATGCGATCGGTGGTTGACATATAAAGTTGGCAAAACACCACCATTAGTCCTAAAGACAATCACATCATCATCCCTTTTCCTTCCACCTTGCATGATTCACAGCAAGCTTAAACTTTGCATTCTCAATTCTTCTTCCCGGTTTATTCTCCACGTGTAGTTTGCGCATTAGGAATCATGGAAGCGACTAGATGCATCACGCTTGCATTGGATTGAGATGTCATGTGAATGATACATGTGCTTCTCAGGCTCCAGCCAGGATACCAAGACCGCTGCTCTATTGTCCAGATGACGAATTGGGAATGATTGTTGTGTTACATTGATTTGTTTTGAGAATGAGCACAATGAAAGCGACACCACCTTTAAGCGTTCTATTTCCCTCATAGTAGCAATCGTATTCTACAATCTAAACACGCCATGCAATTGCAAGTAAATTTCGGCGTTGATATCGCATATGGGTTTGATGCTGAAGGAAATAGACAATGTCGTACCATTGCGCGATACCCCGCTCATGCTACGGTCACTATGGTCAGTGCGTGCTTTGCCCCAGATTTGACTCAGCAAAAAAGACTTGCAGAACTTGCCACTTTAATCGACTTCGAGCTTTTAATCAAGGACTAGGTTCAAAAGTGACATGGGAGTATTCATATAAAACCATCACATGCATTTATTTCAATGGGATTGTACATGTTTTGTGTGTGCTGAAACAGCTTTAATAAAGCATTTCCTTTGACCTTTATCAAACCGTGAATAGTCATCGAAAATGGATAAGGATGATAAAAATATTACAAGGAGCTGAGAGCGAATGGATTGGAGCGAGCGCCACATTGGGCAAGTACGACGTAGATCAATAAGGACCAGATGTGCATGCAGTGGACATTTATACTATTTGAACGAGCGTGTAGTTGTGAAATGTATCAAACAGTGGAGCTTAATGTCATTAGAAAAGGGAGGTTTGTGGTGGACAAAGGAGTATGGGTGTGGGTGAATACAAGTGTGGTGTCAAGGGCGACTATAAATCAATTTGTGCAAGGTGTCGTGCATCATAGCATCTTTTCCCTTCAAGTTTACTATTTCAGCTACTCCCTCCGTTCCTTCCCCTTTGTTATATATATATACCCATACTTGCTATACGCCTACAGTCATCGACTCCCATGTCTTCATTCGACGTCCCGGGCGTACTCTCACCTACTCAAAAGACTCTCATTCGTGCCTGGTGGAAGAAGGTCGCAAGTAATCCAAAACCCAACAACGCTTCCGACAATACAACAGACTCTAGCAACGGTTCGTTTGCAGCAATGAACAAATAGACAACGCCCCCTCTCATTATGTGTTTGACAGGACATAGAGTCTTTGGCATTCCCTTGACCGAGTCCATCAGGTATGCTCATTCAAGTATATCCTATGTGGATGCCTCGAGTGGTATGAGTTGCTATGGTATCATCCCAACGGTGGTCGCCAAATGCGGTGCATTCTTAAAAGAGCAAGGTAGATTAATGATGGTGGTGGATCTTATGCAATGAGAGATAATAACAACCCCCCTCCCTTTAATAGGATTGATGGTGGAAGGTGTCTTCCGTATATCTGGCAGCAGCAAGCGGATTGGAATGTTGCAAACAGTGTTTGATGAATCTGAAGACTTTGGGGCCAAGTTCAAGTGGGAAGGCGATTTCACTGTTCACGATGCAGCCAACGTGATGCGGCGCTTTTTGAATCATTTGCCCGAACCTGTGATCACGCTAGATCATTATCGAGCTTTTAAAAACACAATGAGTAAGTCAGGCATGGATAAGGCACTAAGAAGCAACCTTAATAACTCTCTCGCTCTCTCTCCCACGTAGATGATGAATTTCCCAGTCTGGATGCGAAAATACAAGCGTTCCAGAATCTCATCTTGTCATTACCTTTGGTTCACCAATACTTGTTACTCTACATCATGGATATGCTCGGCCTATTCTCAATGACAAAGGACAAGACACGAATGGATGTATCAGCCCTGGCGGCTGTTTTTGCTCCTGTAAGTTTTTCTTTGGGGAAGAGGAGGAGGAATTATGCAGGCAAATAGCTTATTTCCATGCATTAGGGCGTCTTGTCTCATCCCGACGATGAACTTAATCCAGCTGGCTACAAGGAATCACAACGAGTACTCGAATTCCTGATAGAACATCAGCAACGTTTTGCAGTTCCACGATCATGTATTCCACCCAATCAAACGTTGGTGCCTCGTGAATCATTTTCAGCTACCAGTAAGGAAGAAAAGGGAGGAGGATGGGATGCATATGAATGAATTATAGAACTAATAACCAACCCATTGTTTAGTTCCCCGACGTCGGAAACAATCAGTCACTCCATCCACATCCACATCCACAGGTCGTCGCCATCAACATGTTGATTTATCACGGATATTGGTTGATTTGCAAAAACATGGCTTAGGGGAAAAGCCTCGGGCAGCCAAGTTGCAGCGTTCATCAACAACTGTCAAAACTAAGCAGAGATCTCCATTTTCGGAACAACCTGTATCACAGCAGGGAAACACCACAGCCACAACTTCCAATCTTAAGCGCTCCCAATCCGTACCAAGCAAACGTTACCACAATCGAGAAGCTGCTGCTAGTAAGAGAAAACAAGCTAAATAATAACGGTATGCAACAAGATCAACTGATGCAATCAATAATCAGCTGACCATGACGATCCAAGTAGATCTCTTGGGCATTGGAAATCCATCCGACGGGTTACGGATACCTAAAAACACTCTTCTCCTTGCCACCTTTTATTGTTCTTGATGTATATTTATGCCCCACTTTTATATAGTTAAACAAGTACTGTATACAATTCTGCAAATATATAAACAAAGTCATTTGCCGATCATCTTGTTCTCTTTGTCATTTGGTTGCTCCAAGATAACAATGCTGGGTATTATAGATATGGGTTGAATTGGATATTGGAGACCATCTAGGATAGGCACACTGTTGTATAAGATTGGTTATGTACCAGGGTATTACATTTGGAAAGAAGCTCATCACAATAAAGATGCCCAATGCATGTGTAGTCATGTGACACCAGAGCTGTCTAAAAAACATTTTCGGGGATGTTGGACTGTCTCACAATAGCCTCTTCTCCTTCTCCTCTTCTTGACACAACAACAAAACAATGCAGGCATTCCGATCGTTGCTAGCTCGAGGCTCTCCTTTGCGATCAGCATTTGCACCTTTGCAACGTTCCACCATGCAACAACCCACCATGAGCATCGTCAACCAGCTTCGTCCCCACACAATGAACTGGCAACCCATGCAACAACAAAAGGCAACCATGGCCACCTTGAACCAGGTCATTCGCAAGTGCCGTAAAACGAAAAAGACACTTTCAAAGTCTCCAGCATTAGACAATTGTTATCAGCGTAAGGGTGTCTGCAACAAGGTGTACACGACAAAGCCCAAGAAGCCCAACTCTGCTGTTCGTAAGGTGGCTCGTGTCAAATTGACCAACGGCAAAACTATCATCGCATACATTCCTGGTGAAGGCCATAACCTTCAGGAACATTCGGTTGTCTTGGTGCGTGGTGGTCGTGTGCCTGATCTTCCCGGTGTACGATATCATCTTGTTCGTGGTGCTCATGATTTGCAGGGTGTTGCTTCCCGCACAACCAGCCGTTCAAAATACGGAAGTAAGTTTTATTACCTTATTGGTGCAAGGGATATCAAAGAGAGGGTAATGGATGGGAAGGAGGTATATCAATGACTAAAAACGTCGCTTTTTTCATTTGTTTTTGTAGCCAAGAAACCATCCAAGAACAACTAGACATCAGATACATTTACTCTCCCCTCCACCTTATCCGCGTTTTGCTTTTCATAAATCATTCAATGAAACAATAACATTAATCCATGATGAGATCATAAGTCAAAGTTGATATTCTACCCCCTTCATTGTGTTGGTCTATAGAGGTAAAAGAGCGACTCGGTTGAATACTCGAAGGAGCTGCTTGTATTGTATCCCACAAACCTGTATCTATATCAATAAAAGGCCTATCTTTGTCTCAACATGGCTAAGATTCCTATGTATACCTTACAAAACAGAAGGCATACGCCTGAAGTTAGGATACTCTATATATACATCGACTACATAAAGTTCCCCCGTTGACTTCACATCCCACGCCTTTCTATGGGCTCACTAGGTGCGCGACATCCCCATAGTAGTTTAGTATTCAAAATACCGGTATAAGGTTATGTTCCTTCGATAGCCAATTTCATCCTTTCATCGAATCATTCATACAAGACCAAAGAAAAATAAAACATGCGGCTTGGAAAGATTGTCAACTTCGCTTTACATATCATGAAGTCAGAGTCTCTGTCCTATGTTGATATACTATACGCAAACGCATTTAGCTAACTAAGGCGATTATGGGTTATCCAACAAGAGGTGCGGCATACGCACGAGTGTCGCGCCTCCGATTACATGTAGCACTTCCTTGTTCTATGTCGCACCTCTTGTTGAATAACCCATAATCGCTTTAGTCGGCTAGCGTTTTCTATAGCATCATAGGACAATGAGCCAAACTTATGACCACAAGTTCATATGTTGCATGCGTAGATCTTTTCGAGTAAAGGTTTTCAACCTTTCTAAGTTGCATGTTTACTTTTCTTATGTCATGTATGTATGCTTTGATGTATGGGATGAAGTTGGCTATCGAAAAAACATAACCTGATACAGGCATTTTGGATACTAAACTACTAGGGGGATGTCGCATACCTAGTAATTCCCATCTCTAATACTTTGCAACGTGATGTCGGACCCAAATGCATAAAGGGCATAGCCCTATTATCTTTAGATGTATTGCTTTCATATCCACTATCCCTTTATCCCATACACACACACACGTATATATATGTAACTAGCAATAATCCATTAATAGGCATCATTGGATGCAGCTATTAGCTGCTGCTTTGGTTTCTTCCCTATGGGGCTCAATCTTCGTACATAAAGCTATCAGACCACAAAACAATACACAGCTTGTTGTAACCTTCCCTTGAATTTATTGTTTTATTCGTTATCATGCATTTAGTATCACATGCGATAATCAGCCGTGCTTGTGAATAAAAAGCATCGAATCGCCTATTCACTTGCCAATTTTTCATAAACAAAAGCGAAAATTATCGACCTGGGTCACGTGATGATCGTTTTCGATGAAAACAAAAGATGTAAACCACCAGTTTCTTGGCGATTTACTATGATTCCATCCGGGCTCGATCCGGAGACCTCCTGTGTGTTAGACAGGTGTGATAACCAACTACACCATGGAATCATGTTTCTTGCTTGTTTTTTTGATTTTCGAGATCCTAGATAGCCCTGTCAACTTCCATATATGGAAGGTGAATAAATCAACTCCTAAAAACCATGTGCATGTAGCGGAACATGCGTTCTATTCTTTTGCTTAAGGAATGTAAGAAGAATGGAGGCTCAATGAGTAGCAATTTCGATTCGAGGCTAGTAATCTCATTGATGGCCAATAAAAAAAGCACGCCTACCCAACCTCCGCTTCTCCGACATGCTTGATATTGATGGTAGCTCATTGTTCGATGGCTCTTCACAAGTGTACGCGTACCTTGTAAAGCATCATCATTCTTTCATTGTTTTTTTCTTTACAGTATCACACATTCAGCTCCCAAGCCTTTGGTTGTCATTGTCCTTTAGGCTCATTTTTTATCTCGCGCAAAGTCTTTGCAGTAAATGTAAAGTATTTTATAGATGCGTATCCTATTCTACATTGCAAGTATGACTTGACGAAGATTCAATAATGAAAGGGGCATAAATTTGGCTGTCGGGGACATGTGTAAAGCGTTTCTTCCTCTTGCGACACCAATCCAGCAAGCCTGATTTCAACTCAAGTAGTCAACCATTGGAAGCCAAGCATTCTAAAAGCAAAGAAAGGTCCACTAAACGTACAAAGTAAGGCTGAGGCAGGTACGAGGTTAGCGATGCGACAATTCCAACTGACGTTAAGGCACTGGTCAACAGCATGGTCATCATGACAACATGAAACGACGCGTCGATTGAGCAATGCAATAGCTGTATTCACCAGTAGTATATCGTTTGTCGACGTTATTCCTTGTTCAACTACCAACTATGACATGAAGATGATATCAATCAACATCAACAGCATCCTTGAATGACAATGAAGATGAAATGTTCACTCGTCCAAGCCGTCCATGACAAGTAGTTTCTGGATCCATCTATCAAATGCCTTCATATCGCGTCGTATTTTCATTTGGATCAAGACGTTATCAAGTTACTACCAAGGGAATCCACCAGGATCACATTCACATGCCTCCAAAGCTATCCCACATGCCAGGCCTAAGCGATCACAACCCATCGTCTATGTTACTAGCACCACAAATCAAGCATTTCACTACTTCCATTACAGCCATTGATAGCAGCCCTATCCACCTTGATACAACCCTCATCGCTAGTAGTAAAAGAGTTGTATCCTTTAGCATGATAAGCATTATTGATCGCTGAATAAACCAATCATAGGATCTTGCTGTCATTTAAATCCACGTTCATATGCTGCTGTTACAGCGTTTACTAATAGACACTTTTGGTTAGATTGAAGAGGTAAGAGTCACCGACGTTGCGGATACTTAATAACAAGAACGTGGGATTACTGCCATGCTCGCTAAATGGGTCAGTGCTCGGTAGGATAAAGTGCAATGGTTGTACACAAGACTTGAACGAGATCGGGTGATGGGGCCAATGCGTCTAATAATGTTGTCAGCCCCAACATTCTACAATAAGCTTTATTGACGGCTGCTGGCTAAACTTGCTTGTTATTGGGAAGCGGACAATTTCTGCACTCATCATCTTGATGTCATATGCGCTCATCACTGCTTCCAGTATCCTCTTGAAATCATTATAAAACGTAACAACAATAACCACAAAACCAAAAGTTGCTTGTTTGTGTAAAATGGAACAATCGATAGCATTCAACAAGATAAGAAGGCTGTGCTGTGCTGTGCCGCGACCTGGTGCCCGGCAATAAGGTCCCTGATAAATCCGGGCCCAACGCCCGTTTATAAATACAAACTCAGCAAGAGCACACGCTCTAGACTCCAGTGGATCTTTTGCATTATTGCAAACAACCGCCACAACCACCACCACCTTTACACTATAAATATCCAAACACGTTTTGTACCTGTCTTTGCTGTTTTTTTTTTCTTTTACATTTGTTTTCTGCTTTTTGTTACTCCACACGTTCGTTTCTTCTTTTCATGCATCATGCGACAAACCGCGTTTATGACACAAGATGATATGGCCACATTCAATGAGCGTTTAGCTCGGTATTATGCTGGTGAATCTCCCAGCAGCAGCTTGCCAGGATCATCATCATCCATGTACAATGACGACGGCAATGTACGACGAGCAGGAACATGGTCGGCTGGAACGACCAAATCATTGAAACGTAATGCCACAGGACGCATAAGTCATATGGTTGCTAGGACAGAGAAAGAAAGCCGTGGTTTCTTGGAGCGATCTTGGTCAAAGCTATTCAAATCGAAAAAAGAGAAGCCCAATACGGCATTCAGCCTCTCGGAAACATCACCTGTCTGGTACAGCCAATTTTCTACCAATCCATCCCCTACTGCTGCTGGCCAGCACAAACGAAGCAATATGCCCTCTCAATATTACGATTCTCCTTCTTCTCGCATGGCAAGTGTTTCTGCATAAGCTCAAGCTCAGAAAGAAAAAATATATATCACCAAGGCTCTCCAAAGCGTCTACCCCAATGCATACACCCACACAAACTCATAGCACAAGCATTCGCCCCTATACATATATATATCTTACCATTTTCTTCCCCGCATCATTCTGTAATTATGTAAATTAAACGTTGGCTTGATGTCATTTTTGCTTTATTAGCATGCGTATGGTGTGTGTCTCGACCCAACCAGTTTCGTTTTAGGATACGGATCGGCAACGATCAAACCCCGATCACTTGCCTTCAGCAGTTTCCCGAGGCAAGTGTTCCACAGCATGCACCAGCTGGTGTACCAGCAGTGGCCGGGTCAATGTTGCGAACAGCGCATACATGGCAACGCGTGTGCTTTGTCAAAATGTCTTTGGATGAAGGATGATCAAACTCTTTCTTCCCTTTAGAGGCTACAATAATGATGCATCATAATAGCTAGGGGGGGAGATAATGGGTGATGGCTATAGTAGATGGATGGCTTCAGTGATGAAGGATTGGCTGACATTAACAAGGTTCCCGCGTGTGCACATACAAGGACAAACATAAATCTTATTGCATTTTGTTATGTGGGGAGGGGTCAAGAGAAGGAAGTATGGCATAATGGAAAGAGGTAATCACATATACACGTTACTGATGTGTCCGATAACGATCACCCTCTCACTCCCGTTCTAGCTAAAATATCACCCCAATCTTGACCTGGGTGCATGTTCTTATCCAAGGCTGGTGTAGAGGGTGGGTGAGTAGGTGGTGGTGGTGGTGGCGGTGCGTGCGTAGAATAATTTTGTGATACCTACAATGCAACAAAAAAAAGACTTCTTGGTGGATGATGGATGGGTTGATGAGTGTGAACATACTACACATGTTCAAAAATGGATGTGCTGATAAGGAGCGATAACAAAAGTATGAGGAGAAGTGATGCATGTGGTGATGGTGGTGATCCTTATATTACCTATCGGCTGTACTGTGGATGCCAAATGACACGACAACAACGATAACACATAAACAAGACCCGTTTCATCGTGCGTGTGTGTGTGTTGTGTGTGTGTTGCGCTCTCTCTCTCTCTTTCTTTTTTCCCACCTCGTTTCTTTTCTTCTTTATTGTGCATCCTTTCTCTTATCTACTTCCAGCCAAATGTTCTTCTGGCCTAAGCTGTTGGCTATGGCGCTTGCAGTCGCTGGCAGCGTGGAGCATTACATGGCTCTATACTTGTGGCACATTCCTTCACTCAACTTGTTTGCCATTGGAATGCTCATTGCGCTTGTCATGGTTGTTCGACTTTTGGCGTCCACTGTACTCATTTGGTTCGTCGATCGCTCATATCCTGCTGTACACCTCCATATGCTATTAGCATTAACCATCGTCGGCACTATTGCTCTGCTGGGTGTATTCAACATGTCCTCCTTTGATACTTACTGGATCATGATATTGACACTTTGCTTGATGCTCGCCAATGGACTCTTCTTTCAACCACTCGCATCTCTCGTCGATAGCGCCATCATTAAATCATTGGGAGATTACAAGATTTGGCTCTACGGTAAGGTTGCATGAACAAGGAATCATGTCCTTTTTCCTCATCATCATCATCATCATCATCATAGATGGTGAACTACAATGGGCCAAAGTTACCTCGGCCGTATCACTCATGGGCATTGGATGTGCAAGCTACTGGTGGTTTGGTGATGATTTGAATCGATGGCTATTGTCTTGCACGTTATTGATGGGATCCTTCGGGATGTGTGTGGTGCTACTGTTTATGCATCACTATGGGCTTGGGCAACTCGAATGCATGGACGACAATGAAGAAAATCCAGTAATGGCGCCTCGATTCCTCAAGAATGCAGTGCTTTTCCCCCATTGTGATATTCCATACAAGCCTTACAGCTTATTTGGCGAGCCTTTATCTCATATTTCGGAAGAAGATGCAAGTGCTTTGCAAAGGATGACTAGCAGTAATACAACAGCACAACTCATGCGTCACAACAGCAACCACTCGGTCAATTCTACCTCGACAACAGCATCCGCAGCTGCTCTTGCTGCCAGTGGCAGTGTCCCGATTACCATGTATGGGAGTACAAATACAACAATGACATCCACAAGCCAGGCTCTCGACTTGTTTTGGCATCGACGAAATAGTCTCTTCTATCAACAACAGCAACAACAATACCAACAACAATCGTTGCCACCCAACACAAATACAGCCATGGCCAGCGATCTTTGTTCCTCAGCAGAACTTTCTTTGTTACCTTTACCGCCACATGATACTTCCATGTCCGTATTACTACTATTACAAAATATGCCAGCACAGCTTGTGGCCAGCCCAACAGATGCGATGATTCAATGGCAGATCCAAAGCATGTCCCTCACAACATTGATACTTGGGATTGTCCATGGAATGATGAACCCGATGCTTTTCATTTATCTCTATGATGTACTTGATCTTTCAATGTGGGTGGTTGGCATGGCTGCAATGATCCCCGTTCTCGCTGATATTATCGTTCATGCAAGTGCACGCTGGGTAAGATGGGCACATGATGTTATCATTGACGTAAAAGTCTAAATATGATCTTTATAGTGGGTCCCTAAGCTTACACCAACAACAACAGCAACGGCGGTGCACGCTATTCTTATTGTTTGTGCGTTTTCCTATACTTGGCTTAGCGAAGAATGGTCGATATTATGGTTAGCTGTGGGCATCTTGCAAGCACTCCAAGGTTTGTAAAAGGAAATCAAGCGTTGGGGACGTATTCTCAATTGTACTCACGCATGTCACACGCAATATAGGATTAGCGTTTCATCTGATATGGTTGGCCATTGTGCACCGGGTCAGTGCGTTGCTCTGGACTGAGGAGGAATCCTTTCGTATAGCACAGGTGGGAAAACTTTCAGCGTTGTACAGCAGTATTGGTCCAGCGATCGGGGTCCTCTTGGCCGGTTTTCTGCTATCGGGTAATGTAACAGACGTTGGCAGTAGCAACAGCAACATGACAACAGCCATGCTTCGAGAAGGTTTCACCCTGGCTTATCGATGTGCAATTGCATTGACTGCTGCCAGTTTCGTTGCTTCATGGGGCTGGTCAACAACAAGTTAAGTCCTTTCTTCCTCCTCTCTCTTTCTCTTTTTCATACATCATTTTATTTCTCAACATCCTCGTGACATACATGTACTATAATGCTTTCCCCATATTTCTTTCAGCCTGTATATACGTTATGCTATATCTCTACAAATCGCTGTATGTTTCAATAAAGATATCGCAATAGCTTGATAAACTTGGTGTCATCATTGTTGCATGAAAGGGACCATAATCATGCATCATTCCTCGGATCAGATATGCAAATGTAACATAAGATAGCATTCGATCATCAAATCTTTATACAAAAAGGAATTCAAGGAGGAAGGGCGCATTAAGGTAAAACGGGATGGATGGTGTATACGTTGTTGTGAGACCAAGGGAAAAAAGAATACATAATAGGGGAGGATAATCGGTGTCCCGAAAAGGACTATATTAATGTGGGTATTGTGAATAATAGAAGCTGTACAAAGTGCGTGTTGTTGGGAATTATAATAGCGAGTAGATGTAAAAGATGAATGGGGAGCGATAAAACGCTCTCGAAACCCATCCCTGTTGTTGACCTGTTTCCTTTTTCTTCACTGTATCACAGAATACCCGAATCCTTCAATGCATTTTGTAGAATGGTTTCCTTGATGGCAGCAAACACAAGTCGAATCTAAAGAGCATCGGGGATTCATTAGCAAGCCAAAGGCAACATGTCATGTAATAGATTGTGCTTACATTGGATGTATCCGTTGCTTGGGTTAGGCTTTAAAACAGAGATTTCTTGATAAGCATTGGCTCTTTGTAGATTGATCAAAGCACTTACTGTGGGTATATATTCAACTTTGCTCGATTGGTTTGAGTAAACCTCCACAAAATATACTTTGCAGCCTTGGCAGGATCAGGACCGCCTAAGAGACAAAAATACATAAATGGTCCGCCAATCCACAACATTAATGCAGCTTTACTTACCGCCATAGTCAGGGAAATAGCGATCCAAAGGAACTTTGGGTAACTTTGCACGAAAAAGATCAATCTTGTTGAGAAAGAGGATAATGGACGTCCGTAAAAACCATCGGCTATTGACCACCGATTCGAAAAGCACTAGACTTTCCATCATACGATTCTATAGTGAAGATGCTAAGTGACAAGGACGACGACGATGATGATGATATGCAATGCAAATTACCTGCCGTGATTCCTCCAATAGCACTTGGTCGTATTCACTGAGGGCAACGCAAAAGATAATCGACGTTACAGCTTCAAAGCAATGAATCCACTTTTTTCTTTCGGATCTTTGACCTCCCACATCAAACATGCTACGTCGTAATAGGATCCTTAGCATACCACATTGAGGATAGATCGATGATTGTACTTACTGGATGCTCATTTGGCCCATCTTAAATCTGGTTTCTGTGATGCCGGTAGTTTTTGAGCGAGCACGTAAAACGTCTTGTACGTTCGGCTTGTAATCGGTTCTACCAATACGCTTCACCTGTTCAAAGAAGCTTTTGTATAAAGGATTGATTAAGATGTTGTCAAGCATGGGGGGATTAAAACAACTTACTAGGGTGCAGAATCCATCAAATAAAATTGGTTTGCTTCTTCATCCAGGAGACGTGGAATGATGGGGTCTTTCCAAACATTGACAATGGCTTCCACGAGATCAGGCAAAAGGGGTTGATCGAGATTATCGGGACCGCTCACTTCATAATCGAGAATACGCATAGCATATTGCTAATGAATGCAAGGAAGGATGAATATTAGCCTCATTCCCGAGAATTATGCACGCAGGCTGATTTACCTTATTATTCGGATCCTGAAAAGTATACTGAAACTTGTTCACAGCAGCGACCAGCGCTTGGGCACATTCCATGACATTGCGATAAACAGTGGTTCGCCAAGCATAGAGCTCATCATCGCTATATCCACTTTGATGGATGATCTTCATTTGTTTGACAATGGTGGATTTTCCTGATTCTCCACTGCCTAAGGAAAGAGTAGATGTTAGATGATGATGATGCTATTATTGGTTGCAGGAATCAATGGTTGTTCTTTACCGAGAAGCAGTAGTTTGCACTCGCGTTTTAAACGTTTGCTGTCCTCTTCAATAGCCTTATCGATACGTTGACTATGAGCTCTCTCTTCTCGCTCCTCGGACGATATGCATAAGCCCATGGCGTCCAAGTAGAACAGCTTTGTGAATGGGGGTCGAAACGGAATGGTGAAGTGTGGTGTTGTTGCAAAAGAGGGTTGTAATCGAGGGAGACGACGATCCAGTTCTTGGAAGCAAGATGAGATTTGCAAACGAAAACGAGTAAAATGAGTGAGTGAGTGAGTGAGAGAGAGAGAGAATAAAGAAGAAGGATAAAGGAAGGGGTTTGGTTTGCGTGTGTGTGGAGGTGGTGGGTGCCGGTTTCTGTTGTAGGGTGCAACACAACCACAGCAAATTGGGATATGCCAGGGTGAACGAACGGTAGGGGAAGACCGCCCAATACACCCACACATAGTCAAATAGATGAATATGCAATCTCTTGGTCTGCACGTGCTTCTTCTCTCAATCTTGCTCGTAAAGTTCATAGGCACATTTTCTTTCTTTGATTTCTCCGTGTGAGCCCTACTTACCTATTCCCTCGTGAGAAGCCATATTTACACACATGCACACACACACAAACACGGATCTTGTTTATGATTTCTTCACATACCACATGCGCATACATGGATCCATATTGATTAACATGCATTCATTCATCTCATTCCTCCATACTTTGCTCATTTGGCTTGAGATTACATAATCCCACCCCCTGTGAATAAGGGGCCAAAGGAAACGAACTATCATCGTCTTTCATTGTCAAATCTCCCTCCCTTCGGCATGGCCCCTTTAGTTATTTTCGATTATACATAATGAACCGTGCTTAGCACATTGCATCTTACCCCTGGTCAAAGAGATATCAATCAATGACGAAGGACTGTGCGTGTTGTAGTCATTTCTCCCCAACCAAACCAATCGACCCTTCCTCCCTTTTTTGCAACAGATGATTGAGCACTCCTCCCTCCTCCTTCTCCTTTTTCATCGCACAATGAAACAACAACGTGTTTGAGATCGTTATCAACGAACTTTTATCTCTTTTATCCTTAAAGCGGATCAGATTTCGAGTCTTCGATCATTTCTTCCTCCCCATCAATATTGCGATTTCCTTGTGATTATAATGAATCCGACAAACATCCCAAGAAGAGGGGTTTAAAACAACGCAGGGATCGCATATTGATTGTACCTCAAAATGTTGCACAAATTGATTCCATCGTTATACCTATACGATAGTGGGATTGACGTTTAATTCCCCCACCAATCTCTCATATGTCTGCTATATTGATTCTGTCACATGCAAGCTGTTTTGATAACCATAAAGTGATGACGCGTTATTAGTAACACCGTCAACAAGTAAAGAAGCTTTCTGATCGGGGCATGGGCTGTATCTCCACACGAGCTAATCCAGCAACGTGGATCTGGGGGAGGCATGTTGCTGATAAACGTGGTCCTAGTAACATCAAATCAATGATCAGAGCTATTTATCACCCTTGTACGCAAAAGCTAAATCAAAAAGTCCACCACTGGTGCTACGTGTCCGGTTGTATTAATAGTTGCATCGTTCAACCATTGTCATATGAAAATTCTTTCTCTCGATCATTGTGATCCAAACCACTGGCACATTATTCACACAAGCCCAAAACAAGCACCCATCTCCTTGGTGATAGTCATCTTCTTTTTTCATTTGAACAAACCAAAAAGTTTCAAAATCAAGTCTATCCTTGTCTTTCTACAAGCTGTGAGCACTGATGAAAAACCACTTGTCGACAGAGGGATCAATGGGAGCAGGAGGTTGGACATCAGCCTATAACATGGCAAGGTAATTAGATCATTTGTTGAGGATTGCCGATTAATGTATACTTACAGCGGGGACGTTAGAGTTAGCATGTTCAGCATCAACCTTGTCGGGAGAGTCCTCAACGGAGATGTTGGCACTAGGAATAGGAAAAGAAAATGTATGAGAAGAGAAGCTTAAACTCAAACTTGTGTCAATATGGTTACTCACGTGGAGATATCCTTCTTGTCGGAAGCACCAGAGATCAAGCCCTTCCATGCTTCATGAGTCTCAAGGACAACATCGGTGGCATATTTCTAAAAGAGGCAAATGAGCGTTTGTGTTGCATAAAACGAGACAACAAACAACAAACCTTGTTCTTGGCTTCACCGCTGAAAGCGAAGACGTTCTCGGGCTTGCCATCGGGAATCTTGTAGATGCGGAACCATTCATTGGTAGCACGAATAAGACCAGGAAGTTGCTTCTCAACGTCCTCAATGTCTATATCGAATCATATACATAAGCCATGCATGGTCCTGCATATCTATTATTCCTTCCCACACATACCGTTAAGCTTAGAAGCGAGAGGATCATTGACATCGATAGCGATGACCTTCCAGTCAGTTTCACCTTCATCCAAGAGAGCCATGACACCAAGGATCTTGACTTGCTTGATTTGACCAGTGTAGCCAACTTGTTCACCAATCTCAATGACATCAATAGGATCGTTGTCACCCTTGGCCTTGGTCTCAGGATGTTGTTGGTTGGGATCTTCCCAAGTCTACGAATAAAGTTTGGTCACGAGGCTGAATACAACATGCATGTCAATACCACACACGCCACATACCTGGGGGAAGGCACCATAGTTCCAGATGTAACCCTTGTGGGGGAAGCAGTTGCGGACGAAGCGAAGCTTGCCCTTCTTGGTGTCTTGCTTGATGGGGTTGTAAGCATCCTCCTTGCTGATCTATACATTTCCAACAGCCATCATTGAGTCGTCTTTGCATTGATATACATACACACAACATCACTTGTCATCATCCTTCTCACCTCCAACTTGGCATTGGTCCAACGGGGGATTTCAACAATCATGTTGAAGACGTTGTTCTCCTCGTTGGCAAAGAGAGGAACATCGTGGAAAGCCGAGACAGGAACACCATCCTTCTCTATTGAAAGGTTATCAATACTCTATTCCCACTTTTGCACCATCCTCATCTGGTAACCAATGGCACGCCCATCCGTACACGCGCCTTCCATAACCCCATTTGACACATACCAATGAAAACGCGATAATCGAGGGTGTTGGGAGCACCAACCTGACGAGCAGTGTATCCGGCCATGATGGGAATGTAGAATGAAAAGGGAAGAAAAGGAAATGAGCTAAACGTGATGAGCGAGGCCAATAAAAAATCTATGGTCGGGGAACGCGAGTTTGGATGACGCCATTCGCCATCGCCATTCGCCAAACGTTACAGGCTCACGGAGTAGGCTGAGATGATGGAAATCGATATCCAAGTATACCGATTTGAATTATATGCCTCATCACCCTTGAATGGATTGCCCATGCATACTTAGCATACACGATGCAACGTATTCGCCAATGTGATTCACTCAGCTATTCAAATTGGTTGCACAGCAGCACCAACTCACAATGTTTGTATGCATCGGCTGAGCTCACGACGACGATGGTGGTGGATTCCGTCGTTACGTTTGTTAGTTGTACAATCCTCTTCCTTGGCAGTGTCAGTAGCCTTCAGCCATTCTTCTTTGCCATATTACTTTGTAAATCCCCCAACGTATACATTATTAAATGTGTTTCCATCCAATGATACTCGTATTGTAATTGATCACGTGAAACCTACTACATGCAGTGATCTTGCTACCATCTCCTTGGTAACTTCCTCACAACAGCTCATTGCCATATCCCTAGGCATGTGAGGACCAATTCTTGCGCACAGCGCCATACACAGCATGGTACGTATATAGAATAGCCATATGGATGGGGTGTCAAAATCACCGTGTTTGCCCTTGCTCGACGTAAGCCTTGATGAATACCTTAATAATGATGTCCCAGGGAATGCATCCATATGCTCAATATATAGAAGAGATGGGTTCGTAGATCATCAACGATGAATTCGATTACATCCTCGTGCATCATTATGCGTCATGATCATATTGAAGATAACCATGCGTGTTGGTACGTGTTGGGATAGCTATATTTTCCATGCTGAGAAACCTGCAATGGCTATACTACGGTGAAATGGAGATCGAGTATGATCGTTCGTCGGCATCCTTTGGTGTAATTGGCGTGCGTTGCTATGCTACGAATTCTCCTTGCCTCCCAAGATACATGGTAGATGCGATCCAAATTATTAGCTATTGGTAATTCAGGCACCGGCACCTATAAAGTTACATGTGAGCATAAAGCAATTCACGTCGCCGCTACGAATACATACGTAATGATACGTGTATCTGAACTCAAAAACGGGATCCTCGCCCCCTGAAACATCGTCGAATGGATGCGTTTTGCAATGATTGGTTGATCGGTCGTCATGCCTCAAGGATCATAAAAGGTCGTTAATCACCATAGCAACATGAAAAGGACCATGGCTCTTAATCCCAAGATGATGCGGGGAGAATGTTCTGTGGAACATTCTTCGTAATCAGCATGCTGTTGGGGCACAACGTATCAAAGGCTGGGACAAATGAGACATACATCCAAGCATCTGGATGCTGAGATCGGAAATGATAATTAGGGTCTCACACATTGTCGATCCTTGATTCCCGCATACAGGAATGATCTACCACATGGAAACAATAAGGCTTGCTATGAGAAAAGAAAATCCACAAAATCAGTTCTTGGGGAGTAGTGTGCCATCAAACGTTACACATGAGATGACCTAGTGCATGCTTTTTACGTCGTACGGGAAAGTTAATAGCAAGTACATACAATGGATCATGATTCACCGACATACGATATGTTTTTTTTTTCCATTCATAACCAGCATCATCAGGTCATCTTCGTAAACGTACCTATATCAGCGCATGCAAATCCCGATTAAAGATCTTATGGTTGCACGGCAACAACAACCACCTTATTATTCGTAATCAACCAAGAAATGATCACGCTGTTGAATTGATAGCCTGAATGGGGTGATGGGCGTCATCACCAGTTGTCACCGAAAATGAAGGTCACATTCGTTATTTCAGCAAGGCACCTACCACATATGAACACAAAATATCTCGATACGACTATGTAACACAATAAAAGGAGGGTCGTGCACGCTTTTAAACGAACAAATAAGCAAATCGACCAAGGACATTGGGGATTAGAGCTTTCAAGCAAATCGGGAACGACAAAGTTAGTTTCCCGTGACCAGTGATCTTACTTGAAGCGAACAGCGTGATGCTTAGTTCGCTTAGCATTATCAATGTGCACACCAAAGGGGTGACACACAAGCGTTGTTGGTGCACCATAATATCATACACGGTTGTCGCTGCTACAACATTCGATGTAAGAGAGTTTGTTTCAGTCACAAACAAAAGGAGAAAGAATGGCAGCGTGGGCTACACGAAGATATCGGCGCTCGAGCCTTATCCGCTTCATGCGCTATTCGCCGAAAGTTGCAAGCTTTCTACAGCAGGCTTTCCAGTGACACCATGCATAAAGAGGGTGACATGAGAAAGCATAAAACGCAGGCAGATGGTGAACAGATTCTGGGTGCAAAATTTTCTTTCTTGCTCTTTCACTTTGCCAATCATTCCTTTCTTGTATAATCTAACCACATCCCCTTTTACTTATATACGCATTTATTGTGTGCCTATACGCATGTGTCCATAGACAGGCATTTTCGACACATCATTGTCCCCCAAATTCTCGGATCGTCACAAGTAAGTGTAAGGGTCACAACATTGTCTGTGCGCATACTTACCATCATATGCCTATTCATTTTCTTTTGTTGATCCTTCAATGATAAATGTAGTTACCTATGTCAATAAGCTTTCGCTGGAAAGATCCACGACCCAACAATCCAAGACCTCCTCCTCGACCTCCTACGCCACCTTCACCAGGACCTACATCATCGCCGCTATCTTTCAAGACCAAGTTGATACGCTTCTTGGTTGTTTGTGTTTCTTGCTGCAATGCATAACGACGCATACGCTTCTCGTCATCGCACACGTTAGGCTGATTCCCATATTTTTTTTTGGCGTCGACAGAGATATAGATGACTTGGGTGTACAAACGACCTTTGAACAATTAACGTGAACACTTGCCCATCTTGTCCCATACACATTTTCCCCTGAACATCCCCCCAATCCCTGTTATTAGAGTTATAGCGGTCTTTCTGTGAATAACACCCCAAGAGCCGTTTTTGTAGATGATGCATATTCTCCCCAGCATTTGCATGTGACACTGGCTTTGTCATCAATCATTCAGCAAAAACATGATAATGAAGCTTAATATAAAACGAATAGCTGCTACGTCAGAGAGCATAGGATACCCCGACATTAGCGACTTTGCGTCTTGGACTTTGTCATTTATTATCTCTATCCACGCGTAAGCTTTAGATAAAAGTACGCGTTACATGATCCGTTAAACCATCTTTCCTTTCTGGTGGTGTCGTCCAACCAAGCCCTTTTGCTAGTGTTGCATGTATCCATCGAAAAAGGAACAAAAACTTTTCCCACTCTCTTTATTTCGGGTCCAGAGGGCTGGGTTCTATATCCAGGATGGTCCACCTACAGAGATCTTGATCAATTGCCCAGCAACAACACACCCAGGCAGGTACCATATCTCAGAATGTGGAGCGTTGTACGTGATTTACTAGCACACATAGGTGCGAAAAGGATCTCGTGGTGGCTCCTAACAACAACACCCATGAGGTCCTATGCTCTTGTAAGTTACATTCATGTTGCAAGATAAGCGTTGTATGCCAACAATCATTAGAGGAAGAGAGCTTGGAAAGCAAACCGCGGTATACCCGGGTTTTCTTTCTACTACGAAACATGGTGCGGTTTTTTTGTCATTTAACCGGCACAACACAATTTAAAACTGAGAGACGGCGATCATCTTTTTTGGATTCACATAAAACAATAGCATCATCTTGATGATTGCTTACTTAATACCAGCTAGCTGTAATGGGTTGATGAAGATGATGAAAGATGATCGTGATTTAGCAAAGCGATGGATGACATGCTCCATCTCAGGTTGTGACGAGCGAGATTATAGATCGTGTAATAAAGATGCAACTAAGTATCCAATTGTTGCTCTCCTTCATCCATTTCATCAACATGTGCCTTATGTTACCCTTCCCTCTTATTATGCTTCTCGATCCATACGCACTTTCACATGCAGGTTTTTCGTGCTTGTGAATAAAGGAGAACCACCATATTACATGCTTTCCAATTTTGAATATCGGGGGACGTTCCCGAGGAGAGGGAAAACGTTCACTATTATTTTGACTCGGGTGCTTATGAAAGCGTATTTTTTCTCAAAAAGCTCATCGCCCTTGCATAAGAATACTCATAATACCATATCTAAACCTTGCCCAAATGGTCAAGTGTTGGCTCGTGTACAGCTTGGGTCGTATAGACAAAGTGAAGAAGCGTGAAACGTGTTGGGTTGTATATACCGATAATGGGAAACAAACGCAAAAACGGATACACAGGTTGCAACCTGCGCACATTATACCCACCCCTATGTGCGTAAAAACGCTCATGGAAGCAACAATGATGCACTTGTAGAGCCTGTGCTATTACCTTGCCGTTTTCTAGAACAAAAAAAGAGCGTGCAAAAAGGACGTCGCTGTGCTCATCCGCTAACTCGTCGATTACGAGGAAGGATAGAGCACGATGATTAAGCGTTTATGTTGATCATGATATCGCTAGCAGTATGTCTACGAGTGCAGTGGCTATGGTTCTTTGTTGCAACAGAATTTGAAACATAAAGAAGAGGTTGAATCAGAAGGCAACAGTCGAAAAAGATATAGAAGATGAATCTTCTCATTATCCATTTCTGGATTAGATTTTTGCCCAAGGCAATTCTTTCCTCGTTGTTGGCTCTCCGAATATTCCTTTTGGTCTTTGTTTTCTCAATGTACGTGGCTATCGGTCGAAAAAATGGATGTACGTGATATAGCGGGAATTTGGAATCGAAGAACAAGCGTGAAAAAGGCATAAGAATCAGACGCTAATGTTGAAAACCATCACTTGTTCAAAAGAGGTATCGCAACATTTGATAGTAGTGATGACAGCCCCCCACCGAATGTGTGTATATGGAGGTTTATCGCAAAAATGTAAAGTAAAAGCTGCTTGGCACCGTTACACTTACTGACTGGATCCCATGTGGCACAACATACAGCCACGTTCTGGCTTACATTCAAGTGCCTACTATGTATTATTGAAGGAACGCAGAGTCAGCTTGTATTAAGTGCTACAGCAGGAGGGGCTTTTAGATTATAATCTGGGGGTCATATTTTGGTGGAGATTTGGCATGCATGTCGCTGGAAAAGAAGCGTGAGTAAAACAGGCACACGTGTGATGACGACTACTTCTTGAAACTTATAGCCAGCTTCCGGATCACAGATTCTCCCCGACTGCTTTTAGTCAGCGATACTGCCCCTTACATGCATGGCTTGCTACCTCTTTCAACCATGCTCCCTGGTTAATACGGTGCCTCTCAATAATTTTGTATGCTATTGGCATGCCCTTGTTACATTGCCTATCCTCGCCAATACGATCGTGTCGCGTTTACAATGCCAACAATGTGGGTCTCAAAACACTATCAAATTGCAAAAGGGTCAACTCGAAGCATTGTTTGTTGTTTGTACGAAGGAGCTTTCTCCGCATTTTAGGTAGATGGATGGTTGTTGGGGGGAAGAGGAAAATGTCATGTGCTTTCCAATGCGACTTTATTGATGATGATGCATAAAACAAATGGAGCGAGTGGAAGCATAGGAAATACAAAGAAGAGCAGCGTATTCATTGTGAAGGTGGTTCTTTCATGACTGCTTATCACCAAAGTTTGATCGTCATTGTGAGATTATGGCTTGTAGCCGTCGATGAGAAAGAATGAATGCAATCGATTATTTGGTTACATTGATGTGACACCTTTATCATGATGTTCTATTGATCGATCGAAGGATAGCACACAATGTCACTTGGAATCGGCAACGCTTACAGGGACGAAAAGTGCAAGGGAATCCATTACAAACCTTGTAATTTCTGGTTCAGGTGAAGTTGTAGAATTTATATCGCAATGGCATGGAGCTGTCATCGAGATTGCTCTGCATCACTGTTTTGCATTCTGTGTCACCTAATGCATAATGGGTATTTTTGATGGCAGGTACGTGACACAGCAATCCATAGTCTCGGTAACCAAAGCAACCTAAGATCAATAATCCCCAATCGTTGTTGATTCAACAACACCTCTCTCTCTTTTTATCCTGTTATTGTGTATGGATGATATGTAGGCAAGCTATTCAATGAGGAAGATCCAACATGGTTGAAAATGGCAAATAATAGCTGTCGTAGGAGGGTCAACAAGTCATTTTGCAGGTTGTTGGCTAGTAGGCTTGTTTTGTTGTATGTGACAAGATGTAGTGAAGTGGTGAAATTGGGTCATTATGGACCATGAATGATTGTTGATTATAATAAGAGATATGAGAGAATGAAGACTAATGTGCTCTTTGTATTGAAAAGTCGAAAGAATAGGGAGGATCGTCTAGCTAAATTATACCAAGGGTGGCAGGGGAGGGGTTGAATAGAGCCTTCTAGTAACGCTTGCTCGTCATGCGGAGTTTTCTTAACAGTCATCGATGAGTACGCGCCATTTTGCTTCTTTCCATTTCGTATCGTTAACATGGGCAAGAAAGGTGGCGCAAACAGCAAGGTCGAAGCTGCGAACGCAAAAAAGGCTGCTGCAAAGGCTGAAAAGGATCGTGCAAAGGCAGCTGAAGCTGAAGCCAAGGAAGCTGAAAAATGGTCCAAGGGTGCCAAGGGTAAAGGTAAAAAGGAAGCCGAAGCTGAAAAGAAGGTTGGTCTCAATCAGAACCAATGCAAGAACCCGTTTTTCTATTCCATTGTATAAACTAACCATGAAATGACTCGTAGGCTGCACAACAAGCCAAGAAGGCTGAACTCGCCAAGCTAAAGGTATGTAATGTGAGATAGATCGTATGCACCCTTGATGCTTACCGCAGCCATTTGCTTGATTAGGCTCAAGAAGAGGAAGAGATTGCCAAGCTCAAACCCAAAGGAGCAGCGGTATGTATAGTTCCGGGAAAAGAGAATGGTGAAATCACACGGCGATTCCATGTTGACAACAAGGGGAGGGTGGTTTTCAGAGCGTGAATACTGATACAGCATGGATGCTTTTAGAAATCTGCCGCCAAGAAGTCAGCCAAGGTGGAAGCAGCATCACAAGCTCGTCGCACTATCCCAGAGTTCTCAGCAAGCAACATCGATGATGCATTGGATCTTCTTTCAATTGATGACAGCAAAAAGGGACCTATTTCTAGCAAGGATGTCGATCGTCACCCCGAACGTCGTTTCAAGGCTGCCCTTGCTGCTTATGAAGAGAGGTGAGTTGAATGATTATGGAAAAGGATCTCGTATGGAATGCTAATCCAACCCTTTTTTCTTTCTCGGGGGAAAATAGAGAAATGACTCGTTTCAAGCTTGAGAATCCTGGTCTGAGACAAAGCCAACTTAAGCAATTGATCTACAAGGCATTCCAAAAGTCTCCCGAGAATCCTTTCAACCAAGCCAACGTTATGGCATACAACGCCACGCAAGATGACGTACGCGATCTTAAAGGTAAGAAAAGGACAAAGCACACTATACTGTATGTGTTGGTTTATTGACCCATTCTCCCTGAATATATAGCTCAACGACAAAGCGAGATCGAAAACCGCCTGCGTACAGCTTAAGTGCATGATTTCGCTATCGATTAGCCTCATATCCCTACTCTCTCATGTACTTTGTGTCATTTGATATAAATTTTTTGTTTCTTTCATTACTTGCAAACAACATGGGTGTATGCACTTGATAGGGATATGACCCTATGAACATCAATCTTGGAAAACTTGCTTCTAGCAAATGAATGGGTGTGTGGGGGAATACATGCGAAAGGGGGATGAATGAGATACATGACAATGAAAAAGATAAATATGCACAGCCTTAACCATGCATGCGAGAAATGATATCATTGAAGCCTTTGATCTTTGCACACTCCCGTTTAACGTTGTCAGCTCGTGGTGTGCCCCACAATCCAGCGGCAATCATGGTACGTGAATAACGAAGACAAACTTCCTCTCTGAAATAGTCGTATAGCTTCTTGTTGTACTTGCGCTTTGAATAAAAGAATCCTAGATTAGCAACTTGTCCTTTTATTCACCCATTGGTATTTATCCTTACCTCGCGTGCACGTGTGTCTTCTGGATAATGATGAGTCTGGTGGATCAAAAAGTCATCAGGAAGCACCCAGTAGTCTATGCCGGCCAAATAAATCTCGTACAAGCAAGCTGCTTTGTTTGCGCCATAACCTATAATGTCACGTGATTAATGCTTTGATGATGATAAGCGTGTAACACAACATTGACCAAGACATACCCACAAAACGTTCCTCACACCATGGCGTACCCTCCTTCTTGAAGATGACATAGGGCTCATACGAATAGCTGTATTCAGTAACCTTGTAAGGATCAACGGCTGCATACCACCGTGTATAATTGGTCGATCCATGACCGGGTCTCCATGATCGATGGAACATGTCCAGCTTTTCGCTTTGCACGTCTTCCAATAACTCTTGCTTATTCTTTGGGAATTCACGCCAATCCTCGCCATCCTCTTCATTGATGTATTCGAATGCAGGAACAACAATAGCACCTGTGCCGCTGCGTAATACTTGCATGAGTTCTGGGTTGGCTTTGAGCGACTTTCGGAAATCCGTGCATAAATGAAAATCAACGTCGAGCATCATGATGTAGTCAGTGCGTGCGAAAAACTTGGCTACGTTACGCCACATGTTGAATTGCCGATCAAACTTGTCAACTACCAAATGCAAATCCACATAGCGTCGCATATCAGGATTCTCGTCGTAAAGGCGATGTAGATCGGTAAGGATGACTTGCTTCGTATCATCGTCATTCACATGAATGGCAACAGACACTGGGCCTTTGTATCGGCTGGCAAGACGACTAAGTACTTTGAAGCGGTTGTGGGTCACTAGGGTGGCGATCGTCACTTCTTCATTGTCAGATGATTCCTCGGCCTTGAAATAATAAGGGATCACTTTGGATGGTCCCATGGCATCTGCAAACACCTTATCGAGCATCAAGTCTTCGGAGATAGCTTCATATTGATCTTTTGTAGAAAGATACGCTCGTAAGATACGATCCAATAAACGAAACCTTTTAGCCCTAGTTACCTTGTGTATTGCTCCAGGTTACTTGTTGAACACCTTGATATCGCTGCTGTAACTCGGCAACTGTAACAGGTGCCTGCGGAGCCGAGCGTGCTGTAGTCAATTGGCTACTCGACGACCTTGATGTGTTGATGAGACCTGCAAGATGACCCGTTGCGTATAGAATGGAGCAGCCAACGTAAATGATGGCAAGGTACTTGAGCACCTGTGTTATGGAGAAGCCGTCTCGCATGGGTTCGAAAGCGATGGTAGATTCAAATCAAAGAAGGAGCTGAATGTTGGCAAGGACGTGTGCAGAGACAAGCTGATTAAGGTGTGTATGTGTGAACAAGGCGGATAAGAAGGAGATTGATGTATAGTGAGTGGATGATCGTCGTCCGAATCTAACCTGAAAGAACCAGGCTCATATCTTTCCTTTTGCGAATGCTGTGTCACACTTGTCGGTATCGAGGGCACCGACCTCTTCTTTCTCGTCGTTGGGTGCGTTTCTATGGCAACCTTTTCATGATAAATACGTAGAGTCCAGTCGCTACTACCCCATATCAATGCACAAGTTCAATGTTATCCTATGCAATGGGACATTCATAACATAGAGTATTCGACAAGTTACACTTAATAATTGTATCTCATTAAAGCAAAATTGATGTTGTGTGTTGAATGGATTATCTCTTGCTTCTAAAAGATGAGGGCAACAAACCCATGAAGATTTTACTCCCTTTTGATTTTCGCCTACTACTTACCCAGGGGTCCATTCATCCATCCATTAGGGTGAATGATGGTGTATACAACGCACCCTACTACTCGGCTTTTTTCTTATAGATTCAACAACAAAAGGATGGCCACTAGCTGTTTATCCATAGATAAACATTTGGATGGTCTTGTGCGTGATTCATATAAAGGTTCTCGAATTGACCACTTAAGCAGGTATTGTATCATGGGTTTTCAGGCCGACGAAAAACACCTTTGTTATGTAGAGCAGCGGACTAATATGTGTAGAATGTTAATTGTGGAAGTGCATCCAGGAGGTAGCCACCGTATGATCTCACGGCAATTCATAGACATAGTAAGGCACATGCCCTTATCCTTCCCATGATGATCGAGCTGGTAGGGATACGAAAACGATCACTGTGCTTATGCATGACAACAGTGGCACTGCACGTTACACATGCCTTTATTCAATCACAGATGTTGTGTATACTAGCAACAAGTGCAAGAGCACATAAAGGCCATCTCCCTCAGTCATAGGATCAAAGGGAATGGCTTTTGCTGTAAGGACATAAGGGCAGGGTGCTTCAAAATCAGGGAGCAGTAGCTGTTGTCTCCTCCTCAAACGAGCGTAATTTGCCATACGATTACATCATACGTAAGAAGATTCACTACTCGCTTGTCTAATACCTTAGGCCTCTTATTAATGCTAACGACAAAATGAGCTTTTTCAGCATCGACGTCTCCTGCACAAGAATTAGGCCGAGCTTTGATTGGCTGCAGGTAGTGCGGGGGTTGTCCAGATCGGCGTGAACTGGGGTAATGAGCTTTTTTTTCCTTTCGTTCCAAGTTTTTCCAATGTATCTTTTTCTCTCACTCTCCCCGATTCTATACGCATGCAAGGGTGAACGATAGGAAGCGAAAAAAATTCTTTTACATTACTCTTCTATTCGTTTCCCCATACAATATCCAATGGAATACTATTTCGGCATCCCTGATGGCCACACACCACCAGCAACACCACCACCTAGTAATGGCTTCTCCAGCGGTAGCCTGTCAAAGCCTCGTCCTGCTCAACGTTTACGATCCTCTTATGTTGACCTACCAGTGGGAGACAATATCGACAAGAAAAGGCTCGAATACATCGGCAAAGTGACCAAGACCTTTCAACAGCTCACATCAGATCAAAAGCATGTTTTTCTTTCTGAGCTTCTCAATCAATGTGATAATCAACTCCTTGCCTATGTACATGATATCATTGAACCTAAGCTGAAGATTGACTTTCTCAAAGAATTACCAATCGAGCTGTCGTTGCATGTACTCTCTTTTATTGATAACCCCAAAGATCTCGCTAATGCTGTACGGGTATCTCCTTTTTGGAATTCACTGCTCAAGGATGAAGCAACATGGAAGTCGCTATGTTTAAAGCACCGGTATCGAAGACGATCATCCTTGATAGAAGCGGGTTCGGCAAGGCGGCGGCAGCAAATGCATAACCACCAACATCCACAAAATCACGTGTCCTATCGAGATTACTTTTGGCGGCGATACAACACCGAGATGGCATGGGCACAAGGTACCGGAAGGTTGATCCGTTGCGAAAATGACATTGGACGTGCTCTTGTGACATGCTTGCAAATGGATGATTGCTATACGGTGATTGGTAGTGACAATCACTTGATTGAAGTCTTTAATACCGAGACAGGTGAACATGTGCGGACATTACGAGGCCATGAAGGAGGTGTATGGGCACTGCAATTTGCAAGGACTGGTAATGAAAACAAGCGAATCCTTGTGTCTGGTGGTTGTGATAGGTAAGCTTATGAAGGTCATTTTATTGGGACATGGGGATTAAAGTATGCCGTCATATATAGAGTTGTGCTTGTTTGGGACCTTGATTCAGGGCAGCTTATTCATTCGATGCATGGGCATATATCAACAGTGCGGTGCTTGAAGATCCATGGTAGTAGTAAGCTTGCAGCAACAGGATCACGCGATGCTACCCTCCGGATATGGGATATCGAGCATGGAGTTATTCGGCATGTGTGCACTGGCCACCAAGCGAGTGTACGATGTCTTGATGTTCACGGCGATCTTGTAGCCACTGGATCCTATGATGCTACAGCTCGACTATGGGATGTTAACACCGGCCAATGTTTGCATGTATATACGGGGCATCATTCACAAATCTATTCGATCGCATTTGACGGTGTTCGAATTGTTACAGGATCACTTGATTGGAGTATACGCGTTTGGTCACCAACATTTGGCAATTGTTTAGCATTGTTAACAGGTCATACTGCATTGGTGGGTCATCTTCAACTTACGACGCCGTATGAATCATCACCACTGCTGGTCAGTGGTGGTTCTGATGGGTGCTTACGTATATGGGATCTCAATCATTATGAATGCCGTCATCGAATATCAGCACATGATAATTCAGTCTCATGCCTTCAAGTGGACCATAAAAGGGTGATAAGCGGTGGCAGCGATGGGCAAGTCAAGCTATGGGATCTCGAGAGTGGTATGCTCATACGATTATTCTCTGAGCCTGCACGCACTATATGGAAGCTTGGATTCACTGATATCAACGCTGTGGTTGTGTTACAAAAGCCAGCTCGATCAACACCTGCTAGGGACCCTGTTATGGATCAACCTGAACATGTAGAAACAGTGATAGAGCTTCACAAATTCGATAATTATCATGACCCATGATAACATGTTGTGGGAAGAATAAAATAACAATGGGAGCACGGACAACAACAATGGCATTACAAATATCAACAAAGAAACATAAAGAAGAACAAAGCTCATCTTCCATGATATACATAGTAAGGGGAGTGCGGGTGGGGTTCCATCTGCATACGAATGCAGTTCCCAGGCCAAACCATGCAACGGCCCTTCCCAACAGGCATAAATCTTATGGTTCTCACACATCGTTGTGCTTGTGCACTCGAATACGTCATGCTCGAGTTCTTGTGTATCCAAATGCAGTTAGCCTATCATGGTTATCAATTGGTCATCCCAGCCCCACTGATGGATCTGATCACAGTCTTAAAATGGCAACAGCCGCCCACATTTTATTTTCACAAGCTTCTTTTCATTCTACCATTACACTATGACATCCAATCCAGTTACCGATTTGGCTCGTGCCGCACGTCTTGCCTCTGTCAGCATGCAAGCTGTCACCAATGAACAAAAGAACGAAGCCCTGTTGCGCATTAAACAAGTCTTGGCCGAACGCAAGGACGAAATCGCCAAAGCAAATGAGAAGGACAAGCAGGTACTACTTGAGAGAGTGTGGTAAAGTGGTGTCTATTTACTAAAGGAATGGTATAAAAGATTGCAGAAGAGCAAGTAAAGGCTGGCAAGCTTTCAGGATCTCTCTTCAAGCGTTTGGATCTGTTCAAGGGTGACAAGTTTGATACCGTTCTCTCGGGCGTGAGTGATATCGCTACTTTGCCTGATCCTACCAAGCAAGTCACTCGTGCCGTCAAGTTGGATGATGGATTGGACTTATATCGAATCACTGTGCCTGTGGGTGTCTTGTTGACCATCTTTGAAGCTCGCCCTGAAGTCGTCGTCAACATCTCATGTCTGGCCCTGAAATCAGGCAATGCCGTTATCCTCAAGGGTGGCAAGGAAGCAACACACACCAATGCAGCTCTCGCTAAGGTTATCCAAGATGCTCTTGCAAGCTTGCCAGAATCCAATGGTATCCCCAAGGAGGCTGTCCAAATCGTTGAAACAAGAGAAGATATCAGTGCCTTATTGGATCTTGACCGATACGTGGATCTTGTCGTTCCTCGTGGCAGCAACAGCCTTGTGCGTTATATCCAAAACAATACCAGGTACGTTTTCAATTAGCTTTTATGAATAATTACTCATCTCATTATTAGAATTCCTGTTCTTGGCCATGCCGATGGTATTTGCTCTGTTTATTTGGATAAGGATCTTGATGTTGAAAAGGCATGCCGTATTGTTGTGGATTCAAAGGTAATGGGATAATGGGATAACATATATGAAGAGCACGTAAGGCTGATAAAAAGTTATTCATGTTCATTAGACTGATTATCCTGCTGCATGTAACTCTGCTGAACAACTTTTGGTTCACGCTTCTCTCCTCCAAACGGATGCATTTGCCAAGGTTGCACAAGCTCTTCTCCAAGCCAATGTCACGCTCAAATGCGATCCAGAGTCTCTTGCCGCTTTGGGATCGTCATCCTTAATCCCATCTGATTTGCGTGAAAAGGTCGTTGCGGCAGGCCCCGAGGACTATGATACTGAATTCTTGGATCACATTATTGCTGTCAAGGTTGTGTCAGATGTGAATGCTGCTGTTGAACATATCAATGAGCATGGCTCCAAGCACACTGATGCCATTGTCACCGAAAATGAAGCAGCTGCGGACTATTTCACAACACGTGTCGATGCTGCAGGATGTTACTGGAATGCAAGCACCCGATTTGCGGACGGTTTCCGATATGGCTTTGGTGCAGAAGTTGGCGTAAGTATAAGAGAGGGCATAACATGGTATTGATTTTGGAGTTCTAATTTGCTTCATTAGGTCTCTACCAATAAGACACATGCCCGTGGTCCAGTTGGCCTTGAAGGTTTGGTTATCTACAAGTACACCGTACGCGGCAACGGACATGCAGCATCTGATTTTGGATCGGGCAAGAAGCAGTACATGCATAAAACCATTGCTCCTGAGGACTACAAGGTTTATGGTATTGGAAGCGTCTACCCTGGATCAGGATTGGAAAAGCAATAGTTTACATAATTAGTTACCCCCACATTATTCAATACAATAAGAAAAAAACAATGGAAAGTTCAATGCGTGATTAAGAGGTGTGTTATTGGAATCATTACTGAAACATGGTCTTTGCGTATGTGAGGGGAAAAAAGGGGGGTGTTGCATGATTGGTTTTATGTATGGCCCATTGTGCCGCATGTAACAAATGCCATAAATCCTTGCCAAAATCCACGATGTTCTTTGTGCTGGGTATCCTCGTCTATGCCATGTCCCAAAGACTGGTCTTGAATCATAGGAGTACAAGATGAAGTGACATGATGCTGCTTATCTCCATGTAGGGGAGCTGATAATGTAGGTTGGGGCATGACGGGTAATGTTGTGCCTGTGATGGTGGTGTTTGTGTTGATTTGTGGACGTGGTTGTGATGTCTGTGATGCTTTTCGTTGATGGGTATTGGGCTGGTTCGATTGTCGAGTATGACTACCAGGTGATAATGCAAGCCGTGATGTCGCTTCTCGTGTATTTTGTTGCTGTTGCTGTCGTTTATGCTTTCCATCAGATGAGGATCGGTGCTAAGATATGTACGTCAGTTATCAGATCATACAGCAGTAAATCTTATGCATGCATCATACCTCATATCCCTTGCCGTTATTCAACAGCATCCAATCATAAATACCATCACTTGTTTCATCCATGCGTCGTAGCACTTTGTCGAATAGTTCACGTAGAAACTCGTAATCAGGTTTTTCTTCAAAGCCAAGCTTGCGCACGTATTGCAAGTAAATGCCAAACTCCTCTGATATTATAAAAAGTTAATCCAAGAACAGCATTGACCACATGGCCGGTGTGCTTACCAGGGAATCCTCCACATAAATCCTTGATTGATGTAGTCTGCTTCTTATCGCCGATCTTTTCATACTTTTGCTTGTTTGTTGCTGCCTTAAGACCTTGCCATGGAAGTGATCCGCGTAGAAAATACATAAAGACATGGCCAAGTGATTCAAGATCATCACGCCTTGATTGCTCTATTATTATGCGGAGAGTACAAAATCAGCGTTACTCGTTTCCATGGTTCCCCAATGTTACCCACCTCTTCCCAAATGAGTATTGATGCTCATGTATCTTGCCGTTCCAGATAAGCTTCTTCGTTCTCTATAAGGGATGTGCTGCTTCGTCTTGGGATCTCGATAGAGCTTCGCCATGCCATAGTCGATCAAATAAACGGTGTTGGCGTTCTTTGTTCGTGGTCGACCAATGAGAAAATTGTCTGGTTTGATGTCTCGATAGATCAAGTTTCGCTCATGGACATTTTCTACTCGATGCAGCTAAATTGAAACAGGGGAAAAAGACATTAGTATGAGCTTATTGAAACGCCAAGGTACATTTTGTCCCTGATCCTTGTACGACTTACCATTTGTTTCGCAAGCATTGCCACTGTTTTGACAGAGAATTTGCGACCACACATGTCAAAAACATCCTCGAGACTCGGACCAAGTAAATCAATCACAAGGATATTATGCTGGCCTTCTTGTCCAAAGTAATATGTACTGGGCACACCCGCTAAACAGTATCATCATTGAATCAGCACTCACATCCCACTCTGTGTTGGCTCGAAATTGAATTGTTACTTTACGTAAACCGGATAGGATTTTGTATGTTCGGTATTCGTCTCTCAACTGAGGGGCTTCAGACTTGCGAGCTTCAAACTTGATGGCCACGGACTGATTATTGAGCAGATTGGTACCTAAGCGATGCACGGGTCAATATTGCCTTTCATGTCGTTGAGAAGCTTACAAAGGAGAAGCAGTTACCTTCGTACAAGACGCCAAAGCTACCTTCACCTACTTTCTTGCCCACTCGATAATGCACGCCCACAATGTTGGCTGACATGGAAGCTGATTTCGAAGACGACGGTCTGGCACTACTATGAGGAAGGCCCGCATGGTGATGGTTGGCCATGGCAGCACACGACGTTTGAGGGGTGGAAGGGGGATGGTAGAGAAGATAAAAAGAAGGAGAGAAGATAAAAGGAAGCCCAAAAGAAGATACAAAAGACAAGGGGAAGATAAGACACGTGTTTTAAACGCTTGCTAGACATTGTTATGATATCCACCATATTTGTCTTTGTATGAGATCATTTAATCCCAATAAACAGACGCTGCATATCCTTGTCACTAAGAGTCCTTATTCATCAACTATGGATGTTTCTGCTCACATATCATACATTCATTTCTCATATAAACACAGCATTGATTGAGTGTTTTATTGGCTTCAATTAGGTAGTACCAGCAACCTTTGAATGGTGGTTGACTACATGTAGGACAAAACACGAGGCAATGCCATCTCTTTAATACAATACTACATATGAAACAAAACGTCAGCGAAGTTGGAGATGTTCCAATATCCTTGATCGTGTCCCACAATGCAATCTTTCGAGCATTCCTTCCTGCACAGACGTTACCTCTCCAAGCATAGTGGTAGTAGTAATGAACTTTTAGCACCGTAAACGACATATGGAATAAAGATGGCTCTTCACGCAACAGAAGGTCAAGCTGTAGAAGGAGCTATAGTTTCATATCATACAACAAGAATGCCATATCGTCCTATTGGAGAGCTAGCTTTATGGTTTATGAAATACGGGAAAAGTAAAGCCATGTGTGTAGCAAGTAGATACAGGGTTTAAAAAGCAGGTGTCAATCGTTTCATGGGCGAGCAATCACTACACCTATGCCGGCAGTAGCTACAACCCGCGATCGAATACTTGAATCAATAGTTACCATTAGTGATCTCTAACCTCTGATATGCCCTTTGTCCTTATTTGATTGTTTGTATTATCTTTATCTTGATGTATATGGTAATAGCAGCGATAGCTAATCATTTAACACAAAGAGCATGCTTTTTTCAAAAGACAATGCAAGGTGACATGTGATCATCTACATTTATCAACTGACTACGCTTGACTTTGCTCTTCTTTCTTCCATGGGCGCCGCTATAATAATAGCACCCTATCATGGGACCTATGATGAAGGTGCCAGTGGATTACCAACATTGCTTTCTGAAACGAGCTCACACAAACATCAGAGCCGCGTCTTTTTGGGGCTTCAAGTGCTTCGTAATAGCAGACTGATGACATTGTTTGATGATGGATAATACCACCTCGCCTATTTATTTATTGTGGATCCTCATTATCCACGGACAAGGAATCACAATACAGCTCTCTCTTAGTCTGATGACCGATTGGTTAGCGCATTATGTATATGATACAGCATTAGCTAAGCACAAACAGATGATGATGACCATTAAAATGGTGCATGGACAACATTCGATAATGAAGATAGGTGGATTTTGTGTTCTTGACATCTATTTGTACCATATGTCAAACGTTCTCTAAAGTGTCAAAACCAGGATTGATGTAGTAGACTTATTGCATATAGACGCAATGTTAACAGCCGTTGCTTGGTTTCTTGGATTCTCTGCCGGCAACCAGTAGTATAAAAATCATCCTGGACTACCACCTCCATGCGATACAACAATAGAAATTATACGTCTCACGTTTCATGTACCTTCATGCTTAATGCTATGCATGCGCTGATCATGACCATACTATGGTTGACTTCCCATTCAGGCTATCATAGGCGGACCTCATTATAAAGAAGGATCCATCACATCGATCATGCATTCTCCACCAATAGGATCAGCCTTTCCCTCCCGGCTTCGTTACACAAACAAGTCCTTCTACATCTTGGCTTTATCCGGGTCTAGCTACTTTACAATGAACACAGAGCACCTTTCATGTAGCAAGCTTACAGCATAGATAAAACATAAAGGTGCTTGTATCTCTAAACTTCACAATCAAACGTAGGGTCTTTAATCCAATTTTCAATCAATGCATAAGAAGTCGAAGAATAAGACATGGTAATGTGGATGTTTATCAAGTAAATATGATAAAGGAACAGTAATGTAATTTGAATGAGATAGGGAGTGAATCACATAAAGGCAATAGGGATAACCGTGTCCTTGTGTTCTTGGTTGCTGCTGTCATAAACATCCTTCATCCATGATTGTAAATAGCTGCTGAATGTATTGACTTGTGTAATCCAATATCATCCACGGCTGTAGACACCTTGGCAGTTCTATCCCATCCATCATCATCCTCAGCCGGATCCACGAGACTACCATCCATCATTCCTGCTGATGACGCCCCAAGTAACCAAAGAAACATTCCATGGTCCTCATCACTGAATTTGATCGCATCCATCCATCCATCCATAACCATTCCAAATCCAATATTTGGTTGACAAGTGTCATGTGATCGCAGCTGTATGCTTCCTTTTCCATCCGGCTGTTGGTCTATCACTTTCTTGGTCATTTTCATTGCTGCTCAACCAGGAGAAGATTGCTTGAATTGCGATGTACCTTCTAGCTGATATGGCATCATCCACTTTAATCCGTATGTATTAAAGCACGTTGGTGCAAGTAGCTTGAACAATGGAGTAAGGACCTTGCTAATGGGAACTGCTGTTGCCTTTGGTCGTGGCAGAGGATTGTGCAAAAGCGCGCGTTGTAGTAGACTGATGAGGTTGTGAATGCGGTTTGAGACAATGGAGTGTAAGTGTTGCTAATAGCACTGATGTAATGAATGCTGTTGCGTTTGATCGTGGAAGTGGAGGGTGCAAGAGAGTGTGTAGTATCAAGAAAGGCAGGTGTTGTAGAAGGGTGACAAGAAGGCTGTGTACACGCCATGGGTTTGCCATCCAGCCATAGACAATCGGATCACGACAGTTGTAGGATTGACATGATGGGTTGAAGCAGGACAATCGTTCGCAGGTGGTAATTGTGCTTGAATGAGTCAACAGTTGAGAATGGGAAGAAGAGGGAAGAAGCTGGGAGGGAAGACCTGGAACTTAACTTGATGCTTATCTAACGTTGGATGGCGTTTCTTTGTTTGAGCGTTTTTCAGTCAAATTCCCTCGGATCAAGAAAGTTCAATGATGGGAATGCTGGGCTGGAGCAGGACAATCGTTCGTATGCGGTGGATTGGGCAACAAAGGTGAATGGGAGGAATGGACTATTAGCCGGCAGGTTACAAATAACTTACCAATTTGATTCTTCTGATATTGGGTGATGTTTCTGTGTTTGAGCGTTTATCAGTCAAATCTCATCGGATCAAGAAAGTTGAAGGATGGAGTTGATGGGCTGGAGCAGGACAATCGTTCGCATGCATTGGGTTGGGCAACAATGGAGAATGAGAGGACTAGGTTATTAGCTGGCATTTTGAACTATTCCTAAATAGTGTACAAGAATCATGCATCGCCTGTGCTGAATGACTCAAGTTACACAAACACGCCCTCTGCATCTTTTGCTCTGTCAGGGTCCAGATACTTCACAATGAACAAAGACCACTCTTCATATAGCATCACGCTTACAAACATAAAGGTGCCTGTATCTCCGAACTTTACGATGAAACGTGGAGCCTTTGATAGAACAATGTGCTCGGCTTGGCCAACTGCACCTTGGGTGCCGGTTCACGATCAAGCTTGCCCATCCCAGATTTCGCAAATGTCGCTACCAGCTAACGGCTGGATCTGGAGGTCCAGACCTCTTCGTCGACGACGACCAGAAAAATACTTTTGGGCTAGTTGCGACATTGAACGCGAAACTTTCACACAAGGTGCTGTTGGCCAAGCCGAGCACATTGCTCCTAATAAAAACCCCGCGTTTCACTGTAAAGTTTGGAGATACAGGCACCTTTATGTTTGTAAGCGTGATGCTATATGAGAAGTGGTCTTTGTTTAATGTAAAGTAGCTGGACCCTAACCAAGCAAAATCTGAAAGGGTCGTGTTGTGTAACACAGCTACGTTTGCATGAATGATAGGGTCCATGTATAATTACTTTTGGATCATCTAGGAACAGGCATGTATTGCTAGCTAACGGCCACTTTTATCCAATCATCATTGTTGCGAGATCCACTGCATGGGAACGATGCCCCTGCTCCAGACATTCATTTCCATGATTCAATTACCTTGATCCGAGCTGATTTGATTGAGCTGCGGTCAAAAGTTATCACTCTGGACATAAAGTACGCTCGATGTAGCTCAACCGATGTAATCTTGTGTGAGCGTAACTCAACCAAATCAGCTCGGATCAAGCTACTTTAATCATGGAAATGAATGTCTGGAGAAGGAGAATCGTCCACCTACAATGGAATGCACAAAAGTGGCTATTAGCTGCCAATGTATGACATAAAAGCGAGTGTTGCGTACCTGTCATGCATGGTCCCTGAAGTCAAACTTTTAACCCAGTTACACACGTCCCTCTGTCTTTTGCTCTGCCAGGATCCAGCTACTTCACAATGAACAAAGACCACTTGTCATATAGCATCACGCACACAAACATAAAGGTGCCTGTATCTCCAGACTTTACAATGAAACGTGGGGTTTTTATTAGAGCAATGGGCTCGGCTTGGCCAACTGCACCTTGGGTGCCAGTTTCACGATCAAGCTTGCCAATCCCGATTTCGCAATGTCGCCACCAGCCAAACTGGATCTGGGGGTCGACCTCTTCGTCGACGACGACCAAAAATATTTTTTGGGCTAGTTGCGACATTGAACGTGAAACTTTCACACAAGGTGCTGTTAGCCAAGCCGAGTCCATTGCTCTAATAAAAACCCCGTTTCATTGTAAAGACCGGAGACGCAGGCACCTACAATGCCTACTTATTAATCTTTTGTTCGGTAATGAGTAGCTGGATCCTGGCGCCGGTCTGCAAGAGGACGTGTTTGTGTAACAGGTTAAGACGGGACTTCGGGGACCTGCATGTTTTTGGGTACGCAACCCTCGTTTTCAGGTCATGCATTGGCAGCTAATAGCCACTTTTGTGCATCCATTCCATTGTAGGTGGACGTTCTCCTTCTCCAACATTCATTTCCATGGTTCAAGTAGGTTGATCCGAGCTGATTTGGTTGAGTTACGATTCGAACAAGGACTAATCAGCTGAGACATTCGCACGTATGCTGATGTATGGATTGATGTAATTTCTCTTTGACCGTAGCTCAGCCAAATCAGCTCGGATCAAGATAATTGAATCATGGAAATGAATGTCTGGAGCAGAGCATCGTTGGATCTCGCAACAATGATGATTGGATTAAAGGTGGCCGTTAACTAGCGGTATATTCCTAGATGATCCAAAAGTAGTATACCACATGAATCATTCGTAAAATAGCTGTGTTGCACAACACGACCCTCTGCATCTTTTTGCTCTGCCAGGGTCCAGCTACTTTACATTAAACAAGACCACTTCTCATATAGCATCACGCTTACAAACATAAAGGTGCCTGTATCTCCAAACTTTACAGTGAAACGTGGGGTTTTTGTGTGCTCGGCGGCCAACAGCACCTTGTGTGAAGTTTCACGTTCAATGTCGCAACTAGCCCCAAAAAACACCTGGTCGTCGTCGTTTAGAGCCCCCCAGATCAGTTTGGCTGGTGGCGGCTGTGCAGAATCTGGGATTGGCAAACTTGATCGTGAAAACGCACAAGGTGCAGTTAACCAACGTGTTGCTATCAAAGACCCCGCGTTTCATTGTAAAGTTCGGAGATACAGGCACCATTTATGTTTGTAAGCATGAAGAGTGGTCTTTATTTAATGTAAAGTATCTGGACCCTGAAACCAAAGTGCAGAGACCCCTCTTTGTGTAGCTGAGCTAAAAAGTCCGGACCTCGGGGACGATGCATGACAGGTACGCAACCCTCACTTTTATGTCATACATTGACAGCTAATAGCCACTTTTGTGCATTACCAACTTTTGTGCATTCTATTGTAGGTGGACGATGCTCCTGCTCTAGACATTCATTTCCATGATTAAAGTAGGTTGATCGAGCTGATTTGGTTGAGTTACGCTCACACGAGATTACATCGGTTGAGCTACATCGAGCGTACTTTATGTCCAGAGTGATGTAATCTCTCTTTGACTGCAGCTCAATCAAATCAGCTCGGATCAACCTGCTTTGATCATGGAAATGAATGTCTAGAGCAGGGAGCATCGTTCTCATGCAGTGGATCTCGCAACAATGACGATTGGGTAAAAGTGGCCGTTAGCTAGCAGTACATGCCTGTTCTAGATGATCCATAAAATAATTATACATTGACCCTTTCATTCATGCAAACGTTGCTGTGTTACACAACACGACCCTCTGCATCTTTTGCTCTGCCAGGGTCCACCTACTTGACAATGAACAAAGACCACTCTTCTTATAGCATCACACTTACAAACATAAAGGTGCCTGTATCTCCAAACTTTACAATCAAACGTGGGGTTTTTATTACAGCAATGGGCTCGGCTTGGCCAACAGCACCTTGTGTGAAAGTTTCACGTTCAATGTCATAACTAGCCCAAAAATATTTTTTGGTCGTCGTCGACGAAGAGATGAAACCCCCCAGATCCAGTTTGGCTGGTGGCGACATTGCGGAATCTGGGATTGGCAAGCTTGATCGTGAAACTGGCACCCAAGGTGCAGTTGGCAAGCCGAGCCATTGCTCTAATAAAAACCCACGTTTCATTGTAAAGTTCGGAGATACAGGCACCTTTATGTTTGTAAGCGTGATGCTATATGAGAAGTGGTCTCTGTTCATTGCCAATTAGCTGAATCCGGACAGAGCCAAAGATGCAGAGGGCGTACTTGTGTAACACAGCCTATCATGCAGAAGTGGGAGGATCAATGGATGATACGGTATACGCTATTCAGTAACAGCTCATGCATTGACAGATAACAGCCAATTCCTTCCAATCAACATTGTTGCGAAATCCACTGTATGGGAACGATGCTCCTACTCCACACATATTTACGTCCATGTTCACGCTTACAGCATATGTAAAACACAAAGGCACTTGTATCTCTGAATCCTTTGATCAAACGTTGGGGGTCTTTATAGAACAAGGTTGCTCAGTGGGGTCGAAGAAAGCTTGTGTGAACAAGTCTTCCCAAGATTTCGAATCATGCCTTTGAATCCATTTCTATTACTGCAGGGTTTCTTCATGTAGATTCAACCACCCCAACTACTAGGCATCCACAGCTCCATCATAGGCAGTTAACCGTAAAATGCTGAAAAGAGGTACTCAAGGAATTCATCATGATACGGCCTGACATACATCCGTCTGTATCCACCCCTTTTACCAGTGCGGCTCACCTAAACGTATATAAACCCCCTTGTCAATCAACCTATACTCTATCTGTGGCTTGCTGTATCTTACCAAGGGTACCGTGAGATCAAGCACAAATAGGTTGCTTTCGGGTTTCTTTGCGATCATATGCCACCGATTCTTGCTGCGACAACTTGAGATACTGTTCGCTGGGTGTACGGACCTTGGTTGACGATGCTGCCCTCTGTTGGTCTTGATCATGGGAGGATCGGTCTTTACTGATGGCTTCATGGCGATCCGTGGTTTACGCAAGGAACAAGATAGAGTTGAAAAGATACGGTGAACGATTAAGTGGTACGATAAGGAAAAAAGGAGGACTCGGATTTTGATCGTTACAAGAATGATTCAAGTTATGCCGCTCCATTTCCTGGACACTTTGCAACCATCAAGGCACTCTTCCAAGTTGCATGAACAGCTGCATTATATACGGGGTGTGTATTCAAAAGCATAGACAACATGTAATAAATAAAAGCATCGAGCTTCAATAGGTCCTTATCATGCCATTATTACATTTGAGATCACCACTAGTTGCTTGTGAAGGCCTATGTTTGGCAACACCTACATGCATCCTCTTATTCGCACATTGCTCATGTATGCTTCAGTAGAAGGGGACA